TTGAATTATTGAATGCTTAATTATATGTTTGTTTAATTCTTTCTAATGGTAGCAAGGTTATGACATATTTATAATATAAGGAAGGACAACTGGAGTCACACTTCAGTGAAATTATTTTGCACGATGCTATACACGCTCTCTCTCTCTTTCTCTCTCTCTCTTAAGGAGGAATGCCACACCAACTTTTTATTTCATAGATCTCTGAGTCAACCTTTTTAAACAATGGTTTCAGCATTAAAAGGCCGACATTAGCTCTCAATTATTTTATATGAATTTTTTTGTATTTTTTCAGAGAAAATGAAAAAAATTATTTACATCCAAATTAGATGCTTTGTTGTAAAAATTTTGCTGTAAATGAATGCATCACATGAATTCCTTATAAAATATGTAAAGAGAAGCCGTAAGTAAAGATATTAAAAAATTTTAAATAAAAAAATATTTATGAAAATTAAACACATAATTTGAGAATATTTTTTAAACTTGTGGTTAAAATCTTCTAAAAACCAGTCACAACTGGGGAGAACATGTTCATTAATCATATTTTTAAAAGAAATTGAAACGAAATGGCCAAATTTTAGAAAAATTATTTTTTTTTTATTTTGGCCAATCCCGATCAAAATTAAACCGATCCCAACCATAATTTTTACAATTATTGGAAATAAAGAACATTTTCTCAAGAACCCTAGTCTGATTAGGTGTTATAAGGGTTAAAACATTATTGAACTTGACAATAAAATAGATTTCTTCATTGTAAATACATGAAGAGGCAATAAATTAGCATTTTATTCATTTTGTGTTAATTTTGATCGGGATCAGTTTAATTTTGATCGTGTTAGATCCAAATATAAAAAAAAATTCTCTAAAATTTCTCAATTTCGATTCAATTTCTTTTTAAAATATGATTGACAAACATATTGCTCTCAGTTGTGACTAGTTTTATGGTGTTTTTAACCATAGGTTTTAAAAAAATTCACAAATAATGTGTTTTATTTTCATAAATAATTTTTTATAAAAAAAATTAAAAAGTCTTACAGCCTTACTTTACATATTTTATTAGATATTCATATGATGCATTCACCTACAGCAAACTTTTAACTCGAAAACAACTTATTTGGATATAAATAATTTTTTTCACTTTCTTTGAAAAAATACAAAAAAAATTCATATTAAATAATTAAAAGCTAATATCGGCCTTTCAATGCTGAAACCATTGTTTAAAAAGGATGACTCAAAGATCTATAAAATAAAAAGTTGGTGTGGCATTCCACCTTAACTGTACATGAATGTACATGTAATGAAATTCAAGATGTCAAAAGTTGTTTCTTTTCATGAAAAATAACATACGATTTTCTTTAAACTGTGAGTTTAAAATTTTCAATGAATATAGATGTTTTCAATAAGGAACTATAGCATAAATTTAATATCAACCTCAGCGAAATCTTGTAGAATCAGAGTGATAGTTTTTTTTTCCTTTTTTCTTGTTTTCTTTTCCTTCTCTATTTTATAATACCAGGGTATGACTTTTTTTTTAGTAAATCGTTAAATCTACGTTATTTTTTGGATTTTTAATATGGAATAAGTTGTAAAAGTACTAGAAACATGATTCATGACAAAAAAAGAAAAAAAGAAATTTTGACCAGGGGTGTATGTGGGGGGGGGGGGGGGGGGGGGGGGGGTTTCCTAGATCTACATCTATGTATAACTTTTAGAATTTACTGTAGCACAGTACCATTGAGGTTTCCCTACTACTGCAATAAATTTTGCTAGGGGTAAAGAAAAGTTAAGGGCTTGTTGAAATCTTGGTGATATCTTTTCTAAGGATTTTCATGAAGAATGGGAATCCAGCATAGGAAGGGTAGATCTAACTGAAGCATTTTTATTCAACCAATTCCTGTTGATATTCCCGAATATGAGTCCAATAACCCTTTATTATGCTTCAACTAGTTCTAATCTTTTGCACTTAGACGGTGAATATTTTTTAAAACAATATTTAGGTAAATGCATTTATCATGTTGAGAAAATCTTAAATCATTATCAAATCATATTAAAATTCTTAAGCGTAGTGGAAGGTAATTTACAAGCACCATTTATTAACTCTCCTAAACTCAGTGCTTGCATTTTTTAATCCGTTGCTGGCAGACATTTTTGTTGAGCATACGCCAAACGTGTTTGGAGTTTCACTGGTAGCTCATTCACACATTTTCATAATGAAAGATAAGCAGCCTCTCATATGAGATAAACAATGTTCAGTAAAAATCCCATGTAACCTCGTAAAAAAAAGTTGAAACATTTCAAGTTTGTATTAAAGAAACGAATAAATTATGTTCTTCCGTTCTGGGTGTCTACCTGAATCGGATGCCCTTATTTATGGCATAATGTTTCAAATATGACCACCTTATTATATATATGTCATTCAAAAGTAATTACCAAAATGATTTTTTGAAATAACTTCAAACATTTCTTTAAAGCGGGGGACAGAAAAATGTTAAATCATATGAGTCTGAAGTTTTTATCATAAAAAAAAGAATCCGGGAGAAAATATCCCAATAAGATTAAAATGGGATATTTTTTCCGGATGATTTTTTTTATGATAAAAACCTCAGACTCTGGTTCAATGTATAATCATGCCGAACGTTTTGGGGAATTATGTATGTTGATGAAAAATAATTTCACAAGTAAGTAACCTCCGTGTCAACCCTTTTTGATTTTTCAATTTTAAATAATTAAAGTATTTACCTTTACGGTTGTATTAACATCAAAATCAGTGGAGGTATTTTTATTTTGATGAGATTTTGAAAAATATATATACATGAATAAATTTATATTTAGTAGACTTTTCAATAGATAATAAATGAAAGGACGAATGTATAAATAAGACAAACAAATAAGTATGAAATTCTACTGCAGGATTTTATGTCTTTTCTGAAATCAGGGCGAGGCTTTATGCATATATAAGTATGTATATCAATACAAAAATTATGGAAAAAAGTCAAAAGTACACTGAACAATATATCTTTTGAAATAATAAACACAGACTATTTTAATATTTTATTACACGTATGAACACAAAATTCATTAATGACATAAAATATGTATTTTTTTTTTGTTTATTTTCAACCATTTAAAAATTAAACATTTATATAATATACCAAATCCTTTGTCAATAAACATTCAAATTTTAAATACTAGAGTAAATATTGATGAATGACTAGCATTTTTCACTTTCATTCAGTTCAATGTCTTACTTCGTCAAAATCAAGATACTTGTAATGCTTTTTAGAGTGAAATAGAAAACGGCATGTAGTCCTTGTTCTTTTTGGCGTGCTTAAATTGTTGATAATGATTTTAAAAATAGATTAAAATTAATCCTCTTACATATTGAGGGGAAGTGAAAGAGCAATAATCTTTATAATTTGAATATTTCGAAGGTTGCCTTTTTAAACATATTCTTAAGTTTAAACAGAAAATTTCGAACATATGTTCAAACACAGAGAAGTGCTCGATCTTTGTAGGATAATACTTTTAATTCATAAATATCATATGTTAGTTTTTAATATGTTTAATATTCCCAACAACCAAAATGAATTTAATTTCCATATCAATACTGGAGTTCAAAACTTTTAAAAACTTTTTACAATCAAAGATACATAGCGCCACAATAAATATTAATAGAAGTGTAGAAACTCCAAGAATACTGTGCAACAGTGGTGTAAATCAGATGTGGATACTTAAAAAATCCAAAGAAATTTTGGAAAATAAATCAAAATATTTTACCAAGATCAACAACATAAAAACTTATGACTTTTCAACTAGGTATACAACCATTCCTCAAGATAAATAAATTAAAGGTTTTTTTTTTCAAAGCGAAACTTACCATGTCATTGACCATTTACAAAATTTAATTTGTTCAAAACATTCTTTTTGTGCAAATACGTACCCTGAAGTTGATTTTGAAAAGATATTTGAGTTTCTGAATGATTTTGATCTATGTGGTTTTTGAAAACCATGTCTTCCAAAAATGTATTGGAATTACCATGAGTACCAATTGCAAACTCTTATAAGCAAACTTATTTTTGTATTCATAAGATGCAGAATTTGTTCAAAATTTTATAGGTATAAAGAAGAAAACAACTGCTGTTGATTTAAAGTCGACATTTAGATATATCGAGGACGTATTGTCAGTTAACAATGCTTTTCCCCCATTTTTATGTCGATATAAATATATATCTTTGTGATCTTGAAATTAAGAAACATCGGACTCTGACACATCTTTTCATTTTTGGATATTTTACTAAAAAAAGGTGTCAATGGTAATGTTATAATGGTAAAGTTATAACGAAGCTTTATGATAAACGTGATTACTTTATAACTTTTCAATCGTCAACACTTCCCTTACTTCTGCAGCAATATACCTTTATCACATGCATTAACAAGTCAACAGGAGATGCCTCCATGGCACCTGATCCAATCTCCGATGCTTTATAGGTAACAAGTGTTTGCTCTCTTTTAAAGTTACATTTTGTAATTTCTGGGCCATAAAACTTTTCATATTGATTATTAGGCTTTTTGTACACACCTAATTATCACTTATATTCCAAAGGAATTAATAGTGGAAAAGTAAGACTGAGATCAAAAGTGAGCTCATCTTAGTTTTATGTCCCCCAGGCCTGCTCCTAATTTTGTATTATTTAATAGACTTCTAAGCTTAAATACTATCTCCATATATTTCCTTTCAAAGTCAAGTTTAGATACAAAGTCAGAGTATACCTCATCCAACGGAGATTGAATTTTGATGAACTCTTGTACCGTATCCCAACTAGTAAATTTGAATCCAATGCAGTTTTTACTTTCTAATCTTGAATATATTATCAAAGTTGGGGAAACTACCACGTTTTTTGTGTTTGAAATGGTCTAAGGTTGTCGCAATTTAAGAAAAATATGTACATTATCACCATATGTACCTTATCAAAGTGTAAAGACATGTTATTGTGACACTCACTGATATGTGTTAAAGTTCAATAAAAAATATAATGAAAATAGTTGTATGAGTACTACGTAACTGAGTATTTCCTATGACATAAGTTCATTTTAGTTAAACCTCTATCTACTAATGACATTTCAGTATCGGAGACGACGGGTAGGTCGGATATTCGCTTAATTTCTTGAACTTCCTGATAGTCAATTAAGGCGTCTTGAAGACTGTATTCGTGGTATTGCCAACTCCATTCTAGTCTTAGTTTCTGTATATCACTGTGAATTGTTAAAAACTGACGGGCCAAGTCTTGGTCCTGTTCTCTCATTTTTGTCTGCAAAATATGAAATCTGATGAAGAAATTCTGATTTATTTATTGTCATTTACATATTAATTCATTACTGAAAAATACCCATATCCTTTCAGGAGGTTAGAGAAATCTCAGGCAAATACTATTATCAATTACTCTTTTAATTAGCCTTCCCTTTTCTTTGATATGATAAAGTAGGGTTAAAGTGAAGAAAAAAATCAGATAAATAGCAAAATTTTCAGCTTTTCCCTAGCTAGAAAGAGATTCATACATGTATTTTGAAATACTTGCAGTATTTGACAGTTTTGTTTATATTCATGTTGGACGTTAACCAACATTTAATATACATGTATTTAAAGTTCAAGCAATATCTAGTATCTGAATTCAAATAGTCATATACCTGCATATAGTATGATTACTAGACAAGTATCGAAATTCTAAACAAGGCTAGTGAATATTGAATCCATATAAAGTTCTTATAAAATAATATTTCAAAAGAAGAAATATACTTTTCGCAATGACTTTGAAAAGTGAATAGACCCTAAAAACTGTAAACTTTCCAGATATTTATACTGGTATGATTTTCGTTTTTTTAAACATGTTGAATTAGTAATGTTATTTTGTTGCTTTATCGGAAAGGGGCAATTTTTCAATATTAGGATGATTTTACCCCTACTTTGGACTTTCAGTAGGGCGTGACTTTCTCGGCGCTATATTGGCAAATACTAGAAATTCTCATTGGTTACGAAATTAATAACATAAGGAAATTAAAATTGTGGTTGATAACGATGACACGACTTATGTCCCACCTCTGTGGCGTGAGAGAACTTCTAATTGGCTATTCACTACATCAGTTGACATTCGGCCGCATTTATATCATATGTATATTTCAGCAGTGAAGGAAAGCTGTGTAAATTTCAGAAGCTAATTAGGCAACGTCGAGAATGCCACGCCTTACTGAAAGTCCAAACTAAGCGTGTAATTCTCCTAATAGAGAATTTTTTTTTTGAAACAACATCCTTATTTTTTCAGACAGATCAAATATTCGAAATGCATAATTAAATTGATGACAGCTACAATTCTCTTACCAACTCCTCACGAATCCAATTTAGGGAATTGTTAATTTTCTCGATATCCTGGTCGTTTGGAACACCTTTGTTCTTATCTATATGGTACTCAGGTTCCACATGATTTTTCTTGAGACTAGCTCTCCATTCCAGATAACTTGGACGTCTTGTATCGAGTCGCAGTTTTCGTGTTTTACATTTCAATCTGAATAAGTATATGTCTAAAGGGGGTATGGTATCCATAGATTTAAGATCACTAGCTGAAAATGACTGTCGTATCCCCCTCTTCTTTATTTTGTACACTTCGGAAGTTTCGGTAGTTTTCCATAATGATGCATCATTTGCAGTCCTATTTGTTTCCAATATGTCTGCAAGTGACAAGTTTTTCTTCATATTTTATACCTCAAATGATTGTTTCTAATCTAAATGCACGATTATTCTTTTATATATCAAATATACTTAGCTCCAAAATACACGAACACGTGGACATGTATCAAAGAAAATTTTAGGCACCAGTCGATAAGAAATTCTAACCGATTATTATAATGCAACACCTGCACGGGAAGGAGAGATCTTAATCCTTTGCATGTAAATTAACTTTAGAATCGGATATATTTGATGTTTCTCCTTTTGTATAAGAATTTCTTGCATTGATTCCTCTTCTACACATCTTGCACAAAACTTTCTTTGTGATATAGTGACAACCGTGACGCACCGCAGGGGGCATACACAGTACTGAAAGTAGCATTAGTTGGACTTCAGTTCACTCTAGTTAATATAATAAATTAAAAAATGTATTTTCATTCTCAATGAAAAACAACAAACATGAACATGTCCGCTGAGTAACAAAGCAATATGTCCGACAAACGAGAAGGTTTGTATTTGATTTCTTGTTCGGATGACAAAGCATTTATTTTGGAAAATAGACGTTCATTACACTTTCAATGTAGATTAAATCTTAATTTTTATCTCTTACTTACTATGTACATATGGACTTCCATTACGGTAGTTTCATTGTACTCAGATATATATTTATTGTTATTCAAAACTGGGACACATAAACATGACATTTTTTTCGTTTAATTAAGATCGAGTGAGCAATGTAGTTTTGTAACATTGTTTGAGTTCTTCTATTTATTATTTATTTCATTATACGACCGTGTAGTCAAAAGAAGCAGAGAAAAAATAATAAAATGGTGAATTATTTTTTAGGTTGTATGTACTTATTAAAATTAAGTCGTAATATGATATAAGTTGAATGGAACATTTTTTTTTTAAATTCCAAGCACGTACATGTATATACAGTCGTACAGTTTGAATCGTAATGCTTGGAATGAAATAGATCTCTTCAAAAGGACCAGATATTTAAAGACAAAAGTATTCGGCTGAAATTAAAAATACAGAAAACACAATCAAATTAAGGTTCTAAGACAGTTTGTTAATATCATGAAAGTTTTTATTTTGAAAACTTTTTATATATAGTTACGAATTATAACAAAGTTTTGCAAGTACATATAAGATTTATGTATTATTTGGCTATACAATCACAAAATATTGCAAACATTCATGCAATTCTAATATAATCGAAATCAATATCATTTCAACAATCGACATAACATTTTCATTTACTTACGTACAATTAATTTCAAATAATTGAAAAAAAAAATGAAAAGAAACATATTCAGTATTATTGCAATTGTCCCACTTACTAAAACATTAAACATTATATTTATTATAAGAAAAAATCTTCACAAAAGCAACAAAAGGATCAACATGTAGAAAAACGTCTGGCAGTTAAATTGTACGAGGTAACTCCTAAATGTTTTAATGGATTCTCCACAGTATCCACGTGGAGGTCGCTTATGTCTTTCAGTTGCTGCATTTCCTCCATATCTTTAGTGACGTCATCAAGCATTTCCCTGTGTTCCTGACAACTTCGGTTAAGCTTCAACTGGTGGATGTCCTGACGTAATGATAAGAGTTTCCTGGCCAGGGCCTGGTCCTGCGATCTCATGGCTTGCTATAATAAAAGGTAAACTTTATTGAATAAGTGACATTTATTTCATTGATTTATATCACTTATTCGATTACTGAGTATACGAAAATAATATTACTGTAACATTGATAAGATTTTTGTGAACACATTTCATAAATGAATTATTTTCTCTTATTTATCGGTATATGAAAATTGAGGTTTTCGACTATCTAGAGCTTCCATAAATATAATAATAAAGTCCCAAAAATGTTCATCACTATCGTTGAAAAACACTATGTGCATGTATTCTTCTTATTCGTATTTTCAAATAATTTATGAATAAAACATAATGAAATATTTATGAAACTTTACTGTTCAACATTAAAGGTTTTGAAGAAGGTAAAGACCCTAGCTATCTTTTTTTAAAATCTCGTGTATTACACCTGTCTCTCACATTTATTATGATAAGGTTTCGTCGTTCAATGGCTAATGCGACGCCAACTCGTTTGTAAAATTCACTTGTTTACGCGAGGTCTTTGTGCCTCGATGATTATACATTAGACTGACAACTTCTCTCCTTGTTAAAGATTTATATCGGAAAGGAGACTATTTAATTTTTAATTCACCGTGTGACAATACAGAGAAATAATTAAACTTGCTCAGCCTGTTTTCAAAACATTTCACAGTGAATAATAATAAAACATCTATTTACCTCATGTATCAACTAATTTGGTCGTCTTTTGAAAAATTAATTAGATCTGATATTATTTAAAAGGATTTCTTTGTTCTGAGCATTTGAGTGAATTAAAATTACAAGCATATAACACGATGTATATCAGTTAACAAAAGTAGAAATTTTAATGAACATGTATTTGTTAGTAATTCAGTAAGAAAACTGTAATTACAAGCAATGCTTGGTCGTAAACAATTCAGTGTGTAGATGCACCAAATAAGGTTGGGTTTCACATGCTTCAGTTTTTCAGATAGACGTGTTTACCAATTCATGCTACATTAAAACGTGCAAAATGCATAAAAATATCCACTTTTCATCTAGATATTGGAGACATTAAAGTGAAGAAACGACATTGAATGAAACATGACTTTTTGTATTACATAAATTTTATGAATTCTTTGACTGCTGTCATATTTTTACATATACAATATCAATTTATCAGACCGATGGCTTGGTAGTTTGATGTCTAAATGCTCCTGTTTAATACACACTTTTCACAGGATTGAAGACCTACGGACATGTTTTTTAGAAATTCGAAGGACACATCTTCAGACCTGTCTAAGAATACAATTACAAAGGTGATAATAAATTTAAGAACTATCATAAAGCACGTCCTATGATGAAGCATGATGAATGTTAGAAGTATCATCCTTAGTTTATTTTTGTATAATTAAAAATATTACAAAGAAAATTTTCGACTTATCGTAACAAACAGGAAAAAAATATGAAAGAACGGATCAGATTTTAATACGTTAGAAATAGTAGATTTGGGATCCTTGATTTTGATATATAAGTGCATGAAACTACATCCTCCAAGTCTCACTTTCCTGGCCCACACACAAACACACACGAAAGTCGGAAGAACTAAGAAACAGTATATTTAATAAAACTCATTTTTTATACGCGTGTATCTAAACATGTTTCAGAGAATGTGTGTCACAGCACAATATTATCTAAACTGAATTTGATTCATCAGAGAAAAGTGATTATTTCGCAAAAATTATTGGATTACACAACTGTTCTAGAATTAAAATTTCAAATTGTTTTCCTGGCGCCTGTGTTTATTAAGTAAGTATTCATTTAGGATAAGCTTTCTGTCGTCTAATAGTTAGGACAAAGATTTGAAAGTCTTCTAAAATTGGATTAATTTGTTGGGCTTACTTAAGGATAAAAAATTTCTTCAAGTAAGCTCATCAGAGAGAGAGAGAGAGAGAAAGAGAGAGAGAGACTTGTGTATTTCCTGCTTCACACTTTACTCACCAGTTCTTCTTTTATCCATATCAAAGCTTCATTAATCCTATGTTTCCTATCTTCTGTCAAAACGTCATTTCCATTTTGATCAAGATCTACTTTTAGGTCTGGTTTTGACCTTCTTCGAGGTCTTTCCAGATACCGTTCTTTCCATTCTACAATACTTGACCTTCTTGTTGCTAATCGAAGTCTATTGGCAGTCACTTTCAAATGTGCTAAATCTGTTTCACTTCCGCTCCTTGATGACGTCACGGAGGACACATCATCATTATCATCACTTGCTTGAAGTGAGTCCTCGCAGTTTGTAACAGTTATCGATGGCAACACGATATAATTCTCCTCTTCATTGTTATTAGTCTCGTCGATAACGGACAAAGATGGTCTTCTGTATTCTTTCATTGCAGGAGAATGTTCATGCCTTCCTTCGCTGGGAACATGGAGACTCATTTGTAGTGTAATTCATCCATGTAGGGAAACATTGAAAGTAAATCATATATGATATTGCACTAGATTTTATTCACCTTCGTCTGGTTTTCATATCTTGCACTCTGCGCTGTCTAATCCTCTTATTGTGATCTCTGCAGAAAATAATATTAAAGAGATTATACAAACATTGTATATAGATGTTTCCTCAAGTTGATTCCGCAATGCAAACGTATCAAATGGACTACTGCACAATAAGCTTAAGAGATAATTAGAGAATAGTCTTGACAAACTGGGGCATTAAATTACTTTTGAAATCTTTTATTATGGTTCCTCAATCCGAATTTCTGTAGTCATTTAAACATCAATTCAACATGTAAATCAATGTTCGTACATATGTCAAAAAAGATAATGTTTCAGATCCTAATCAAATTTGCATGCCATTCACGCAAACTTTGTGGCTCTTGAACTTTGTATAAATCATTACTGTAAAACAAAAGAAATAAATAACAAACAAGGCTATTAAGGTTATCCCCTATAATCGACATGTTTGTGCCGATAATAGGTCTTTTCTTTGGAAGAATCACAGGTTCGCGTCCCGCATTCTTTGATGTGACATCTCGAAATAGTAGGTTAAACGATTGTAAGGTTACTGTAAACCTATTGGCCTGGCAAAATGTTGGAATTCTATATTGAGTTTTGGTTTACAAATCAGTTGTCAGAAATACCTAGAGATGAATAATTTTATAATTAAATCAAAATTATCATATTTGACATAGATGTAGAAAGATTCATCGAACGCACTCCTGGTACACTGGTTTAACCAATGAATTACGGCCCGAAGTTCACATCTATGGTTTTTGAATATTATATTTTTTATTCAGAAACGTGTGTGCCAAAAGTAATTTAAACACATTGCAACATTCATATAGTTATCTGTAATACAATGGAGAAAAGAAAGATTACTATCCAAGATTGGATTGAAATTTTTTTCCGTTTTCTGATCTCCTGAATTAAATTGAAAATCTACCAACAAAAGCCTTCTGAATAGTCGACCTACATGTACCCATGTAATTTCTCCCGTAATAAGTTAATTGACGAAAATAGGATTATTTCTTACGAGGTTTTTTCATTATATCCTAAGCAAACATTCTTTAAACACCAGAGAAATATTTCCCACTTGTTAAGCTGTTAAGTATAATGTTCCAAGTATTTTTGACAACGTGTAATATCTTCTCAAACACCATCCTTGAATAAGATGTCCCTTTTCGGATCGACGCTAAAATGGATGAGTTGCTGTCGATCAAACCAGACTTCTGAGGAATTTGTGAAGCCTATGTCACGAGAAGTCTGAAGTTTGTCGAAAGACTCTTAGATATATCTCAAATATAATTACTGGTTTAATTACAAACCTAGAGTAATTCAATAGCACAGAAGGCGACAGAAATTAAAACGTAAAGAGATAAGATTTTACAAGTTATGCATTGTTTGACTTTAAATTGTATAGAAAATGGTGTTTGGAAATAGAAGATTGATTTCTTTTCGTAAAGCATAAATAAATAGACTCTGTATGTCTTGTTATAAAATTCTGTTTACACTTCTGTAATAAAAGACTTTGAGATATTTGATCTACATCTTTGAATATATACCAAATAAACGATATCGATGTATTTATATTCTATTTTTTCTAACTTGATATCCTTAGAAATACAAAAAGATGCCCTTGTCTTATCTTTTTTAATTGAATTTTAATTATATCATTGCTTTTTTACGTTTTGTTGAAACTATTTCTTATGTTCACATTATTAATCATGGATAAAGCCGACCATATAATTTTGAATTAAAAAAAACATAAATAAATTCAATATAGCATATAATAAACTTCAGTTGCAAATACGTACATATATTAATACCTAAAATGTTTCCTCCAAGAGAATGAGTAATATCAAATCTGCTCAAATAATCCTCAGAAACAATTTTACAGAATCGAAGAAGTCAAGCACTCTGTGTCGAACAATTGCAGTCTTTAAAGGCCCTTGAAGTGTATTTATATTTCGTGTTGGATGTAAATATTTTAAATCATCCAATAGGATTATTAATAAATAATGCCGAGAATAAATAAGTTCAGACACTGGCTTCAACAATTACCTTGAAAAGATCGTTGGAAATTTGATAAAGGTGACACAATAAATTGTAGGTTTGATCAGTCTGGTGTCAATGGTCAGGTTAAAATTATAACGATCAACCTAAATATACTTATATTTTTGAATAATTTATGAATGGCGGTTTTATCTTAAATGGCTGTAAAAACGTCTTTGATTTTGTTTAATCTTTAAGGACCCAGTGACATTACGTTTGATCAATCCAAATACGATCTTCCTTCGTCAAATTTACTTGCAATAAATCCTTGAAAGATGTGTGTTCTTTGACATAAAATAAGCTTATGCACCTTAAGTACACTCGTCGTACGACTTATAAGTACAAATTATAGTGATTTTTCTTCTTAATGTTTCATAGATTTAAATGGAAGGGAAAGAGGCCAAAGAATAATATTGTATTGTATGTACATTGCTAGAAAATTTCAGATTTTGGTTGTTCTGAAAGGTAGGGTACAGTATAAAGATAGAAGAAAAAAATATTTAAAGTTTTATTGTTATCTATCTTAACACTGTTAAAAATAGTAAATTTACCAAACACGCACCCATGACTTAATTTCTGATATTTTTTATCAAACATTATCTATGTCCGTGGTTGTGCTTTCCAATTTTTTGATAACACATCTGAGAAAGAAAAGGAATTCAAACAGAAGGACTAGTGATGTTTTAACAGGTGTAAATTAGTTACTTAGTTAAGTAATGTATTCTGACTTGCATTTTGGTCTCTCATTTTCAATTAAATTTTGCAAACTTTCCATCTATAAGTCATCTACCATTTTTACATTTCTTGTCACAATTAGAACATGAAGTTTAGAGTTAGAAAAAAATAGTCTACATCAAAAGTAGTCCAAGAACTCTTTCATTTGAGGCTTTTTGACCCGTGCAAATTTTCAAAGTAAAGGCCATATTTCGAATTATGAAAATCATTCAGTTGTTTAATCATATTCTGATTGTCACAACAGATCTTTTTTGTCAAATTCAGAAAATACACTGGGTTTTTAGGATTGTGTTTATGATTGTCTTTTACACTTTTATGGTATTATGAATACACTGTTACCATTAAGACATAAAGCAATACTTTTTAGATTATTAGACTTTATTGTTAATGAAACTTTAACACACGGTGTACTGATTAATACAGTTCTACAGTAGGACATTTTTATAAGTGTGATATGAGATGCGAAGAAAAATTATTATAGAGAAAATATGGTTATCGTAAAAATAGAAAATTATATATTATTCAAGAGTGAATCTTATCTATTTTCTGTCTGAAATATGGTTTACCTGAAATGAAATACTAATTATTTTCCTCCGTCAATCATATATGATATCTATATTATTTACTGATGATTAAAAAGTACTAAAATATATTAAAATTAAGATGTTCATCACTTACCCGATTTTCTGTATTGAAATCCGTATGTATAACCCTAACATTACATGTACATGAGTCGTTTAAATTGACATATCGCGCATTGTACATGTGGTTCTATCGTACCATAGGTGGTAAGCTGAATTGTCCTGGGGCGTTTGTTGTTATAATGAAAATAACGACAGGTAGGTATACAAACTTTGCATGTTTTTCTATCGCCACATGTGCATAGATTAAATGTAGCATCTATGTATTGAAATTGACAAAAAATCATGTCACAGTTCTGATATGGTTAGAGAGTACATAGAGAAAAAAAAAGTAGAAACAATATCAAGATTTTGCAAAGTTATAATTAAAGAAGTAGTAAGAGATATAGAAATCTTTGAAAACTTTTTAAAAAGTGAAACATGGTTGAAAAATAAAACATACCTCTAAGATTCTATTACTCGTCCAACGCCTTCAAGTTGGTAGTCTAGCGTCTTAGAAAAAGGAAAAATACACTTAAGTTTTACAACATAGGAAAAATGAACCAAAATCTACCTTGAATATTTTATAAAATTACTGAATTTTTAAAGATTATTTGGCTGTTAAAAATAATAAAGCTTGAAAATGAGAATGTATTTTATAAAGGTATCATTATATCCTATGCTTACCTTTCGGTTGAAAGAGCAGAAAAATTTCTTCAGGTGAAAAACTTTGCAAATAATAAAATCTGTTTACTTTCAATAAAAATTTTATGTATGCCTCGAATTACTTGAAAGGTGGAAGGACTGCAGTAAATTCATCGACATCTCTGAAATATTATTACTAGGACGCTCAAGATTACAGCCTTATTCTTAAAATGCAGCAAGCGTTAAATCTTTGATAAATGTTAGGGACCCGAGGTCGTGTCAGCCCAACATTTATCTATCGTAGCAAATTAACGTGATATTTTATCAAATCTGCCAAGAACTTTATCTTCTTGTATATTGATTGTAATATGGATTGCGTAAAAGAGATAAGTGTATGTATATGTTGTCAAAAAGGTATCGGTTTATGGAATAATTTGGCGCAATTTTGCAGACAGTGTAAAGATAGTGTAACAATCAAGGTCAATGCATACAAGTGCTTGAACCTCTGAATTCAACCTCTTATCGTGATTTTTTTTAACATAACGGTCAATAAAGTTTAAACTGTGCGATCTTTGGAGAATCATTAAAAACGAAATCCAGTAACATCCTGAGGATTAGAGGGGACCACAATGGCGACGACAAAATGTCGTGCTGAGTCAATGAAATGTAAATTAACGTTTTTTTCAAATCCGCTTAAAATTGAAATTTCAGTTCGACAACTAGTGCGATATTGAATGAATACCATGACGCATCAGTATTTTATAATCTTTTTTTTAAATTTGATGTCTTTTTCCTCTTTCAAAGAATTTAAAGTAAAAAAAAAATGTTTCCAAAAACTCTTTTACCATAATTATGATATAAATCAGAATTTTTTTGACAAGATTGAGAAGTTTGTCAGTTTTAAATGTGTTTTTTAAATGCTATAATGACTAATGTTATGACTTTTTTTTACACATTAAACATTATTCTTGATAAAGTTTAATGTGAAATTATCTCGCGAGAAGGCAATAATTATGTTTTACATGTAATTTATAAACATTACGTCATCAAGGGCGGATTTCTAAACAATCGGTAGTTGTTTATAGAAACAATTTTCCTTTTTTGGCTCAAAATGCATTTTGTTTACGTTCCTTCATTCCCAAGATATTTTACACAATAAATCTAAAAAAAAATATAATGCTACCATTATGTAGCATTCGAGCATAAACTAATAAACGTTTGCATTATAAATCCTTAACCTGATACAGTTTTGTCAACGATACTTTTTGACCGTTTTTTGATTTTTTTTTCTTAGGATATCAAAAACATACTGTCTCATATGTCATACTAAGAACAAAAATATCATAAATAATTAAAAAAAATTAATAATTATGCGAACGAGTTAACAAAAATGAAAATGCAAAAATGTAAATTTGATAAATGTTTGTTTGATAAAGGACATCAAAATTGTTCATAGATATTTGCGCTATATTTTCAGGAATATTAAATATTAGATATATTCAATATGGAATATATTTGCCTAATAGTGCATTTTGTTACCAATTTTTATATAATTTTGCATTGTTTAGGAACAATGCCCTAATTAATCTTATTTTACATTAAAATTGATTTCAGAAAAATGCTTGCATCATAAATATTGTAAACAACATTTTAACGTAAATATTTTAAATATGTACTCGCAGCTCTTATTGCTTTAATATACTAGTGTTAATAAGATAAACAAATCAAAGTACTCAGAAGTACAGAGGGCCGAGCTCATTTACAGAGTAGAATGGATTTCTTACATGAATCACGTTTATATTCTGATGAAAAAATTATTTTAAAACTATCAATATAAATGATAAGACACTGACAGTGAGTTTTTCAATCCTAATACCACGGTCCGATTTTGTCAGAATCAGAGTTAATCTGGTACCGCAGCTGAATGTAAACAAACATGTAGGCCAGTCTCGTTCCCTCTCCTGCTTTACCTCGTATGTTTAGAGAACTACAGTAACACTGATTATCAAAAATCCTTACGCTAATGAACTATGTTCTTTGACTTATGAAGTTGTCAAAGTCATTACTACAAATGTTTATTTTATATAGATAAAACTTCGTTTTATTTTTGTTGCTTTATTTAGCGTTTGTATTATCTCAAAAGCGGTTGAGAGTAAGAACTATATTTTTGCACGTAACTTTAAAATGGCGACTATTGGGTTAACATCCTGCCTTGAACAGGATCACATAAGCCGGCATTTGCTCTTTGAGCAATAAGCCCGGCTAAAAATGACTTTTGCTCATAATACTATAAATATATAATTGACGCATTGATTATGCCAAAATGAAGTTATTATAGCTAATCCAAAATTCCCGTGCCCAACTTTGAATGCAGGTGGTATTCTCTTTGATAATTTTTCATTGACAAAGGACATTTTACAATCATAAAAGCAAACAAAACGTTCATTATTTTTCTCCATCACGGAATCACGACTATCGTAATGAAACTCATAAATTACTGATTTATTATACTTCAATTAAAACGCTGAAATCAATTAAAGATTCAAATTTCCTTTAACAAGCGACAACTGTCAAATTATGGTTAAATCTGGTTTTTATTCCTTGTTGGTTAATTGAAATTTATTCAAATGATGAAATGATGTGGATAGAATAATTTGAATTGAACACGAAAAAGTTACAAGTATGGAAAAGGTATAATTTATGTTAACAATATGATCTTAATACACTTCATTGTTAAATTATTTTGAAAAATAAATACATGTAATAGACATGCAAAAACAGAAAAAAAAATAAAATGCAGTAAATAATATTTACTTACAGAAACTTTTTTTTCTATACAGAACGCCTCTAAGGTTACGGAAGCAAAGAGGATACTCTAAGGATGTGTAGATTTTATAAAGAATTTTACTTGATGGCAAAATGGAAATCTGTTTCTCATATGCTTGTGAACTGTCAGAAATAGCTGGCCTGATAGTTATGCCGTTGAATAAAAACATTAAATTCCTTTTAAAATGGACTTTATTAATTAAAACCATCGACTTATCTATGCACAAATATTAAAATATTAATTGTTTCGACGATGAAAAAAAAATTATGTAATCTGCATACTTGTAGTTTACTCATTCATAATATCTGAAGGCAAACATACGCTCATTCAAGTATAATTATCAAAAGAATTTACACTTTTCATCATAGTTTTTAACAGTAATTAAATGTTACATCTACGAAGAAGTGTTGAACGAGGATATTAATTATGTAAGTGATATTCAAGAAAAGGACAATTTTTTTTCAAAAATGAAACTCCATTTTAAATAAATTTAATATTTAACATCACATAAATAAAAATAAGGAATATTTTACAAATTATATATACAAAAATTTAAAAAAAGAAGGAGAATTTTTAACAAAATTCTCATCCAATATGTATATAATCGCATGTAAACAAGGCTCTATCTTAATGGAATATATGGGGATTACGAACTCAATTCACACTCAAAAAAGTCCATTCAAACAACAAATCAGGAGCAGAGCAAACACGGACCTCTAAAACAACAGACATGGAATCAGAAGTCGGAGGACTAAACATCCCCAACGGATCGTCATGTCATGACCGCCGTATACTCCTTGTCATCATCGGGAAATAACAGAAAATGTGTAGACAATTCAGTGTGTAAGTATTGGTCTACGAATAAGTATATATGAAAAACGTCAGTTTGCATTTGACTTAATGATAGATCGTATTTGCTGACAAAGTCTTTGTGCATTGCATCCAAAATACAAAATGAAAATTTAAACGAGAATACTGATATTCTTGTTTCATCATCTTGTTTTAGAAATATGAATTGAAATTAATTGTTAATATTTTGTCAATATATATCAATGTTGAGTTGAAGTCCAATTACATGCAAGTGTTTTGTTCTTTGTGTAAGATTTTAAAATAAATTCTTTATTTTATTTATACAAAAATAGGTCTACTTCATATGAAAATGGGTGCAATAGGTATACACATGGAATTCAAACAGATTGTTAAAATACTTGACCCCCCGAAAAAACAAAGTAAACATTGTCAATCAGAATTTCAGGCATCTTTTGAAAATCAACTTTAGAGTACTTGTATTTACAACAAGAATGTTTTTAACAAAATGATTTTGTAAATGGCTAATGACAAGGCAAGTGGATGTACAAGATCCACTTTATTGAAAAAACCCCCCAGCTTTTAATGATGACAAAAAGCCTGGACATTTAAATATCTTTAAGATTGGTTGTAGATATAGTTGAAATTAAAATAAATATTGAAAATAAAAACTCTTTAGCAAACTGCTATTGCTGTTAGAGTCGTGGATAAGGTAATTAATTCTTCCTTGTGAGTCCGAATTTACTGTGCGACGCAATAAACAGTCGTACAAGTGAAGCCTTTTATTAAACTGCTTTTCCTTAATTTTTTGATTAAAAAATTGAAATTGTTAACAAACCAGTAATACATGTACAAGAATACGTTTTCCAGGCCTCTTTAATACATGTTCAGTTGCAGCAAATTCAGATGTTGTAGTAAATGAACATTGCTAAAGAATAATAACTAAAAAGAAACTAGTCCTTCTGATCAAACACTTCTATACTGGTCTTAGGATTTGTCTTTAGTTTCCTGAAATAGAAAAAACATTTTAATCACTTAATTATACAGTGTAATTAATGACTTAATTATACAGTGTACATACTAAAATTAAAAAGAACCAACGAATATCATGAAACAGTACGCATTCATTCCCTAACATAATACTCAGTACAATTGAGAAATTATTCAAGTTAGTCGCGAACATGCAATTAATTATTCAAATATAATTATATTGAGTATAAAAAAAGAATTAAAGTGTACATGTGTATATTGAATATGAGATACTTACAGTTTGCATACGTATGCTGTTAGGAACAGAATGACACCAACGCAGATAACAATACAAAGAGGAAGCACCCAGTACAGCATGTCGTTATTTTTACAAACCTCCTTGTCATTCTCGTTCAATTCAAAAAGGATTTTTTCATCAGATGATGAAATATTTATGTCACATTTAAAAAACCGAACTGTCACAATGCAGTGGCCTGTCAAACCTCCAGTGTCATTCACAATGATATTGAAAAAGTATGTTTCACTTGATATATTTTGTTTTAATGAAAGTGAACCATTCTCAGTCAATGAAAACGTTTGTCTTAAAGGATAATTGCCTAAGTTGCTCTCATTTATTGATGGACTTTTTGATGAAAATGAGAACGACACTGGAGATCCATCAATGTCCTCTGCTGTCAAGTTCACGATAGGAACTCCAAGTGGTATGCACAAAGGAGTATAAGTCGTTAGGTCTTTACAACTGGGAGAGTTGTCGTTCGTATTGTGAATTCTTATGATAATCGTTGTGAAAGCAATTAAATTTCCTGAATCAGTTGCAGACATTTTGAGATAAAACTGAGATGGCTGACCATGATCCACATCATAATTAGCCTTAAAAGACAATTCACCCGTTGTTTGATTCAGATGAAAGGGAGCTTCAATTCTTCTTGTTGTGTCATTTATATCATGCACTTTGTAAACTAAAGTATCTTCTGCATCTACGTCCACTGCTTGTAAGGTCATGCTTTGTTTCTACAATTATTTAGAGTAGATACATTATCTAAGTTTAATCATCTAATAAAATCTTAATTTTTTTCGGCTGATATAATTTTTAAAAAACATAGAATTTTCCACTTGCAAGAAAATTAAAAACTAAAAATATATGCATGTGCATGAATGTGGTTGTATGTTTCATTTTATCTTCAAGGAGGGGGTGTTTTAAAAAGTGTTTTCAGAACAAACGGAATAAGTGTCATCATAACGACCATTATTTTAAAAAAAATAGATTGGAGTTAATTATTTTTGCTTGGAATGATGTGGACTTCAACCCAACCTAACCCCCCCAAAAAGATTCGTAAATGCATACTTTGTGAGAGGATATGTTATGAATTCCTATGCTGTCACAATATGAATTTATTCAAAATAAATATATAATCAACATATTTGTCATTTATTTTTACCTCCATACTTTCTTGAAAGTCTAAAAAGTACACATCTTTCGGGAAAAATGGCGCATCGTTCTCATCTCCGATATTTATTGTCAGATTATATGGCTCAGGCCATGACTTGTAAAATATATGGAATTCTAACACATGCGTATTTTGAACTTCAAAATCAAAGGTAGCATTCTCATATGCGTGAACAGTCAAATCTACAAAACGTTAAATAGGAAAATTGTGTCATTGTACAACGAAATACCCTGGTTTTTGAAATATAGCTATATATTATGTATACATGTATAAAAAGTTTTCAAATGATTTTCTTTATTTTTTTTCACTTTCTGAAAAAGTTTGAAGTTATGTCGGACTTTGCAAGGTCTACGAAAAGTTTTCTTTTGTATATCATCAATTTTAATAATCAAAGATTTTTTCTGTATGATAACAAAGAAAACATTATCAATATAGATTTTTTGAAAAAAAAAATCTATAATTTTTTGGTTTAATTTATGTGCCTGTGTAAAATCACTCCATTACCATTTGCATCGAAAAAGAAAAGAATCTCTGACTCGGGGGGATAAGCTATGAAAGTAAAGACAGTAATTTCGTCATCTTCAGACAATCTCAGCTGATATATCGGACAACTTCCTCTAAAATTCTCCGGAATAGTTATGGTTGTCGGAAGGTTTTCTACCACACCTGAAAAAAATCTGAAAACGTTATATAAAAGCTACACTAATCTAGCTTTTTTACCTGCTAAAATAAATTGAAGAAACTGATAAAAACATGCCTCAATATAGAAGGTCAGGCCTACTGATATCGATTTTGATTTTCTTGATCTGTGTATTTTATAAGTTTTTGTATTCTTCAAGCCACCAGTTTGAAACATTTATGGAAGTAAATATTGGGGATAGTACGATTTTGAAATTAGGAATTTAAACAAAGTCATGATTTAACAAATCTATATTCATAAGAAAGACAGGCTTTATCTCAGTTTCCAACTTTACTTTGGCTGAATAATGAATAAATCTTGATGGCCGTAAGAAGATACAATCATGTAACTCTCGTTAAAATCATTTCGATAGAAACTTTCTTTTAATTTTGTAAATAATTGACATCTGTTCTGTACATGTATATATTCTATTCATTATTTTAATTACTTTTAACGTCTTAATGGTTAAAAGTCTGAAAATAAAAAAAATATCAGGCAGATCCTAAGCTATCATTGAAGTCAATCTATTTCATTTTCAAACTTTTTTTTGAAAATGTATTGACAAAACGCATATATAAACTTACCATTCTGTCCAGTTACCTTAGCTACATTTATCAATAAATACATAATCATCCACAGATTCCTTACAAACAAAATCATCTTTCGCGTCGTCGGTGAGTTGAATTTTTTTAATAACATTCTAAAACAAAAAATGTCATCATTAAATTGAAGCGAAGCATTTTAAGTGTAAGCTATAAAAATTTTATCATCCTTTTAATCAAATTTTATGTCTGTTTCGTCTTTATGCCCCAGTTTAGTTCCATTGCGTATAATTTGACCATGAATATGTATGCCATTGCATCATTGGTGTCGTGGGTGCCCTTTGATTTTATATATTGCATAAACTTGGCGATAATGTGAAGTATATTTAAGTGTCATGTAGCAGTCGATTCAGTCCTTCTTAAATTTAAGGTAATTGCTACAGGTGTTGCATGCATGTCTTAATATGCCAACACAAAATATTTTTAGTGCAAAGTAAAACCATTAAAAAGTCAATTACAGCAAATCTGTTTCTGTTCTCTCTCAAAAATATTCAAATTGGTCATATAAAAACTAAAAGTAAAATGTAATGCTCTATTAATCAACATTCAAAAGTACCGCCAGAAAGATGTAAGAATTAAATTTAATTACAAGAAAAACCATTATTGAACATTTGAAGGTAAAAACACTAGAAGAGATTTATATAAAAGTTACTCTAAATTTTTGAACTATGTTTAAATACATGTAATATTCAGGGGTTGGCACAACCCGGAGGCTCATGAGAAGCAAAACACAGTGACGTTGTTACTGCATTTAAAAGACTAACAGTTTATTTAGATAAATTCCCGTGTGAATAGGTCTAATCGAAAGGATAAATTACACGATGCAAACAATGAGCATGTACCATGTATGAACAATTTCTTAAACGATACAAGCTATTGAAAAACAAGTTGATGACACAAAAAAATCAACAGTTTTAACTAGGTATCAATATTGTTTCGTGAAATTTGAGCTTGAATACTGTTCGTTATCTCCATATGTTTCTTTTTATGAAAAGTTTCAATTTGCTAGTGTTTGTAAAAAATCTTACAAATTGTTGTTTAAATGAAATTCTCACTTTCTCGAGGAACGTTAATGATTACTGCCTTTTTAAATTTAGAATTGCTCATAACTCGAAAATACTGCGAAGTAATTATTTGAAATTTATATGTATACTCTGTCCATTATGGTATCACTCGTGAAATTCTTTATATCACAATGATTTTTTAAAAGTATGTTTTAGATACGTACTCATATACATGTAGTATGACTAAAAATCGGAGAAGAAATAGAGGATCAGTGTGCATCTTACTTAGCTTCGGTACAATTAAGTTGACATTTTTTCACTTTAAATTTTACTATTTCATTAATCACTTTAACCTTTATCATATTCATCATATGTAACAATGGCTATTATTATAATCTTATTTTACGTAAATTAGTTTCAATGATATTTATCATTGAACAAATATTTATTTATAATTAATGCGTGTAAATTATTGTGTGACCTTTCTGCACTAAAAAGTAACATATTTGGGGTATCAAAAATCTAAAAAGGCAATAAAATATTTTTTGTATCAAATTTTTACGAGTTAAATACTGACAGCCACAAGTATCAAGTAGTTTAAAATAATGGGGAAAAAAGTTGGTGTCAGTGATGTAAACTTTGAAATATTGGTCCAAATATCCGATTTTCAGGCAAAAAATGGTGTAGGCTAAATTTTACCTTGACTTCTTTAATATATCTTCATTTCTCGGCAAATTTTTTGAAGGAAGGTGTAAAACTTGTTCTAAAATATAAATTGAGACCCGTATTTAATATTCCTAGCATATCATAACGGAAAATATTCTCCGAGTAAAAGTATGTGAGGCTAAAGTTCCAAGATATTCAATTGAATTAAAGTGCATTTTTGCAGAATTTTCTGCGAAATATCCTTCCACCACAAGAAATAGTTCTTTATAGATTTTGTTTTTTGTCAATTTTTGAGCAGTTCTTTTTATTGAATGTTGAAAATTTACATTGTTTAATTCAAACACGTTATATGAATTGAATTATAATAAATAACTCCTACCAACTATTCCACGTTTCTCCTATGGAAGAAAAAATGTCAGATGGGACGTTTTCTCCTACGGGATTTTTTCTCCCATGAATTTGTTCAAATGGGTTAAATCCCATGGATATTGACAATGAATTATTTTCTCCAATACATTGTTATAGTTGGTATATTATAGTTGGTATATTTTCTATATATTATGATGAGAAATGTGTCATTGTCATACTGTATGGGATATATTTCATGTTTCAAAACGTATGGGAGAAATTGTTTGATTGTCAATATCCGTGGGATTTATCCCATTGAACAAACTTGTGGGAGAAAAAATCCCCTAGGAGAAAAGATCCCATCTGACATTTTTTCTCCCATAGGAGAAACGTGGGATTATCATAGTTGGTGGAGTAAAAACCCCACCATTCTCCCATGGGATTCTGAGTTTTAGGACTCTATATTTTTAGAAGTTGAGATGTTTGTGAGATCAACATAAGACCCTGGGATACTCCCATGAAATCCCACCAAGTAATATAAAAATATTTTTGATATCACAATGAGAAATGGTAGTAAAAAGTCTGGACTATGTCATGTCCAGAGTTAAATTTCGTACTGTTTTATCATTTTCAGCAGCTGCTTAAAGTAATGTCAGCTGATTCGAAAAAGATTTTTTTTTTTGACAGAAAGTTGGGGTTCAACTTGTTCCCTCGATGAGTTCACACTAATCCTTATCAGAAGCGGACCAAAGTAATTCTATGATTAAAATTTTGTATATTAAACAAAACAGATGGTATCACAGATCCGGTATATTTTGTAAATTAAACCAAGTGCAATTTGTTAATTTAAAAACGGAACTAGAGCCCATACCGCTACAATGAACATTACTTGATCTTTAGTGCAGTACTAGTATATCTATGGAGCCGTAGCAAGGGTGAACAATAAAAAATAATATAAATGAAAGCACTCACCCCGCCCAAAAAGTTTTTTTTGCCAACCCCCCCCCCCAAAAAAAAGTTGATACACTGAAAACTCGCGCATGCGTATGTACGTTTACGGGGAAAGATGAATGGGATCGAGGTTGGGTAATCATTTTCGAAGAATCAAATTTTGGTGTTATAACCTGGATGGATAAACATACAACAAATAAGAAGTGCAGATGGCTAAAAAATGAAATTTTCTATACAGAAACCCTTTTCATGTAGCCCTGCCCCTTCGGCATTCTGAAGGTCTTCGATAATCTTACGCTTAAATTCTGTTTGTCTGTGTCTTTATCTCTCTCTCTCTCTCTCTCTCTTTCTTCATATCTAAAGTCGCGTATATCGTAAACCAGATTTTTGGACTGATTAGCTAAATATTTCACTGACGTCCATTTTTTGTCCAACGCCTGTCATTACCCAGACTCTCGGTTTTTTAAGGTTTCATTCGAAGGCTCGCAACACTCGGAGCTCATCGGATGACTCGTTCCTCGCACACTGACCTCGGATGTCACAGTGCTCTACCATATTCCTGATTCAATAAATGTTATACATTTGAAATCTGAGTTATTTTGTGGCACGTCCAACACTTTGTTTGAGCTTTCAAATCCTACTTATCAAATAAGTTTTATTGTCAAAACCTATCTACAATGAAGGAAAAGAAGCCTTTTCGAAGAAGTTTATGCAGAGCAAAATTTTAAACATGAAATTAACGAAGAGGCAGGAGTAATGTATCCAACGTGATACTTTTCCTCCACCTATAACATCCGAGGTGTGAATTGACCATAGCGTAGTCAGCCGAGGATAATTGGGCTTGCAACTTTCACTTTCGTCCGAAATGATGTTTTCCAGGCTTTTTTTGAACGGTTTTGATATTTGACTACTTTCATTTCAAAGAGCCGAGCGTTTTACTTCTTACGTTTTATAAACTTTGGTTACTTATGGTCGAGATTCAAACTCACAACCTTCCAAACACGGAGCAAGCGCTCTACCGACTGAAGTACCCTGACGAAATTAGTTAATTTGCAAATAAGAGTGATAAAAGTAAAAATCCAGATATTATAACAAGTTATTATTATAGTATGGGGAATTTGATGCCCCCCGTATTCAAGATTTTGGGGTGTATAGTTTTTGTCGTGTCGGTCCGTCTGTCTGTATAGCTGTCTTTTTGTCTGTCTGTTTGTCCGCAAAAACTTTAGCCTTGGCCATAACATTTGATTTAGTGGAGCTATGACTTTCAAATTTTACATCTGTATTTCCTTTGACAAGGTCTTTCTTTAGGTCCCACCAACTTTGACTTTTTGACCTTGACTTTGGGGTTTGACATACTTTTACACAAAAATTCCAAACTTTTACTTTGGCTTTAACGTTTATACGGTAGATACTAGGACTTTTATATATTTCACATATGTATTTTTTGGTAAAAAAATTCCTTTTTCACCACTAATTTTGACCTTGACCTTAAAGATTTACGTTATTTAAAATAAAATAACGCCAGTCATAACTTTTGAAGGGTAAGGGCCAGGGCTTTCATACTTTACATATGTTATCCTTGTGAAAAGACCTTTCATTGGATACCAAGAACGTAAACTCTTTACCTTGGAGTTTGACCTACATTATTAAAAACAAACCTTATTCATATTTTTGAAGGGTTCAATCTAGGGCTTTCATACATCACATATTCATCGTGTGAAAAGACCTTTCATTAGATATCAACAACCTTGACCTTAGAACTTTAACCTTTTCCATGATTTTTGAACCATTAGAATTAAGGCTTTCATACTTCACATGTGTAATCTTTGTAACAAGACTTTTAGTCCTTACTTCAGAAACTAATAATTTTGACCCTTTGACCTTCACCCTGGTGTTTCAGCTACATGTACCTCTCAAAAACTAATCTTTGACAATAACTTTTGAATAGTTGGTGCTAGGGCTTTCATATTTCACAATACATTTCTTGTGAGAAGATATTACTTTGGGCATCATTATATTAAATTGCATTTAAGAAAAGTCCCATTGCTACATCTTCGCTACGTTGCCGTACCGGGACATCAGTGTTTCACAAACACATCTTGTTTTAATTTGATATGAAAAGAAAGTTAAAAAACGTCATGCGTCTGTGACTTAGACATGAAAGTGATATTGAGGGTTTTTATAGCCTCAGTGGGATCATTTCTGTTGAAATGAGTAGGGATATTTTTTTAAATAGTAAAATATATGGTAAAAATTTGGAATTTTCCAAAAATAGGATAAAAAAAATCATGTAGTTACATTGCCACTCATGGAAAACTTTGCAAAATTTATTTTCCCGAAAACATAAGCTACAATGTACCATCTCAAAAATTTAAACGAGTGTTCCCAAGGTTTTCCAATTTTTTTATTACATATATTGTTCACGGTAACTTTTAGCTCAGTTGGTAGAGCGCTCACTTCGTAATCGGGAGGTCGTGTGTTCGAATCTCAGTCGCGACTGACCTAAACCGATTGAAAAATGGGTAGCAACGGTTCCTTTGCCATTTGCTCGGCACTTGAAGTAAAAGTTGCGGGTCCTTCGGATGAGACGTTAAAAACCGAGGCCCCATGTACGACGGACATTGACACGATAAAGATCCCTCACTGCCCAATGGCCCTAAGTGCGAAATAAAGGTTAAAATTTGAAGCCCTTCACCGGTATATGGTGACGTTTTTACATGAGTGAAAAAATTTCGAATGAGAGTAAAACAACATACAATCAACCAATTACTTTATTACATGTATTTCCACAAAAAAAATTCTTAACATTGTTAATCCCAAGTTGTAAAAAGGAACCCCTCCAAATTTTCGCCTATTTATACACGTACGACCATCTGGGGTGCCAAGACAATTAGGGTAAATGAAGTTCGTGCAGTACTTGTACAGTCATATAGATTTATTTTGGCAGTCGATAAAGAATTTGTAAGGAAAAGCCGATAAATTATATTTTGAAATATAGTATACTAGTACATAAAAAAAACAGTGAGACATCGCAAGTGTTATATTAGTGCGCAGTTATTACATGTATACACGTTTCTCGATTGGTTGTACTGTAACTGTCTGATCGCCCATCCCAAAGTTTCAGACCAGATCAGACTGCAATTTTTACTCGACACTTGCAGCCTTTAAGTAGTGTGAAGAAAGAAACAGTCTTCACGTCACATAGGTTCACAGGTCTCGAATCCGCGACGTGAGGATAACTCCTTCTTTCGCTACTCTAGCGCAAACGCTTCAAAAATCGCAATACATCAGCTGCATTTTTTTAAAAAAATATTTGCCGTTATTATAATACATTTTTATGTAACTTAAACCGTTATGATCAATTAGACTAATATAAAGCAGAAGAAAGACCTCTATATACAATCCAATATACAGTTTTATATAAGAAATCACTATTGTACAGGAGAACAATACATTTTTTTGTAATTTTGATTCAATCGAATCTTGTAAATAGTTCTTCAACCGCAAATATAAACAACAGATAAACGCTATTCTTTGTCATTGAAATAGTTATTTACAATTTTGAAGCAAAAAATTCCGACATCAAAGTTGCAGCTCATATTGCTTTAATTGACTAAACATTTGTTACAAATAGCACCATGTTTCTGAGCTAAAGTTTCAATATACAGGATGTACAGTGCACCTACTGTATAATAAATCTGGTGGTATGTAAAAACTAATGCGTCATTACGCTTATAATTCATATATAAATATGTATACTTTTATTTATTTTAGAATACATTTCGTACAATGAAGGTAGGTATTTAAAATTACTACAGTAACTTATAGCAACTTACTTAATCCATATATGAAACTTTTAAATTTTCGATGTTTTACAAATTACATGTATAACACCCGCAGATATTTTGCTGTAACTCTAGAGCTCTAAAGCGATTCTTCTGCTGTACCATACACTGTATGTGATTTAAATTAAAATTTCATATTATATTTCTTTTGACTGAAGGGCGATTACATTAGACAGAAATCATTTTTACTTGGTGTTTTAATAATTTAATTACTTGCTCGAATTTTAAGGTTTCCATTCGAATACCTGTGACCGTTTTCAAAAAAAAAAAATTCTTACTACTAAGGCAAAACTTCCTCCAAATGAATCTACAACAACAATCTTAGCTGCAAATAAATGTCTTATTTTTCATTATATTAGTATTTTGAAATTACAGTATTTAGATTTTTTTTTAAGTTACGAAGTCGATGCAAAAGATGAGAATGAATTGGTACAAAAGTGCACTTTTAAGGGTATATGATAGTGAGTCTTTGGTCCATTTTGTGTAAACTAAAAAGTGTTAAAGTGTTTAATTCAAACTTTAGGACTAATTTTTTTTTAAAAAAGCGAAGTGCCAATCATTTAGGGAAAAAATTCTCACAATATTAGAAAATGATCCTTTTTTCCTCAATAATGTGTGTATGCTATTACCTGTGCAGGCAATTAATTTCAGTCCTTGTGAGATTTTTGTAAATTGTAGAGATATTAGATAAAGTATACTTTAACATGTTTAATGTTAGATGAAAATCAAAGAAAAACTTGATATTGTTGTAACTGAGATTCCATTTTCTACATCCTGTTTTTCACAATATAGACATTTCGTCCGTCTTTTTTACTCATCGTCTTTTAAAATATCTTCACAGAAGAGTCAGAACCTTTCTTCCTTTAGTTTCATTCTAAATAATGTTGCATCGAATGGTGTTGCAAAATATTTTTGACAAAGATTCATTTTAGTTTCAGCTTTCTGTCTCAGTTTTTCTTATTTGGCAATTTGTGCTTTTGGAGTTGCTCATACAACCTGCAAACGGGAACTTGGATGCTGTCAGTAATTACCAAGATGCTGCGTTTATAGTAATTAGGAATGAGGATGGTAATATTATTAGAATTATCATTATTAAGTTCGATCCTCCGAAGAACAGAAGGAGATGCATTGTAAGTGAAAGCTGTATCTACAGAATGTACGAGGGTTGATCCAAAAGCAAACAACAGCAAACAACAGGTATATTTATACTATAGGGTCATAAAGCAACAATACTGGAAAATTTTACAACTTTCCTATTACCAGTAAGGGCACACGAGCTTTCTGAAAATGGATTGTTGTGAAACCCGGGGAAGACTTTGACGTTACGTTAAGTTTGATATGTCACGTCACATTATAGAGGCATCTCACCCTAATGCACAATTCAAATACGTAATTCTACAAATGCTGCCTTTTTCTCTAATTTTTTTTCTCAAGAAAAGCCTGGGTATCCTCGAGCACCAACTTACCTTCATTTTTCACTCATATTTCAAAATACTCCCCAACTTTCCACATGATGTTACAATTTCAGTAGCAATGTGAAGAACAGCACGCCAGCCGACAACGTCCGTTAACGCTTTTAATTTGTCTACGGGGATAAACACCCCAAAAAGCGGCCACACCTTTAATAAACGTCCATAGAAGTTCTATTTTTCTTAAATTTCTTATGCCACTGGAAAACCAGTAACTAAATGCATTTTTGCCCGGCTTATGTCAATAATATACGCGTTTAAGATAGTGTGATCCCGGAATTTTCACAAAACTTATGACTTGAACGAAATTTGACTTTGTCTAATAACTTAAAGAAGAGCAATAAATAACGAACTAATAAACTTAATATACAGTAAAATCAATAAAACTCTCACACAAAGGTTTATAAAAGATCAAGCAATCGTAAGAATGACACAGTTTTCGTTTTATATACCACATAGGGTGGTTTTATTCTCATTTCTCGTATTTAGAATTAAAACGATAATAAACGTTTTAATGTCTCCCCCGCATTTCCAAACAACCGTTTCCATGGCAACTGCCATAGAGTTACTATAATAAATATTTAAAATGTTTTTTTTTATTTCAAATATTCAGAAATTGTCTATATTCTAATTTGTAACTTTCAACCAATTTCACTTAAAAATAAATAAAATATGAAGAAATTCCACGAACTTTTGGATCAACCCTCGTATTTTATTTAGAATTACAATTATTTTACTTCATTTTATGGAAATTGTATGTAATTTAAAATTATTCGAAATGGTTGTTTTCATTGTTTTCATTGTGAACCTCTATTTACAATTTATCTTGAGTATTTTACCTTTTTGATTGCCCCATTGGTTTGATTGATTGATTGATTGTATGTTGTTAAACGTCCCTCTCGAGAATATTTCACTCATATGGAGACGCAACCTCTTGCAAATGGAGGGCTACAAATTTTGTACTTAAATCGGCACTCAGAGACACTGAGAAGTGAGAGATCTTTTTCTTGCGACACAGGACCTTGGTTTACATGGTCTCATCCGAAAGATCTCCACGTCCCACTGCGGGAGTCGATTTAACTTACTTCGCAACTTCAGAGCAGATTCTTTAACCACTGCGCCACGCAAACACTCATACGGAGGCGCCACCACTTGCCTGTGGAAAGCTACATTGTTTGTCCTATATTCGGCACTCAGGGTCATTGAAAAATGAGGGATCTTTTTCGTGCGAGCATCTACTGCGACACAGGGCATCTGTTTATACGGTCTCATCCGAAGGACCGGTCTCCACTTCCCACAATGAGATTCGAACCCGCGACGTAAGGATCTACTCCTTAATTCGCGACCCTAGAGCAGACGTCCTAACCATTGTGCCACGCGGGCACTCCATTGACTTGAAAGATTTCTTGGTACGGCAGAGCTCCAGATAAGGTGCGTATTTGCAGAAATACGCATTAAAGTTTTTCAAAATACGCCTTGAAAATTAAAATACGCATTAGCAATCATAGATACGCATTACACCACGAAAGTACTGCGTACAAGTTGAAGAATACAGGTACGACTTACTTAATGATACGAATTGAGGTTAACTCAGTGTTTGATTTTTCTCAAAACGAAGTACAGATTTAAAAGCCTTTTAGTGACCAGGAATATTCTAGTAATGACGACGCAATCGCATCATCTCGGGTCTTTCCGTCAGAGGTCGGAAAAACAACCTCGAATGTATTAACATCACCGGATGTTAAAATTTTATACATTTCCTGTTTATTCAAATATAGGATAGACAGGGTTAGAAGTCCCTTCTATAGTATATTTTAAGTAATATCATTATGTACATTGTATAAAGTTCAACTCCATATTCCACAAATAAAAGGTATCCATGCATTTATTTCAAAGATTGTGAAAAGGGAGGGTTGACATGGCGTCTACCATATACATTCGAGGTCGTTTTTCCGCTAGTCGGAAAGGCCCGAGAAGTTGCGATTGATGACGACGAAGATCTCCATTTCGGGAGGAAGAATCGGAGATTTACACTAAAACCAATTTCCATGTAGAGAGACTATGCACTAGGCATAACTTTTTTTTTATTATAGGTTCATAGCCAATTTTTCATCTCTCTCAACTTACCATATTAACGAAGATTCTTTTAGTTTACTCTTGATACGATATCTTAAGGGGACGAAGGTTGTATGGTCACGTGACTCAGTTTAATTACGTCATAATCTCTGATAAAATATGTACAAAACAGATTGAAACCACAGTATTTGGGGAAAAAAATGACTGTTTGTTTGAGTTCACCATCTTGTATGAAAATATCTAAAAACATTCAAACTTTCTGGCAAATATTTTCAAATTTCGGAATAGATTGATCCACGCTTCTGTTTCCCTACACTGCGCGTCCAACGTCATAGTGGAATTTAGTACAGTAAGATTATATACAAGGTAAATCACGGGTAGTATAATATCATAAAAACGGGTCATGATCAGTACATGGTGGGATATTTTATGAATTACAGAACACAAAAAATATTTTTACATGGTTGTTGACGGAACTATTTTGTAGTTATGTCTTACTTCGCTTATTTCGCAAATGTGTGACGTCATAGTAGGGCTTTCCCGTACTCAAGAAATGTAAACATGACACGTTTTTCTCATGCTTATGTCTTGTTTAACTATGCCCTGTGCAATATTGAGCTCAGCTTCACCAATCGATATTTTTGCAGTTAATCAATAACATCATGAACTTGTATTTCGACGTAAATTTTCAAATATTGAATGATAGGATTTTTTGCAAATTAATTTTTTTGTTGTTTAAGTTGTCTAAAAAAGTATGCAATTTTCCGTCTCTAGATGCGATGTGACAAAAGAATCTTGCTTTTTCGAATTTTTAACCATATTCATACTGTGAAGTATTTTAAAAGACACATTTTCGCTGACATATTTTTTATCTATGCTGAAAAAATTCAATGATCGACCGAGTAATTAGCTCAAAAACATGGAGAATCCAAACTTCACTTGGACACTGTAGAGTTTTGTATTTGTCACTCAATATCTCAAAAATAAGTCTAGAAACCTATTGATATACCTGCTTTAAGGTATGTAGGACATGCTAAATTAGAGATATGCAAAATATGAAAAAAATTGAATGACAGGTATTTTTTCAGCTAAAGGTCCTTCATCCCCTTAAATGAAGGAAAAATTATCTGTGTCTCTGACAGTGTACCTTGACCTACTGTATAATCTTCCTTGTCAAAAAAGAATGCTTCCCAATCTTAGTCAAAAGTCTTGTTGTTATTTACAAAATGTATTTAAATAAATACAGGTACTGACCTTTGAAGTTTTTTTCCCTATTCAAAATCTCATACTTCGATTACAAGCTCAAAATATAGACCAAAACATTTCTATATAAACAAAATACTCTTCAATCATTTTGCTGAAAATCAAAATCTGCATTGATTTGAAAATCAGGGACTAAATACACTTTGGGGTAAAAAATTATTTGGAGCTCTGGTACGGAATAAGTATCCTTGAACGGCATTGTTTGCAGGTACTGAAGACACTCGGAGAGACCACACGATAAGCTTCAAGTCGAATCTTTCCTGAGCCGGGAGGTGGGGGGAGTACATGTAGCGGACAGCATTTAGGGAATTCTCGCTAGTAAGCTATAGCTTTTCTCGTGGTGTAGTAGAGTCTCCCTTTATTTCAGGCAAGTTACAATTTAATTTCACATTAGACGTCACTGTACATGTATGCCGATGAACGACTTCAAACGTTGACCTTCACTCGTCACTTACAGAAATTCGATCCTGAGCTTTTGGGCAGATTTTGGTCTGAACCTTAATTTCTAAAATTCTGCATCACTTTAAAGTTTTAACATTAAATACATTCCAGCAATGCAAAATGGAAAAATTATATGTCAACATGATTACATTTTTCCATTCAAGTAGGATTAATCCACGAACTATATTTCTGTTGGTCCACGCACATTTTGTTGTATATAAATGAAATAAAGTCGAAATATTCCACTTTATTACCCAAAATGGAGTAGAAACATGATAGTAAACAAAATATAATCATTTTTTTGCATGAATTATTATAAATAGATGCACTTTGTCAGAAAAAAATTTAATATGGAAATATTATTATATTAAAACCAAAATTTAAAAAAAAATTATGGACTCAAACTGAAAATTTGCATTATTTTTACAAATTATTGTAAGAAAAAGAATAAGCTTAAAAAAATATATGTTAACGCCATTACTTTTCGTGGTATGAGCTCCACTGGGACCCCCCTCGAGAAGTAAATATCTTGCCACATTTTCATGTAATACTGTTAATGTTTGAATGTATATTTGTATTAGCAAAGTTGTACATATTTAAAACAATAATCATACACATCCAATACCTATTGTCCCTAAAATTCATCTTATTTTACTCTTAAAAAACACACACACTTTTCTGTAAATTGGAGACAATGAAAATGAAAGTGATTGACTGATTCTCACAAACTGGATTATTTTGTTACAGAAAGTAAGTATGCTGCAAGTGAATCAAATTTTGTCATATACATGTACTTATATTCAAAATATAATTTTGCATTATGATTCGTGGATAAGCAGGTTGAGTTCTTGCTTTCAATAATTTTTTATTCAACATAAATTTTGTAATTAACACGAGGAATTACATGCTTATGAAGAAATACCTTTTATTAGAACTTTAGGCAGAGCGAAATATGAAAATTTATCCTGACAAGGCAGTTTCCGGCGGAGAAATGTAGCGATATGTTAAAACGCTAAGTAAAAGTCAAACCAATATAGTTAAAAAATCACATCCGAGGTTTGAATGAAGCGTGGTTCCGGTTTTACTCTTCGTAAATGACGTAGTGCGAGTGTAGACCTACTTTAATTTCTAAAATTCTGCATCACTTTGAAGTTTTAACATTAAATCTGGATTCTACAATGCAAAATGAACTATATTGCCCCGTGTCAGCCATTCAGGCGTTGGCCAGATATATTTCTGTTGGTCCACGCAAGCTGTTGACCTATCGACCTGTCTAATTTACATTCCAGTAGAATTATCAAGAAATCAACTTTCAAAGAGTTATCACAGAGAAAAATAATTAGAAATGGAAATATTATTATATTAAAACCAAAATAAAAGGAAGAATTGGGTCAGTGAAAAAAGACTTCCTGCAGAATTTTATGCAGAGCGAAAAATAAAATGTTGGCCAATCAATCGACAATAAATCGACATGGACAAGAACATGTGTGGCTTTTGTCTATTTATTCCTATGGTACACTTGATGAATAAGTGTAATACATGTGAAATATAATTAGTAAAAATATCTGGGGTTAAATAAAATTGATCTGTCTACAAGTTAAATCGAAATCTTTTCATGTAATTTATTTTTTCTTTGTAGTACTGTAAAGGAAATCTGTGCACGTTTACACAGTTTGATAGTAATAAGGACGGCCTTATCAGTCTGGAAGAGTTTTTACAGAAAGCAGAGGGCAAAATTAAACTATTCAAGACTGCTTTCCGATTGGTGGATACTAATGGTATTCAATGAAATTATAAACAATGACATTTGATTAGAAAACATGATACATTCAATTCTTTATTTTGGATGTACGTACTTTTCTCGTTCCAGCTGACGGACGTATTTCGCAAGAAGAGTTCCAGAAGTTGAATATCAGACTTTCGAGCTGCTGAAAACATAATTCAGTGTCGAAAAATATTAGCTTTTCAATTATTATATGAATAATAAAGATAAGCACTATTTAAAATTGTACCCTTTATAAATATAAAATGTTAAGTCATTTCCTCTTCAGTCCCCGAGGAGGTTGGTATTGAACATTAATTCGGATGTCACTTACAACATTCACGTACACTTACATTCAAATTGTAATTATATTTTTAAAAATATTACCCCATATTCATGCAATGTCAAGGAATATGGGATTTTATCTCAGTGATACATGTGCATTGCCCAATTTAGATTGAGTGCTTCGCGGAATAATCCGGGTTGTGCATCCCTGTTTTTGTTGTTGTTTTTTTTTGTTTGTTTGTTTGTTTGAAACGCCGCAGTGACTATATGTACATGGTTCGTGACGTATTAATTTCCTCCTTTCTAAGATACAGACGAGTACATTGGTAGGTTGGTTCAGGGGATAGAAAAATTTCAATTTTGGATTGATATTTTAAAAAAGAAAATACGTATTAGTCTGGTAGTGTCTTCCCAAATAGAGCACGTTTGACCATTTTCACTGAAATGTTAACTTCGATTGCGCATAATTTCATCGGATTGAAGATTATCTAAGCCTAGTAGTATAATTTTCAAAGGATGCCCCTCGCATATTTACCGGCAATATTGATAATTGAAAGCGGCTTTTACAAATGTATTCTCATGGGGAAAAATGTTTTCGTTATCTCAGTGCCCAGAATAACAAATTTAACTTGATCGAATAATGAAGCCAAGGATCTGGGAATGTCGACCTACATATTAATCATTACATAATGCCGGTGTAACGACGAAAAGTGACCCCCGTAGAATATTGACCGGGGGTCATTTTTCTACGTAGAAATTTGACCCCCTGGTCTATATTCTACGTAGAAATATGACCCACTTTTCTGTAGAAATTATGGCTAAGGGGTCGTTTTTCTGCGTGTGCACTGTAGAAAAATGACCCCGTAGAATAATGACCCCTTGTCATTTTTTGATGCAAAAAACGTTCGTTTTGGTAGGATTATTCTTGTTAGGCGAATGTATACGGGTAATATCAAGCTGCCTTATGCTTTGAAGTGTTAATTTCTAAAAGCTTTTAAGCTTAAATCACGAAATCAAAGCTATATAATACCTTACATTAATAATACAAACTGTTTTATCCCCATTAAAGGGAAACAATATTGAAATGTTCTAACTGAAGGCTATTAGAGCAAAGATACGCACATTCATAGAAACGTTTATTACATTTTTAACATTATATATATTTTTTTTGTGTGTCTTTTTACCAATAGAAAAAAACAACAAATGTTTTTACTTTACACTTTATACGTATGCCCCCGTAAAACTTGAACCTTGTCCATAACTTAAGACTGGGTGGGACTATGGCTTTCATATTTCACCGGTGTATTTCTATGACAAGACCTTTTTTGTGTACAACCAATTTTGAACTTTTGACATTGACCTGGGAGTTTGACACGCTTTTACACAAGAATTCCACACATTTACTTTAGCATTAACTTTTGGACGGTATGTGCTTGGACTTTATATCGAAGTAATGGCATGATAGACTAAGAGTTCATTAATTTGCAAAGGTAGTGTCTATATAAAATCTCAGAAGAAAGGGGATGTAACAGCAGCCATTAGTTAGGTGTCTGTGGGCTAAAAAGTGTTGAAAAGGGAAGTTTTCTTTTGAATTTATAGATATAATAAATGAGGAACAAAACCTTTGAATGATAAAAAAAAACACGGAGACACATATATAAGGTTTTATTGTATAAAAAAAGTAGGGGGTCAAATTTCTATGGGAGTCATTTTTCAACGTGTGTACGTGGAGTCGTAGAATTACTGGTCTGGAATGTTTTTCTACAGTCGAAAAATGACCCTACTTGTCGTAGAATATTGACCCGGGGTCATTTTTCTACGTAGAAAAAAGACCCCCTGGTCAATATTCTACGGGGGTCACTTTTCGTCGTTTCACCGGCCATGGGGAAATAACTCTTGCTTAAATCACCTCGATGAAAATCCATACATTTACATCATTTACATGACATACAAGCCGTTCTTAAAAAATATAAAATTATATATTATTTCATAAACTGCATTAATTTTAAACAAATATTAATTGTTATAAATAGGTAAAAGTTTTTGTAACATAATTTTGCATAGTGCAAAAGGCGAACTTTAGGTAAGGAAAGGTGGTCACAAATAAGTGGCCTTCTTAGGGTGAAATGATAAATTTTAATGTTTTATGCTAATTACAAAGGACAATAGTACAGGATAAACTAGAGCCGAGCTCGTTGCAAAGCAACGAATAGGTCTTCCGTTGGAGCTACGGAAAGGAAGACGTAACCTTGAGTCTAGGTCAAACCATTCTATAGTTATATAAGTAAGCAACCTAAAGGCTTGTTAAGGAAGCAACTTACAATGTTTTGCCAGGAAAAAGACTGTAAAGGAATGTTATGTGCATGACCTTGAACTTTCTAAATGGCCTTGCGACAAGCAATGACAAACTCTGTTATAAAAATACATAATCTGCGTGTTGCCGACTGGAAAAGTTCACGTTTGTTTTTAGATATTCTTTTTAGTCCATATATCCAACCAAAACATCTTATCTTAAGTGACCCTGAACTTGAGTCAAGGTCATGCCCCACCCTGCATTATATGAGCAATGTTTCACTGGTACAAATACGGTTGAGAATTTAAAGTTTCTCTGTCAGTAACAGTGACTCGTCCAAAAGACTGGATATCTTCAGTCAATTTTTTTTTTGAACATATATCGAATCGAAAGAACTTATTAGGTTCAAAACTATGATTTACATGATGATTTAACTAGAAATATATCTATAGGACATGAATGTCCCGCCGAGTGCATATTAGTAAATAATGCAACATTAAATCTATGACGTTTGTTGAGAATATCTTGAATAGTTTCTTAAAAATTGAAATCTTAAAAATGGAAATTCCGTTCAGATAATGCATAAAGGCATAAACTTACATAAAAATATCTTAAATGGTTTCTTTAATACTAAGCAAATTGCAAATAAAGGCAAGTGAGGTCAAGGTCATAGGAAAGTGCAAGATCAAAATGTATCAGGATACTAAAGTTTGATAAAAATGTCTTGAATGGATTCTTCAAATCTGAAGCTCGCCCGTGTGGCACAGTGGTTAGAGCACTAAGGTTTGGATAGCTCTCATAAGTGTGTATCAGCATATGAAGTTGAGTAAAAATATAAATGCTTTCTTCAAAACTGAGCTATATACTCACTGAATTAGGTAAAGTAAGATCAAGGTGAAAGGAGAGGTCAAAGTAAAAAAAAATGTATGTATCACCATAAGAAGTAAAAGAATACTCAGTCTTAAATGGTATGTTTCCGAGTTAAACACTAACATGAGAAAAGTTAGGTTAAGGTCAAAGGAAAGGTAAAACAAAATGTTGATGCAGTTACAAACGTGTACCTAGCCTATAGTACGTATCGGCACATGAAGTTTGATGATACTATCTTGAATGGTCTCTTTAGACAGATTTAAAAAAGGTGAGATTAAGTTCAAAGGAAAGGTCAAAGTCAAAATATGTTGATGCAGGAAAATAGCTCTCATCAATGTTTATCAGCATAGGACGTTTAATATGAAAAAAATTGAATAGTTTCTTTGAACGGAGGTAAACGCAAAGCGGGACGGAGGGACAGACGGAAAATGGAAGACGTACATGACAAACAATATATGCCCGGCTATTTTTATGGGGAAGCATCAAAGTTTCAATAAGAATGTTTTATTTGAAATTTGGAGACTTGTGAAATGATAAGTGGAGACTGATCCTATGGATGAGACCGGATAAATCAAGGTCTTGTGTCGGGGTAGGTGCTGGCATGAAAAGGATCCAAAGCATCTGATTTCATCAGGCAAAAAACTTGAAATTAATAAATGCAAAAGCGAATACGATTGATTAAAACAAATATGAGATAGAGTGAAATAAAATACCATATAACGGGTAATTTTTACTGCTGTATATTTTTATATTGCGTATATTTTCATATTTTATGAATTGGGGAAAAAAGGTGATTTAAATTCTTACACGTTGATCTTTTACGAATTGAATATTTTCGTAAAAATTAAAAACATCAGACGTAAAATTCCAGATCACATTGAATGCATTTACGTACAAATAATGTGTCTAAAATCCCTATGTAAGAGAGAGAAAGAAAGAGAGAGAGAGTTATTAAATTGATTGCGTGGACCTGTCCACGCAGGAAAATATAAGCGAGGTTAAACCGGATGCCATGGGCAAACGACAGGCTTCGCATATGCGAAAATGCTAGAGACTTAATTGCCCGTAGAATAATTCGCCCTATTCGAATTAGAATATACCATTCATTGGCGATTCGCGCTTTTAAATCCTCATATCGTATTTATATATTCATTGGCGGATCCGAATTTCTCTGTTATACATATATACTTTTATATACAAACTAAACATTGGTTTTATGGCACAAGCATTTATAGGAAGAACTTGCAGTATAGATAAATGTAACTTAATGTTCAACTTGAATAAGAAACGTCATTCAACGACTACAGTAGTTCTAGCTTTTAAAATATTGGACAAGTTTTCACCGGCATTTGTTTTTTGCATCAAGACTCGCAAAATATTTGATATTTCAGCAATCCAAATACCGTTTGATAGAGGGTTGTAGGCACGGTTTTTAATGTGGGGGGGGGGGGGGGGGCTCCGACAAAATCATCTGCGTACTGCAGAGCTGTGCTACAGTGTACACGTGTACCATCAGATATATTTTTCCCATGATATTCTTCCGTATAAAGCCAGAACAGTTGTCAAGTCACAGCCATTATGGATTACATACATCCAAAAAAAAAAAAAAAAGAAAAAAAAAATCGGCCGATTTTTTAAACTTACAAAACTAAATGCTAATCAAAGATAAAGTTAACAAGTTTGCATTGAGACTACAATCAGTCATAAGTAGGCAGATCATTGTAGAAAATGTGAACAAACCTACATGAATATTCACTACACCTAGAAATTTTTAAAATTGAATTTAGATAGAAACACATGCATATGGTCCACGTATTGCAGTCCTTTTTTTAAAGGACAGCAACTTGTTTATTCATGTTTTTTTTAAAAAACACATAGCTAGGCACACGTGCACGTCTAGTAATTATTTACCAAAAACAAAGAGAGACAACTCAAACTAACATGTATTCAAGTACAGGGTATTAAGAGGTCGAAGTTTTATTCAAAGCACATGAAGCAGAAGAAAGTGTCCAATATTGAAAACACAGGTATACATTTAATTGGAAGAGCTGTACTTATTAAGTCATTATCAGAAGTTATGCGTCTCGAAAAAAATAATAAAAAAAAAGAGTAACCAGGTAGGTCTAACTGATAAATTAATTGACGATGTTTGTATAATTTATATACAAGTTAATTGAGATTTACCTGTATGATCCCAATTGATGATTGGCTTAAAAGTGTGTAAAATACTAACAGTATACTAATTATATAGCCTCCATGGAGTGAGCTTAATAGCAATTAGCATTACTTTTACACATACCATGTTAAAAATTTATACGAGCCGTTTTATAAATTATGTGAAATTTTACGCGTTTAAATTTTACGGATTTATAAACCTAAAAAAAAAATACCCGTCATTCGGTAATATGAAAGAGGCGACATGATTTCAAAGCCAATTTCCACTATTATAGTACACTGTATTTTTAACATTCGATATGCCTGCATGCCTCATCCTCTCTGTGGCCACGCACGTTAAGAAAATAATAGAGAAACAAAAGAGTGATGGTAAAAATAAAACGTACATATAGTACATTACCTATCTCAAGACTTCCATCACTTATTATAATTATTTGCCGAAGCCCCTTTTCAATTATAATTTTAATAAAATACATTAACACGGAATAGAGAAATAATTTTGCGTGAACAGGCCAAAGAAAGCTATCAAAATTCAAAATGATTTTATGCACCAGTGTTAGGAATTGCGATTTAATCTAAGATCGGTGAAGTATTCTTATGTTCTAATTCGTTTCACTCAAACGAACATAAATTATTTACAATCAAAACAAGAACACTTGTCTACATAGGAAATGGAAGCGCTTGCTTGCCAATATTTATTAGACGTATACATTTACAAAAAACAAGTCTTCAATGGTATCGATTCTCTACCTTCCTTCTACAATATATCAAAAATATGATTAATCACACATAACGGTACAAAATGCATTTTAACACAATGCTTTTATATGTCCTCACTTCGCTGATTAAAAACGTAATATAATGCATGTATGAACACAATTATGCTTCCCTCGCCGCCCAGGAAAAACCATAGATAAAAAACAACATCGATTTATGTTGAAAAAACTATGGAAACCTGTAAGTCCGCAGCAATTGCGAGGTAAACAAAATGAATGGCGGACTCATTCTCACAAACTTACGTACGTATCATATATTATAATGTACAATTAATCGACTAGTTTAAGTAAAACCTATGCAAAATGAATGTAAGTTAGAACTATCTGTAAACACATTTCGACTATATGTAGTTAATATGTACCCTTACACAACAATCTTACATTTATATCAAATTTTACATAAAATTATCTAGAGCGACTAAGCAAATTGTTTCCCATCTTTGACAATTAATCTGTTGTGTACAAAACTTTTAATTTTCTTGAAATGAAAACAATTACTTTCTTTATTAAACAAAATACTAGTAAAAGGTTGAAGTAAGTAAGAGGGTGGGTGGGTGGGTGTGAATGTCGCAAAGCAAAGCCTTCGAATGAGTTAAAATCGTGATTAAAGTGAATACCTGTTCACCCGTTCTACAGGTATCGACCTTTAAATACTGACCAATAGCTACTGTCGCTATTATTAGCACATAATAAACAAAAGCACGTGTTCCTAGTACATATGATAAATAAATTTATGTTCTAATTCGTTTCACTCAAACGAACATAAATTATTTACAATCAAAACAAGAACACTTGTCTACATAGGAAATGGAAGCGCTTGCTTGCCAATATTTCGAACATAAAGAAAGAGGGCTCTGGTTTTTCTACAAGCTCAAGAAACAGTTAAAATTAATGTTCATTTATATAACACACCCTATTACCGGCAACTGTGACAACCGATGCAACTGTGACAACAGACGGCAAAGTTATCAATCAATATGACAGAGACCTAATTGATATCATAATTTTGACTATGTATAACATTCATTTACTTTCGTTTGGTGGTTTCCCGTATTGATATAACCTTAAACTATTTTTCTGTTGAATATAAAACAATTATTTCTTATTGAAACAAAATAAGAACAGAATAAAGCTAAATTTCAATCGTTATTCAAGAAAAATTGGTTAAACTCAGCTTATAAAATAAAAACAACTACTCTGCGGTCTTATTTCTTGTTGTATATAATTAATTTAGACTCTCTACACCATAACTTTATAATGTGATTGGACTTTGTTGTTTAACAAGTGTGCTGCAAGTGTTTGATTTTGATGGGTCAAGACATTTTGGCTGTCGTGAACAACAGATGTTCGTTTCTGTGGCAAACACTGACGACAGATAATGGTAATCGGTAACACATTTATTTTAATCTGGATTTCAACTTTTAAAACGTTTTTTTCTTATCAAGATCACTGACAAAAATATGACTAGTTGTCAGACATCTCTATACATTATATAATTTATTATTTCAGAAGATGATTGTCTATCTAAGAACGAAATATGATCTCTCTGCAAACATTTGCTGCAAGTCTTCAACATACATTGATGCAAACTTGCTACACAAACATTGCTGCAAAGGATCCTTCGCTGCAACGAAGCTAAAGAAACCATAACAAACTTTTAAAACCTTTGTGTTTGCAGCAAGTTTGTCGCTAGTTTTGACAAGCTTATAGCAAACAGTTACCCTAGCTGCAGATCTGTAGCGTTATGGTTTTATATGGTTTTATATGGTTATATCGTTTTATGCAAAAAAGGTGCAATTTACGGCGCAATATTTTTTGCGCTCTTTTGGGGAGAATTTCTCCACTTTCTAGCATTGATTAATCAACTACCTTTCACTCCCTAATTATAGACACATTATATAGCCAATATGTATATTTTATCTACCTCCCAACAATTTACAGTTTTCTCTACAGGCAATAAACTCGCTAGAAGTGAATTTTCAGCAATCTAACAAATAAGTTTAATCAAGTGAGTTTATCACTTGTAGAGACGACTATAAAGGGTTGGGAGATGGATAAATTATAAAGATTAGTTAAATAATGTGCCTAGAATTAGGTATTGAAGATTAGTTTATTGAACGATGCTGGGAAGTGGAGGAATTCTCTCCAAAAGAGCGGAAAAAATATTGCGCCGTAAATTGCACCTTTTTTGCATTACGGGATATGTAGCGTTATGGTCAAAGAGAAATATATAAAACCATAACGCTACAGATCTGCAGCTAACAGTTACCCATGCAAAAGAGGTTTACCGCTGGTTTTAATCTGCTGCCAATATTAGATTTTTTAAAGAAAGATATGAAGAAACTACATGTAGTAACGTTCAGTGTTTAAGCTCAAAACTCCATTAAACAATACAAAATGGAGCAGAAAAACGGGAAATTCTAAAACATAGAAATGGGCACGACCCGTCCCATGCGTGGAGGAGTGATCATCACCTGCCAAGTTGTTTGCTTTATGTCATGATCGCAAAAAAAAAAACAAACAAAAAATCATTCGACAATTCAGTATGTGCAAATGATGGCCCCAAAATATATGGGGTAGAGGGAGGAGTCAATCAGCATTTGAATCAATGAAAAAAATTATTTGCTGACAGGGACATTCTGTAGAAATAAAGAAATGATGACTTAAAAACAAGATTGTTGATATTTTTCTTTCGTCAATTTGTTTGTCAATTATTTACCTCATTCTAGAAATTTTAGAAAATCCTACGTAGAGCATGCTTTTGCGTATCGAATCAACAGAGAGTTAAACACCCTGTATGTATGTGATGAACGTACTTTCCTGCATAAGTAAGGGAAGTTGACGATTGAAAAGTTATAGTCATTACTTTTATAATAAGAAAAAATAAAACAAAACCATATCTTATCAGCCAGACGTTGTGTGATATCTACAACTTCAATTGAAATATTTCAAAATGGCGAATTCTTTGTTGACCTAGGTACAGTCTACAATTCATTAGCTGGTTTGACTTGTTTACTGTCATGCGAGCTTCCTGCAAACCTTCGGTTTGTCAGATTTGATGTTTCCAACGAACTTGTTGCTGCTGTATATAGAGGCATGTATGTTTCTTGCAATGTTCCTGCAAACATTTTGAGTTCTTGCAAGATAATATAGCAATAGTTGTAATGTCGGCCGCAACATCGCAGCGAGCGACAATAATCTGCAAGAAAACTTTTCCTGTGTACAATTTTGGTTGCTGAAGTCTGCAGCAAACATAACAGCTTCCCGAGGAATGCCAAAATTAGCAATTTTAAAAACCTAAGTTTATAACTACATAAAACTTGTACATAAAAAATCACTTTTAAGTACTTTACTGTGGTCCTTGATATGTTACAGTTCCAAATATCCGTTTTCTGTTTCTTATCGCTGAAAAACAAAAGAAGATGGGGGAACAAGGCGGGCATAATGCTTATGGCGACAAATACATGTATTAAGAAATCATATTCAATATGTGAATTAAGTACTAGTATTTAGATCAACTTCCAATTATTGAATTTATGATATTATTAGAAAAATACCTTTTCTAAGAAAAAAAAATATCGACAAAATTATAAAAATACTAGATGGTTTTAGTGAGATTCGAACCCTAGCAATAAAAATCCGACAAATCATACTGCTTTGAGATTGAGACTAACGCCTTACCCACTATGCTACATGGTTCATGATGATTTGGGGCATTTAAATAATGTTTGTGATATACCGGTTACTCTTGACTTAATGGACTTAAAGTATTTCTCTAAAAGATGCGAATCTTTTGTCATAAAAGTGTACTTTTTAAAGTAAAGTGGGTCTTCGCTTCATGTTTTAGTAAACCACAAATTGTATATTCTATTGCAAACTTTTAGGATCATCTTTTTAAAAAATGGAACGAAGACCCACTCATATTAAAAAAAAAATGTTTAAGTATGAGAAACTGATCCTTTTTGTTCTTTTTAGTTTTTTCATAGGCAAATATTTTCAGTCTGTGTCAGATTTTTGTAAATTGTAGAGATTTAGATTAAATAAGATTCATTATTAGATAAAATATCAAATAAAATTCTGATACAATGGAGATTTGATTTTTAACTTCTTATCTGTCGCACTATAGGCATTTCGTCCGCCTTATCCCCCCATCTTCTTTACGAACACCACTGGGCCGTCTTATTTAAACATGTTCATGTTGATTATCGAAGAATAGTTATTCAGTAGCTGCCGTATGGCAACCATGCACGGGTACTTGTGGAGAGGAATAACCACCCCCCCTGTCCATAAATTCCTTTGATAGCAAGTACCATACATTTGACCAATATTGACAGCCAAAATATGTCTTGACTTAATTTGAAGCCTACTAGTATCAGGATACAGCTAATTTGTACTTGATCAAATTTTGTATCCACTGTTTCCGATTGCCGTATTTCGTTTTAAATCTGCTGTCATTGTTTGCCTCGTCTGTTGTACCTGATAGCCAAAATGATTTCACCAAAAAATTAAACGCTTGCGGCGCTTTTATTAAACAACAAAAATTATCCATATTTTAAAGTTATGTCGTAAAGAGTCTGAATTTATTATATACAACAAGAAATGTGACCGTAGAATAGCAATTTTTATTATATAAGCTCAATTTGACCAATTTTTCCTGAACAACGATTGAAATTTAGCTTTATTCTGTTCTTGTTTTGTTTCAATAAGGAATCATAGTTTTATATTTAACAGAAAAATAATTTAAGGTTAGATCAACACGGGAAACCACCAAACGAAAGTAAATGAATGTTATAAATAGTCAAAATTATGATATCAATTAGGTCTCTGTCAAATTGATTGATAACTTTGCCGTCTGTTGTCACAGTTGCATCGGTTGTCACAGTTGCCGGTAATAGGGTGTGTATAAGGAATCTTTGCTAAAATTTTTGTAAATGTTGATCTTTATTGCATTTTCTTGATCATACGTATGTTTAACAATTTCTGGTGGAAACTTTATTTATTTATCTATTTTTAAGTAAAACTAGATATGCAATCTTAACCTATATTTGTCCAAATAAATATAAAGCATTCAAAATGTTTATCCGATTCTTGTGTTGAATATATGTTTGGAACAATGATCCTTTTTAAACAAACTTTTCAAGAAAGCAACCATAGTTTTGACGCTGATACTGGAAATAAAAAAAAACTAGATCATACTCACTTTGTTCAGGTCCGTTTTGTTATTTCTATAAATGATAAAGAATAAGTATCATAAAATAACATCGAATCTCCAAACATTATTCGTTCAATTAACTCAAACATCCATCTTAAGCTATCAAACATAAAAAACTAAACAAATCATATCTTATATAGTGTTTTATATTATTGATATGGATTTCACCATTAGCAAGATTGAACGCATACATATATTTCTTTTATAAAAGTATAAGTCTTTAAGATTTCATTTTTCAGACATGACAGATGTTATCAGATGTAAATTATCATAATATGCGCTGTTAATACAGTTGTATTTTCCTTCAATTCACTTAATTTCTTATTAAAATTGACCGTTCAAAAACAAAAACATCAGTATATTCTTTTAAGTATATAGAACCATACAACTTATGTCTTATTCTTTTTGGGTATAGACTTTGATTTTACCATTTGCTAGATTGAACGCAAACATGTATTTCTCCTATACATTTAGGAATTTTAAATAAAAAACATCTTTACATTCCAAACAAAACAAATGACGATTGTTTATCTTAAGTAATCATCATAATTTTCGCCGTAAAGCATTTTCCTTCAATTTGCTTGCCGAAAGTAAATAAGTTCTGAAAATCAATTAAAATTTGCAACAATCCTTTTAGAATACATGTAATTCAAATTTGTATAGCATAGTATCGCTGTAAATTATTTGCTGGCTGCATCATTCCGTGCACCAGAAATCATCACGATTACATCACTGACAACATACTATTCGACCAGACTTTAACAAGCTGCGACGTGCTACACACCAGAAAAATGTTTAGAACTACACTGGCTGCGTCAATACGCACCAGGACTTCCACTGGCTACAACATGCTATGCACCAGGACTTCTACTGGCTGCAACATGCTATGCACCAGGACCTCCACTGACTGCAACATGCTATGCACCAAGATTTCCACTGGCTACAACATGCTATGCACCAGGACTTCCACTGGCTGCAACATGCTATGCACCAGGACTTTCACTGGCTATAATGTGCTATGCACCAGGACTTCCACTGGCTGCAACGTGCTATGCACCAGGACTTCCACTGGATGCATCGTGCTGTACACCAGAAACACCCTGAAAACTCTACTTGCGTCACATACGCAGTAACATCAACTTACTAACTTCACTGGCTGCAACGTGCTATGCACCAAGAACATAATGATAAATCTACTAAATGAGGCATACTAAGCACCAGGATTACTATAAAGATCACTGTGCATTAAATGTATCTTATATACTGAATCTTCATGTGCAGTAAAACCAACACTTCATAACTGTGCAAAAATATAACTATTTTATAAACTTCTATTACGAAATACAATTAAGTACTGTTTTTCCATTATACTATATAAAGAATTTTTCACATGTAATTATTTAACGACTTCTAGATCACTATTCATTTTATATTCTGCGACAGTGTGCATGGATATTATTTTTATAACATTTTAAATTTTTTACGCCTTTAAAGCGGCATTTCCATGTACATCTGATTTTCTAATTTTAAACGAAGCAGTATTATATATAACACAGATAAAGTATAATCACAACCGTTCAATGTTCAATGTAGATACAAATACAGGGTCTTGAGCCTTTAGAGCGGCATTTCCATGTACATCCGATTTTCTAATTTTTAACGAAGCAGTATCATATATACAATGTAACACAGATAAAGTATAATAACAACCGTTCAATGTTCAATATAGATTCAAATACAGGGATATAAAAACGTCCCTCATTCAAAATTTATGATTCATTACGATTATTTCAAAATAAAACCTAAAATAATAATAGTTAAGATATTTCTATTTAAGACGTTCTGGTATTCCCCAAAAAAAAATTATATATACAATTTTATGCTTGTATGTTCTTGAAAACTTAGACTGCTATCTATACACTAAATCAAAAAGCTCCTCGACACGTAACAACTTCAACCGACGTTTACTTGTTTTCAAATATCGCATATCTTTTGAAAATAAACTGCAAATTAAATTTTATTTGCGTCGTAGTGCTGATGAGTGAAATCTAGTTTGTTCAAGTCGTGTCCAAAACAATATGATATGGCTAATTATAAATATCAATACGTTCACAGTTGAATCAAAATTTGACCGTGAAAACCTGAACACAATCAATCATATTCCATATAACCTCATTATAATATTTTACTGAAATATATAGTATACTCGGATATTTATCATTAGACCAGAAAAGAAAGTCAACAATATAAATTAACATTTCTTAACTGTTTAACAGCTTTTTAAAAAATTTCAAAGAGATAAAATTAATCCAGAGCTTTTCCCTTCTATCTTTCATTTAATAACGAGAAAATGAAATGATTTCATTTACAAGCAGTAGGCTTTTGTATTATTGATTGATAGTATTTAAAATACATCTATCTTATATCTAGAGGTTTTATCTAGAGTTTGTTGTTTTCCATGTGAAGCTGAGTGTGTTGCAAAGAGAATCTGTAAAAATTAAGCTGAATTATAATCTCCCGACCTAATTAAACTTAGTTGTGAAATCAAATCCAAATCAGTCTTTAAGGGTTTGTTAAATAAGCATACATGTACATATGTACAAATTCATTCATACAGTATATCGAAGCCTGCTGTAAATTCTAGGTACTCTCTCATAATCATAAGCGAAATCATTTATCGAAGTGGTACATATTCTGTGCGTTTAAATGAATGTCATACTGCCCTATAAACAATTAAAAAATGGTTTGTATATTCTCCATCATCATGATACTGATTGTATAATTATTATGCTGACTGTTAAAAAGAAAAAATACCTGCGCTATGCTTTACTGTTTACAAGTTATAAATTTATATTGTATACAATAAAATGTATGTCTTACGTAATAAAGTGACTTGAATTCAATTGTATTCAAAACGTTTTCATTATAAATAACTTAAGTATTATCGAAAATACTTATCTTTTACTTCAATGACCATTATGTACTCTCTGCTTATGGATGTAAAATCTGTTGAACTGTTCAGGCGATTCTGGACCTTTGTCTTCCGATGAGCAGTGGAAAATTCTAAGAAGATAGACATAGGTGAAATAACTTATCGAAAAGGTATCTTGTCTGTGTTTACTTTCATTATGTACTTTTTTTTTTACAATAATAAACGGGGATAAATTAATGCCGCGTTCTTGAACTTGAACCTTAATTATCACCAAAAACTGAAAACATTATTTTTAAAAACTTATCTTCTGCTTCAATGGCCCTTTTTTACTCTGTGTATGACTGTGAAATCTCCTTTGACTGTTGATGTAACGAATGCTGGACTTCTCGTCTTTTGTCGAGCCGTGAAAATCATAACTTCAGGTATACATGTACGTATCTAAGGTTTGAGGATTCTCGGTCTGCATGCGCTATTCTGGATACTTCACCACGAGAACTGTGTTTAATGAACCGTCTCTGTATTTTCGATGGTAAACTGAATGTTTGAAGAGAATAGATGTCTTTGTCGAATGCAATGCCATATAAAATTTGTAGACTGGTTGTAGAATCGACTTTCCAAACAGGGATGGGCCTGTCTCCTTACAATTTTTGTCATTAGGAAGTATACGTGTGAATGTCGCAAAGCAAAGCCTTCGAATGAGTTAAAATCGTGATTAAAGTGAATACCTGTTCACCCGTTCTACAGGTATCGACCTTTAAATACTGACCAATAGCTACTGTCGCTATTATTAGCACATAATAAATAAAAGCACGTGTTCCTAGTACATATGATAAATAAATTTATTGATTCTATTAATTAAAAACGCAGTTTTCTATCAAGTGATAGGTCTTTGTACACAATGGATTTTAAACACGATCACAGATACTTGCTTTGTTTACGACAACAGGTGGCTGGTACACTAGTGACCTCGATCGGTAGCGTGGGATTGGCGCGTTTGATTACATAACTGTTACAAACATCTAGGCGAACGTGGAGATCAACTAAATGATCGTGAATTATTCGATTAATAAAGTTTAAAATTACTTATAATAATAATTAACGTAGAAAGATAGATTTAATATATTCCGATGAAGACGTGTTCACTATAAAAGTAATTAATAATACATAAAAAAGAAAGACTAATTGTTATAAATAATTTAATAGTGAACCGTAAAGCATGTATAAAGACCTTTTTAGAAGAAATTTAACAGTAAATACTATAGGGTATATTATTGATAGGAAGTTTGTGTAAATTATACACATGAAGAGGTCTGATTTCCTTTCCGACTGAAAAACGTTACCTGTTTACCAGGCCTGCTTTCTACTTCGTGTTACGCAATGCCCCCGGTATATTCGAACAAATAAACATTCTCATCAGATCAAAAAGGTGTTAAAGAACAATTTTGCTCGTAAGATCCAGATCGAAATATTTACCGTTTTTGAGTTGTAAAGCAAAAATTTCCAAGCTCCATAGATCCCTAATTTTAGGGGCCAGCCCCTTTTCTGTAGTATCAAATGAAAGCTCTTGCTAATATGCACAACTTTTCTTATACATGTCTTAACAAAATATTTTTAGTTTTCAAGGCATAAAGGAAAATATGTCAAATTTTTTGCTGTTTTCCGCGTTCTAACTTTTGACCCCTCTCTAGCGCCATTTTAAATGCAAAAATCAAAAAACAAAAATCGATGTGCACAACTTCAATGCTTCCTCTTTTCAATTTCAATGGGTTTTGTGCTCCAGTTATTACCTTTTCTGAGCCTTTGTCTGGAATACAGAGGTATGAAAAATTCAATCAAAGGGGAATAACTCTTAAATAGAAGGTAATTTCCGAATTGTGTAACAATATCCGAAAAGAGTTTGGTGAAGTCTAAAAGCTCTAAAAATTTGAACAAAATCCGTTCGTGAATGAGGAAGATATGAAGCTTCAAAGTTGGCGTCTAGGAAAAAAAAAGAATAATGAGAACTAGAGCAAAGCTCGTTGCAAAGCAACGAGAAGGTCTTCAGTCCTGTTTGTCCGGAAGTAACTTTCATTTTTACAAAAATGAGTAATAGCGTCCTAAAATTGTTTAAATCCTCTAAATCTATGTTATTTAATCCAAAAATCAGCCATTTTTTGCTACTTCCGGTTTGACCGGAAGTGACGACGACGGACGGAAAATTAATTTTAATGCTCCCAGTGACAGATGTTGACCAAAATTTTTCAAGAATGGCAAAATATGCGATTTCCGACTACTTCCAGTTTGACCGGAAGTGACGTCGACGGACGTACTTTGACGACTTTAATAGATTGAGCTTGAATTTTGAACAACTTTGCTTCTTTGATGTGTTACAAATTCTCAATACTGTTTGAGATATTAAGGACTTCTGGCCCCTCTTGGCCCTTAATTTTAGGGGCCAGCCCTTTTCCCGAGATATCATTTGAAAGATCTTCTAATTCTGCAATGCCGGCGTGAGGCGTCGTAGTTCATAACCTCATGAATCTTCAAAAATTAAATTCATTTCTTAAATATACTTATATCATTATTTTCAAAACATTCCATCAAAAAATAGAAAAGTTACGGCTACATCTGTAATATTGGTCATTTTACGTGTTGCGCGTGCGCGCTCTTGCAAGCACGTGCGCGCAAAATGACCTTGATTCCGCAAATCTACATAACATGTCTACTTACCCTAAAAAGGTTTTACCTACATCGGATGAACAGTTTACAAGATCATTCGCGGACAAATAAGTACCCAGGAAGAAGAAAAATAATAATAAGAAACAGAATAAAAACAATATGTTCCCCAACATCGTTTGGGGAACATAATAATGACCCTATGACTCTTTTTCTACAAAAAATGAAATTTTTCTACGGGTGGGGGGTCATTTTTTGTCGTTGAAAAATGACCCCCGGTCATTATTCGATGGGGGTCATTATTCGTCTTTACACCGGCCGTAGTTAACACATCGACTGTTAATAAATCCACTTACCGGTGCATTTTGCAGTTAGAAAGAGGTACTCCTTTATAACATCTGACTGGTATTAATGTCAATGACCTTTACGAATTGACTTTAATCGTTCTAAATCAAACTTTGCACGTTTTAACGAGCTTCAAAATATTTTCCATAAATAGCAATCTAATAAACGTATACTATTTTTTAAAAAATGATTGGTTGACAATAATCAATAAATTAGCATATTGTAACTATATATTCACAGGTACACTTCGAGAATCGTAACAATATTTAATTTTACGGCGATATTTCAGCTATAGTTTGCCCACGGGTGATAAATAAAGACGAGATAAGCTGTTGGTTTCCGACGATGAACTACGAGATGAAATGAGATTTTTATTATATTTTCTTACGAAATGCTATTACACTGTTCCCTAACGTGACAAACCTGGGAAGTGGTGGTTGGTTGTGGGTGGGGTATAGAATCAAGGTCACTTTAAGTTGCTTTAGCATTTGCATTTAATAAATCTGTGAATTCCGATGAGGGAGGCATGTTGTTCCGTTATCTTGTTCCGCCCATGATCCAAAATCTCATTCTCCACAGGGATTCAAGTCAAGAAATAAGTGATTCTTTTAGATATCTTATAAAAAATATTTTTCTGTTATAGAAACAACAGCAACGTCATTCATCGATCGTATCGATAAATGGTGTTCAACAGTACAATATGCAATATGATATACAGGATTATGTATCTTATTGTACATTTATAATAAATAAATTGTAACAAAAGTCTTAAAAATCAGATATGGAAAAATTCTTCCTACACCAATTCTTTGGGTTGTGAAAAAAGAATAAGACTGGTGTATCTTTTATTGATGGACTTGTAAATAATTTACTAAATAAAAATCAACTAATATATAAGTAAATGCACTGGAAACTAAATGTATGTTGTACATTTAACACAGTGAATCAAAAGTAATAATGAAACAAAACTACTTATTACAGATTAGTGAATCAAGATTTTATATGAAAAATGGATATAAGATTAAATGGTTGATAAAAGGTTTCTTAAAACAAAATGCTAAAATTAATTATCATGTATAATTGATGATCAAATGCATACAATTGTAAATGAGAACATATATACATGTACAGGATCATTGATGAAAGATTTACTTTAAAAAGAGAAAAAGAGAAAAAAATTAAAGAGCGTATTAAATTAATGTACATTTAAAGCGTTGAAGAAAGATTTTCTTTCGTTATTTTCTCGGACTGAATGCTTCAACTCTTGTTATCCTCTCCTTTTTAACGAAGCTGTAAATTTTTTTAAAAGAAAGTAAATTTATACTGAGTTTTTATTAAAACATGGATCATTTAAATTGAAATAAGTACCTGATATTACGTCAGAAGTAATATAATAAGTACGCCCCTTATACGTCTTGAAAAAAAAATACATGTATCATGTATACATGTACCATAATTATGTTAACATTTTCTTCAAACTTGTATACAAGTATCCATGAAAAAGAAAACTTACCACATCATTACGATGACAAAGCTAATGACAATCACAATGACTTCCAAAATGGAGGACACCGGGGTTAGCCAAATGGTCCGTCTGTAATGATCACAACAATCCTCAGAAGATGACGACGAGGAAAAAGAAGACAACGACGATGAAACAAACTGGGAACATTCCACTACGTCTTGCAATTCAATAAGAACTGTCAGATCTTCTACAGACGGTGTTACTGCAAGAAAAACACTCTTCTTTTCTTGGCTTAGCTCCTGATCAGTTACAGTAAGTTGCTTCTGTAATCTAATAACATATGCTTTATCATCTCCTTCAAAATCCAGTAAAGTTCCATTCTTTACTATAATGCTTTGATCTGTATAAAAACAAAAATGAAATTTTTTGTATCTGTTAATTTGAAGGAAATCAAATTAATTTTTTTATGCAATATAAAAAAAAGGAGATTGAGTCAAAATTCTTAGTTGAAACTATAGAAAAAGGTCGCTTTTGTCTTTTATTTTTTCTTTGTTGTTTTAATTTAAAATTCATTTTCCACAGTACCAACTATGTTCTAAGTATGGTCAATACTAGTAATTTCATCAAATATCGATTTTCATCAAACGTTGTAATACTGTAATTAATAAAAAGATATATTTTATGGATCAAAAATTATTTTTGTACAATAGTACGTACAAGTATATTATTCATTAGATACGCTTATTTATTTGCAACTTGAGACCAAGGCGTCTAAAAAATGTATCAAGAATTGATGTAAAAATTGTATAAACTGTTGTTTAATTAAATTTCTCACTTTTTCCATAATCTTTCAATATTGGTGTTTCTTTTTTTTAAAAAGAATTTCTAATAACTTGAAAATACTGCGAAATAATTAATTGAAAATATAAAACCCATACTTCGTTCATTGAATTCAAATATGTCATTAGCAGCGATGGGAAACATGTTATACAGTCTCAATGGAGTATTGCCACCTTCGACTCTTTCATCAAATTCCACTCTGAAAATTTCTGTCCCCGTCTTCGTGTTTTCCCGCAAGACAATTTTCTTTGGTAAATTTGTTTGTCCTAAAAATAAGTATCTCATTTTAAAACATTGGCTAACGGCAGGAGAGAAGTACATGACTTCATAAATTTTACAGAAGGAATATTCCGAAGTAAAAATGTATTTTATTATGTAAGAAAACAAGCTGAGTTGTTGTGTTTTTAACTATGAGTGGTAGGCAATACTATGCAGACAGACATAAAATATAAAATGTTAAAACTTAGTTTGAAAGAGTAAACAAAAATGAAATTGGAAATTAACAATTTTTAGAGAACTTTTACATCAACATCTTTGTAAGTAGCCAGCCTTGGTTTAAAAATGCATCGTTTTCAGAGCATGCATTTGACTATCAAATAAGTAAGGAGACGTAAACGAAAAATGCAGATGATTTTGGAATATTGCTAGATCAAGAAGTCATGAATATTTTAAATGAAAAGGCTGCAGTCATCTCTTCAGTCATTTAGATAAATGTAGTTGTTATTTGTTGTTTACCCTCAAAAAGAACAATTACGAGGGTTGTTAGAAAAGTTCGCGGACAAATTGAATTACGGAAAATCTATTGCGTACTGTGAAGTATGACCTATGTCTGAATAAATTCCTACATTTTGTTTATTAGTATGTAAAAAATCAGGTCCATTTATTAAAATCTTGAAATTTTACAACAATTTTTACTATGGGGTCATAGGATTCACGGAGCAACCCTAGACGTAAAACCCCTGTCACACCGGGGCTGCGTCCTCACGGCGACTGCACGGCGTCCTCAAAAAATGCAAAACGCCGAGGTGATCGCAGTAGAGTCTCCTACAGCGCCGTGACAACGCGACGAGATCTCCACTGAACGCCGTAGGGTCGCGTAGGGTCTCCTAGAACGCCAGGGGACGGCGATCACTTTGAGCATGCACAAAGTACGCGCCGTGTGATCGCGGTCTGATAAGAACGCCGTAGAAACGTAGAATGATCGCCGTAGCAGCGCGGTGAGATCTCCAACAACGTAGTAGGAGCTCCGTACGAACGCCGTGAAGACGCACATGATCGCGGCACGAACGCAGTGATAGTAGACTGCGCTTCCACGGAGACCTCACAGAGATGTCGCGGAGTCCTGGGAGATGTCACTGCGTTTCTATCGCGTTTTACGGCGCTTCTAATGAGATTTATCGTCTTGTGATTTTTTGGACTGCGATTACACGGCGACAGCACGGAGTCGTCACTGCGATCATTGCGCTCCCATGGCGTTTCTACAGCGTCCGTTGGCGATCACAATGCGCTTTCACGGCGTTGCTAGGGCGTTGTCAGCCAGCTCACAAAACAAAAGCAATGGGATCATATTTGATCAGCAATAATTCCAACGAATTTGTTGCACTAGGAGCATTTAAGTGAAAACAAAAATGGAAGAGAGAATTACATCAGAACTTAATTGTTCTCTTGTTTCACTTAAATTTTGTAGAAAACTTTTCAGCGTGTTTATTTTTTTTTTACATTCATAATAAAATCAAAGAAAATCTAACAATACATCTGAACCGATAAAATTGAAAAAAAAAAGGGAGTTTAATCATAAAACTATTAATAATTAAGTACTTATTTATGTAAATAGAAAATTTTTAAATAATAAGAATATTTTCTTGGCATGATTAGAAGTCTTTTCATCGTGTAACTTGAATATTTAAACAAAAATGTTTTACATTCCTTCTGAATTTAAGTCAATGAGTATAGAACGCATTGTAAACGTATCGTGAAACGCAGTAAACACGAGGTGAAAACTCCTAACGCGCCGTGAAAACTCCGCGAAAGCGCAGTCAATCGCCGAGAGATCTCCGTGGGAACTCAGTAGAACGCCGTGAGATCGCCGTAGAATCGCGTCCGTCGCTGTAGGGTCGCCGTGACATCTTCATATTGTAAAAATTTTCCAGAAATTTGTGCATTTTCCCTGCGATTCCACGGCGATTTAAAAGATTTAACAACGCCGTAATGACTCCGTGTGAACGCAGCTTGGTGTGACAGGGCCTTTAGGCGACGTGACAACTAGATTTCAATCTGTTAAGCGTTGTCGCAGTTCTATAAATCTTTCCTTTCTTCAGATTTTTCTTATTTTTTTTTCTACTTTAAAATTGAATATCTATATCAAAACATGTTACCTTTCTACTATAATGTCTTTTGTACTAATTCGGATTGTACTGATTCGGATATTTTTGAGATCTTTAAAAACGTCTATGCTGTAAATTGATCAGGTACGAAAACTATGTGAAACCATATAGGCACAACGTCCATGCGATAAGAGGGTATTGAAGTATCGATGGAGTTAATCATTCAAAATGTTAATCCTTCCATTTATATAAAGCCACAACCATTTGAAAACTCTTGTCCTTTGTGTGTGTAGGAAATTCCCGGCAGCATCTTGAAAATTTTGATCTCTTTTTAGACATTTTACTGTCTACACACTTAATTTTTACGTAGTGCAGTGCTCCATGAAGCTCAATGACGTTCCGATTTTTGTCTGTGTTTTTACGTGTTGATCATTTATAAATGACTATAAAACAGTCATTTACCCTCTAATTTAATTAAAAATTGCTCCAAGTGACGTTTCATGAATACTTTAGCGATAGGTAAAATATTGTAAATCTCTTTGCGCTACAATTGTGCAATCTTTAATTTTAATGAAGAGTCTTTGTGATGTAAACGTGCCAAAATGGAGCATGCTCCGTGAAGCAAGATTTATCAAAATAAAAGTTGTATATTTTTCAATGATCACCGGAGAGCACCTAATTTTTGTATATTTATTGGAAAATAGGTTAGAATTTTATCTGGAAAGTTTGATCGGTTTCGTGGAAATAGCGCGCTCAAAAAAGAACTTGTCCGCGAACTTTTCTAACACCCCTCGTATACCGGTATATAATATATGAGAAGTGTTTAAAATCGGATGTGAATGCTTTAACATTTCAGGAACTGACGAAAAAATAATTAACCCTAATCAAAACATAACTTAAGATTTGTCAATACTTTATCTCCATATAGATCATTTATACAATCATTTAACCGTGACAGATTAAGGTCCAGTGATAATTGGACTTAATTAATCATTAACAGCTGCTTTTTCAATTAAAAGATGAACTTGTAATTTAAGTCAACTTGGCATTTGTCTCTTGCAAAACTATTTTGTTAATAAATCCGATTGTAGACAAACGTACTCTGAAGTTGATTTACAGGGGGATTTTTAGTTTCTGATTGACAGTAAAGATCTATGTAGTTTTTGGAGAAAAGGTCTCCAAACAATTTGTCGGAATCCCTATGGGTACTAATCGCTCTCTGTTATAAGCATATCTGATTTTATTTGAAGCAAAATTTATTCAAAAACATATACCGGTACTTGACTAGAAAAAAATGCTGTGTGGCATTCAATTCGACACTTTAATAGAAAGGCTATGTTTTATCAATTAACAATAGCTATTACCATTCATAAGTCTACTCGATAAAGTCAGTGAACCTGTAATAAAAAGACTTCAGAGACTGACAAATCTGTTTCAGTAGTAATTTGGATATTTTACTAAAAACACGTTAATGGTATTCTACATATAATAACAGAGCTTTAAAATAAAAGTGATGACTTCAACTTTTCAAGTGTCAGCTTTCCTTCCTTATGTAGCACATGCAGTCATGTACCCTTATTACTGTATACGGCTTTATTTCTCCCAGCTGATTCGACACTCAAGAAATGATCTACTTAATTTGAATATTTAAAATGTATTCTAAAATAATTTAAAATATTGAAAAAAATGATGAAACAATATAAACAAAAACTTTATTAAATTTCATTTTATTTCATTTAAGGCATCATAGGTTCTATAATTGATGCTATGACTTTTTCAGCACATTCAATATTTCATTTTTTTAAGTCAAATGCTGACTGACAATTTTTCGTTCTAAAAAGGCCTTGTGTACGTATTTCTACGTTTGCTCAATCATATAAAGTAGTAAACAGAATGTGACTAGTCAACAGGGGATGTTTACCTCTCTTTGAAATCTGATCCCACCTCACCTTTGATGTTGTCAAAGAGGTCCGTATTTTCTGTGCTCCTAATGTGTATCGTTTAAATTGACATTTGGGACAAATGTTCGTTATTCATTTATTGCATTGTAAATGATATAAAAAGTCCATTAATTTCAATTTTTAGTTAACTGTAAATCAAGCAAGTAAACGCAAAAACAAACAAATTTATCGATATCATACAATAATTGCCTTTTCTTTTAAATCCATGAAATGCGATTTTAATTTTTAAAAAATCTTATATTTTTTGAAACTTTTTATTTCCCTTTTACTTTCAGATGAGAAAAAAAAACTCGTTAACCTAAATTTGGAAAGCTGTGCGTGTCATATTTTTTTGTATATTTCTTTTGTAATGTGAGTTCATTGCAAATTTTACAACCATATAAAGGTAACTTACCATTCCCTGACGTTGAAAGAAATAATATTCCAAAGGATATTAAAATTGCCATAGAAAAACAAAAATACATATTTGTTATCTTACCCCTTCTCTCTCAAATATGAGTTTAAAAGAGATGGAGCATTTTAAATGTAATATTGAAAACATGCATGTATACTTATATAATTTACGACAACATCAATAATCAAACCGTTAAAATTCTTGTGCACCTCGTTTATTTTCCATTAAACAACGGATAAAAACTTTATGCATCCGGATAAATACGTATTTCAGGTCTTTTATCGATACATTATATTGAACGAATTAATTGAAAATACAAATAAGGAGAGTCAAGCTCAAAATTTATTTATTTTTTATATATACCGTTAAACCAAAAGTGGGTGCTTTCATAACGAGAAAATAAGGTTATCACCCATCAAATCTTAGAAATAAAAGCATTTAAACAGCCTCTGCCAAGTCGTTTTTAATGTTTTGAAAAACATGTAGGTTCACTCTCGTAAATACGTTTCATAAGTTTCAAGACAGAACACTCATTCGATTTTATAACTGTTGATAAATAGCTATCATTTGGATCCGCCATTGACTGGATAGGTTGGTTTATTGAGTACATGTCAATTAGGAAGCGATAAAATGTCCAATGAATTTGTATTTTACTAACTCTGTGATAATAATAAGATTTAGTCTTAATGGTTATAGTTACGATCTTATATGATATCAATTTAGTCGCTTACATCATATGTAATCCATTTTAGTTACTGCTTATGATATGTTCTTTACTGCTAAAGAATTATTCATGCACAACATTAACACTTCAAACACTTTTTTATTCCACAACAAATGATCTAAATAATAATAATACAAAATACATCTACGGTTAATGGCTATATTGTGATCTTGCTACATCAAAAAATGTACGAGGTTTTACATTTTCAGTATTGACATACACTGCGGAACATCTAGAAATAGATGAAAGTTAAAGTTTTAATTCCAAGCACCAGTATTTGTTGAATTAAGTTTAAAAAATAAAACAAAGATATGATATTGGTCAAAATATTTAAGTGTGTGCTTGTATATACACATCCTAGTTTGATAGATGCACTGTAAACCAACTCGTGTGACAAATATCTGCGAGAATTATTTAATTTCTCATTATAAAATCACTTTTCAGTAGAATTAGAAAGTGCACCCAGTTGCAAATGTTGAAAATTGCCAGAAATTTATAACTGAAGTACTACGAATGAAAATTGTCCCAGATATAGAGATTTAGTTAGGACTTGAAAGACAAAAGATTAATGTTTTCCAAATGTTTTTGGTCTCCATCCATTAAAATACAATATAATTTAAGTTTTTTACATGTATCATACAAGTTTTAACATGTACATATTAATTCAAATCTATGGCGTTAGAAAGTTTTGAAAATGTAAAAGATGACATTTTTCAAGGTGTAACAAAAAAGATTGAACTAGGCATGTATTTTTTTTTAAAAATGCAAATATTTAGAAAGCCCTGCTTCTACTTGTGACAGAAAAAATACAGCTTCCAAACATATTCCAAACAAACTCTTTCAGTCATTTAATATGTGACTGACGTCTATTGAATGCATTCATCCTTCGAATAAGAAATGTTAATAGATAAAATCTGATTCTAAGTAAACACTTTGTAGTTGTCATTTCTCGGAGGTTGAAGCATTGATTGCTGTTCGATTAAATTTTTTGCCAAAGCTGAAAAAAATAAGTAAATCAACAAATTTATGTAATACAACACTCTTTTTTTTTTTACCTAATCCATGATAAAATATTTGCTTCATTCCACTAAAGAGGTAAATTTTATATTTAAATATATTTAAGATATTATTTCAAAAAATACGTACCAAATTATTATAATGACACAACAAATCAGCATGGCAAAAAGTTCCAATAGAGAGCAAACTGGAGTTAGCCATATTATAGTTCTGACATCATCACAACAATCAGAAGTACACGATATTGGGCCTGTTTAAATTCCATATAAAACATTGTTAACATTAAAAGCTGTCACTTTTGTTTGAAATTCACCTCACGAAATTATTATTTTGTCCAGAATAACAAAATTCAGTCTGTTTAGTTTCTCAACATCACTTACAGAGTTGGAAAAACAAAAATACTGTTTACCGCTGATTTTTACTATTGATTGATAATAAACTTACCAACAGCATATGTTAAAATTAAAAATATTCCAATCACAAATGAATTCTCCGAGATATATCTTGAATACATATTCGGGTAAAAATCAGTTTCTTCTCCTACATCTCTCGGACTTATAAGTGTACCTGCATTTCATGATATATATGTAGATTTTTTACTGTTATTACTTCAATTACTGTGCTTGATTGGAACATTAAACGTGCAAATTTAGCTGTAAAGTCCATGCATCTTTCACACTAAAGACTCTTTTTGTGGAAATTAAAGTACATACTTTTTGATGTATGAGTATCAAAGACAATTATTGGAATCATCGGAAACTTGCAAGTCATGATTAGTTGTTTCTAAGCAATAAATATTTATGCAAAGTGTCCTTTTAAAAAATTTGCATGTTTAATAAAGCTAAAATATAGTGCTTTAAATTTTTATTTTCAGAATTAAGCATCTTAAATAATTTTTCTAAATACTTAAGTTTCCTCAAAATTAAATAACAATCACATATATCAATTTCAAGTAAAATATTTTGTTAAAATGATATGATAAATAATAATAACTTTTAAAAATGGTATTTATAATCAAACTGGTGCTTTAAATGAACACGATCATAATGGAGCATCTAAAATGTTTTCTTCTATACGTGTTTTCCCGAGAAATGAATGACAATGCAATATGCATGTAACGACTTTTGTCGGTTACTAATATCATGTATATAGTATGCAGTGTCATATATTTACACATGGAAGTGTAGAAAAAATGCTAAAGGGCAGTGCTTTAAAGTTATCTAATAAAATTTTTTTGGTAAATGATAATAACTTTGAAATAAAACTTTATTCTTAAAGAAATTTTACTTCATTGGATGTAATTTTTTTTAATTCATAAAGTAGAAAAAAGGTTAAAAAATTGTTACTTGTTCCTTTTTATATCGAGTATTCAAAATGAAAGGTGAAAGCAAGGAGAAATGATTAGTTACATGCTATTTTCGTGTTTTGTGAAGGCCCTCTGAACTTTATCTGATCTCATGTTGTACTTTTATTGCTAAGTAATTGAGAGTTCAGATAAGGAGTGGAAACCGTCTCTTTAATTATGCAACAAATAGGTAATTTTAATGTTTCACTGATCAGGCAATACAAGTGCGACATGATTATTTATGTATAACAATATACCCCTGCTGAGATTTTTCTGAACTGATGTCATTTTTGTCTCGTCTTGGTTAAAAAAAGCTTGAACACATACCAGTATTTGAAGTGAATGACAATAAGTGGTTCAGTGAAAATGACGAAAAATTAGGGTTGGCAATGGAATGATTTCATTGGTAATTGTTAAATACTCCCCCCCCCCCTCCATTTTTTATGTGATAATTACAATGAAATATATGGAGATAACATACAGTATTCAAGCTCAAAAATCCACGAAAGCAATGCAATTGAAGCGGAGTAAACATAGACATGCAAAACATCAGAGGTGGGATCAGTTGTCATGGAGTAGTGAGCATCCCCTGCCGACCGGTCATAACCGCGCGCTGTGTGTTCTTTGTCATGATCGGAAATTGACGGGAAAATCCGGTCTATCGACAATTTGTGTCACAGTGTAAAATGGTCTAACAATTGGTTTTGAAAAACGTCAGTCAGCATTTTGACTCCAAGAGGAAAGGCTCTGTCTAGTTTCTTGAAGCAGAATACGGAATAATGTACCTAACCTTGGATGATGAGTTGGATTATACTTTATTCAAGTATAACAAATATTTACCTTCAATAAACGTGTAAATTGGACAAACGATAAAAAAGGTACCTAACAATGTTTATGGCTGCAATTATTAATTTTAAAACCCATATCCCAAAATTTCTTTTATTGAGGAAACCCTTCGTATGCCCAATGTTACGGAAAGATGCACTGTATTTAAGAATTTGTACTCTGATCTTGAAAATACTATATTATCAAGAATATACGTCGTTGTTATTTATACCTGTAACCATAGCTTGAAAACACTAAGGACAAAGAAGAATTACTCTTACAAGAGACCTAAGCTCATTGGCATTGAAATAGCAGAAATCAATTCAGGAATGAAAAGTTTACCAGGGGAAAGAGTACAAAACTAAATGTATGTATCCCAGGATACTTATGTCAATAGTTCTTGAGTAGAATGAATTTTAAATATTTCCCTCTCATACATTTCTTTGTATAATTCTGATAATTAATTGTGACCCCACCCTGTCAAACCTGAATTTAAACAAATTTGAATTTACTATACCATAGAATGTTTCTTTAATAACATGATTAATCATGGCTTTGCTGTTCTTAAGCAGAATATTTTATTCATAGGATTCGTATATATTCTTATGTACAACTATGATCCTCTATTGTGTCCAAAAGTCCCTGGGGGTCATAATTTAAACACATTTTATTCTACAATACACATGTACCTACGGAAGCTTCTGTATTACATGACTTATAATGGTTAAGTTACACAAGAAAATATTTTTAAAGATATTTCCTATGTAAAACGTATGATCAAGTTCTTACAAGGTAACTTTACATAGGTATACCTCCTACATGTACTCTGTCTGAGCTAATGAAATGAATAATTAAGACAGCTCCATCTGACGATAAATCACACAGTACTAAAATCAATTATTATTTTCTCGTTTTCTAAAGATAGGGACTGGTTAAGGCACTACTTCTGTTTCATACTTGGATATTTTACTTGAAAAAGACGTTCATGGTAATCTAACAACCAAGCTATATGATAAACGTGATGACTTTAACTTTTCTATCGTCAAATTCCCTTATTTATGCAGCAACATACCTTCAGCACCTGCATACGGTGTGTATATATCTCAGTTGATTTGATACTAAAGAGCATGCTCTACGTATGAACAATTTCTAAAACGAGGTAAATTATTGACAAGTAAGTTGATGAGACAAGAATATCAGCTGTCTTGTTTAAAATCATCATTTCGTAAGTTCTATGGTCAATGCAATGACCTTGTCAGCAAATACAATTTATCATTGAGTCAAATGCTGGCTGACGTTTTTCATACTAATTGTTTGTCCATTATTTGAAAACTGAATTGACGACGGATTTTTCCGTTTTTCCCGATCATGACAAGGAGCATACGGCAGGGTGTGACCGGTCAGCAAGGGATGCTCACTCCTCCATGGCACCTGATCCCATCTCTGATGTTTCAGAGGTCCGTGTTTGGTCTGCTATTATTTTGTATTGTTTTATGGAATTTGATATTGAATACTGTTCGTTATCTCCATATCCTTCTTACAATGCCTAGGATCCTACAGATAAATTAGAACCGGTTGTCTCAGCCTTCGTTCAGATTTACGACACCCAGAATCTAGGATACTTGCCTGTACTTGCCTTTTTTTTGTCATACTTTTATTGTGAACTTTCCTTTAACTTCTTTATTGCTAATACATAAAACTTCTCAAGCCACCTTCTGACTGTCTGACTCTCCTAAAGCTTTGTCTAATATAATTTTTGAGTAGTCCATTCCGAGAGCTTTCGGATCATTTTAAGTTGTTTTCAAAGCGTTTTATGCATATGCCCAATACCTTATATCTTTCTATATCAAAGTTTTACCTACTGTTGGGTCCTCTTTCCAAATGTCGTCGAGCATGTGGTTATCGGTTAGGCGATAAAAATCAATAAAATTCCGATAGCTTTTCTAATTTATTTTATATAAATGTAACGCTGGTTTAAGATCCCTTCTAACGAATTACATGTTTAAAGACGTTCAATGAAAGCAGTTGAAAGGGTGATAACCTTTTAAAAAACATCTTTTTTCCTATAAAATTCTAAAATTTTAAGAAAAAGAAAATACAAATGGTGATTTTGTGTAAAAAAGGAGAGCGATGGAAATATTTAAAATGTTGTATTTGCTCAAAATAATTCACATGTTTGAAATAAAAACACTATTTTTTTTTAGTCATTTGAAATACATGTAAATATATAATCAACATATCTGATGAAGAGAAAATAAGAGATTTATCATTGCTTAATCAGCTGTCTCAAGTTAAAGAAAGTGAATATAGAAACTTTTGAATAAATACTGTATACAGTGAAATTTTCGCCGCCCCGTTCGTCCTAGTCTGGCGTGGGCGAATTTTAAACGGGGCGAATTCAAAGTAAACTGTATAATATCTTAAAGAAAAATCTTTTGGGGCGAATTTAAAACGGGGCAAACTTGTTTTCAGATGTGAAAGGGCGAAAATAACACGGGGCGAAAATAATCCTGTATACAGTAATGACATGTTTTAACAGTTAAACATATACTCATTTCTTATTACTTTCATTCAATAAGGTACAATTCTGAAAATATGTCAGACTCTATAGATACCTATATGCACTATTCTTATAATATAACATATTTCTTTATGTTTAACTACGTGATTAATTTGTATTATAATTGCATTACATTTACATTTTTTGTTTTGCACAATGCATGGGGAATATATTTTCAGAAAAATGTTCAGATCCCATTAAATAATATATGACAAAAAATTATTCCAAGTTATGCTACTTATCATATCCCAGAGTTACTCATTCGTTCGTGCCAAATAATCTGAAAATATTATGATTTAAACATTTTGAAATATATTCAAAATTTTATAAATCAAATTGCTTTAAAAAAAATAGATTGAAGACTTTTGAAAAACAGTGGACTATCTAAACTAACCTCCGCTACATGTACGTGCATGTATCTACTATAGATAATATTATTCACAAAGAATAGCGCAATCTGATAAAACTAATCTCAAATCCTGGATTGAGAAAAATACATGGACACATGAAACAGATGAAGTATCGAAATTGTAAATAGTTTTCGTCTTCATTCAAAGAACTCACAATATACACATGATGTATGTACACATCTTATTTCTCAAGAGGTGTTATCATCTTCTGTTTTCCTTTCTGCAGGACACTACAAAAAGTAAGTAAATTAATAAATAAATATATAATTAAAATATCAATAAAAATGAAAGGTAAAAAATAAATAAATGTATAAATTACTAAATTTATAAATTAAACTATTAAATCAATCAATAACAACGCTATAAAGAAGATTTTTATTGTTTCAATTAAGAAAAATTCTGATTTCTCATTAAACATACCAGGTTAGTAATATTATGAATCCAAGAATTAACAAGATAAATTCCAATGCAGAAGAAACAGGCACAATCCAGAACAATCTTCTGACGTCATCACAACAACCATTATATATGGACATTCCCTGTTTGAAATCTGTTGCTTCAGTTACATCGAGTATTTCTATCACTAAAGGATAGACTTTGGAATGATTGTATATTTCTCGGAAAAGAATCAGGTATGACTTATGAAGACCTTCAGATTTCAGCAAACTTCCATTTATCACGGAGACTTCTTTAGCTATAAATATTTGTAAATTATTATTGTTATAGGTATAAGTCTTCTTCATACTATTCAATAGGTGAATAAGCCAAAATGAAAAGAATCTATAATCTAAGTGCATTAAAGGGGTTGATATACGGAAGAACAAGACGGGTGATTAAACGGTTCAAACTTACATAAAACTACAGGGGACAGTAACATACTATATTTGATGAAATACCTGGTATATGGAGATAACGTACATCATTCAATTTCAAAAAGCCATTATAACAATAAAAAAAATCGAAGCCAAGCTATATGGACCTCCAAAACATCAGATGTTGCACCAGGTGTCGGAGAGGAGTAATTACTGCCTGCCAACCGGTCAAATCCGCTGTGTGCTCCTGTTCATAATCGAGAAACAGCGAAAAAAAAGAACAATTCAGTGTATGAAACACGTCAGTCAGACTATAACTTAATGATAAATTGTATTCACTGACAAGATCATTGTAACTACCATATAATTTACGAAACTTTGACTTCAAACGAGACTACTGATATTTTCGTATCAGAAATTTGTTTATCAAAGAATTATTTTGCTTTAGAAATTGTTAATACGTAGAGTATGCTCAACTGAGAGATGAAAGTCCCGTATGCAGGTGATGATAGTATATTGCAATTACTGCATAAGATAAGGAAGTTGACTATTCAAAATCACGGTTATCATTAAGTATTGATGTTGGAGTAGCATTGACGTCTCTTTCTAGAGAAAATATATCTAAATATGAAACAGATGTATCAGTCTCTGAATATCTTTTGTTTAAAGTTCACCGGGATATATCGTATCGACATAAGAATGGAATTAATCATTGTTAATTTGCAATATGATATATCATAGATATATCTAAATGTCGTGTCAAATGTCACTGCAAGTGTTCTCTTTTTCTCATGTGAAAGATTTGAAGAAATTAAGCTTGATACGGATACAAAAATAGATCTGCTATAAACGGAGCCTAATTCGTACCCATGGGAATTTCAGTAGATTGTTGGAAGACCTGGTCTCCTAAAACACATAGATATTGTCTATCAGAATGTCGAAAATCTTTATAAATTCAACTTCATAGTAGTTTTGTGTACTATCAGAATGCTTTTTAACAAATTAAATTTGCAAATGACCAATGACAAGGTAAGAAAATTTATGAGTTTCATTTTTGATGAAAAAGCAGCTGTGAATGATGTCAGGCACGCTTCACTTTAATTCATCGTAGTGAATAGTTGTATATAAATTTGAAAAGTTTCTATGATTGTGATTTCAAATGTCCCAAAAGTCCTATTGAAGTTTCTAGTATCAAAATCTGCTTTTACACCACTCCTCGAATATATTGTTGAACAGTTCTCTTGAAGTTTCTACACGGCTGTTAATATCGTAGAAATGAGAATAAAGAGGCCTAAAAAACATCACATGAATCGAAAATAGGGTTCTTGTATAGCTAAGAAAAAAATCTGAACCAGTGACGTCCTTACAGTGCTAAAGCATTATTATAAATATATATGTTTATTTATCATATTAATTATTCGTTGCATTGTGCTTACTTGTAATGTTGTATTTGAAAATATTTCTGGTATCTGCTGGGTAAAATTCATATTCTTGAAGTTTATTCCTCGGGTTCTCAGAATCAATTATGTCGTTAATTTTGTACACAACTTGTCCCGTTTCCGAGTTCTCAGGTAAGAATACTTTGTGTGGTAAATTAGGTGGGTCTAGAAAATAAGGAATAAACGTATTATTAATTTTAAAAAAAAATCAAATTTTATACATAATTTCTACATATATATTATGGTAGTGACTTAATATTTGTTTTCTTTTTCTCACCAACATTTAATATTTACCCTTCTTACCATAACATATATTAATTAACTTGAATATCGTTTAATACTGTAAACGTATTACGTTTGGCAGTGTATTCTATTAAGCGGCTATGGCGGAACGCAGCAACTGCTATATTAAATACAAAGCTAATTGTTTTGCACATATACACATAAAGAATATGGAGAAATGCGCTAAATCAAATCTACGCTAACTTATTCCAAAATCAATTTCCGCCAAATATCGTACATGTACACCCTAAATATAATACATTTACAGTATATTTGAATATGCTATCGTATACGAGTGAACACGAAATGTATTAAATACTTGTATTTCTTTTAAATATATTTCAGAATTCACAACATTATTATATTCTAGAACAATGTTAAATTAAATATATTTACTGACAAACAAATAAATATACAAACCTGTACCAGAAATTTGTGCACCGATTGCTGCTACAAGATATGTCATAACGAAGGAAATAGTCATGCGTTTTACAAAAGAATACTCTTTAAAAATACTTATCATTTTTACTGCAATGGGACCTTCTACTCTCTTTGAAAAATTATAAGATGTTGCACACTATGGCTCTACTTATATAGTATAAACTTCTTAATAAATTGACAAAAAATCTGATTATAAAATGGATTTTAGACACATTAAAATCAATTTCCTCGTTGATGTTCATTTTAAGTACAAAAACTTCAACCAGATCTGAAAATGCTTGTAACCTGATTCTTTTAAAGATTTCAATTTAATTTATTTTTATTGCTTTATTAAATTAAATACTTTAAATGACTTCCTTGTCGTAACCCTTTAATACAGTGCTTAATTTTTTTTTTATTTCAACTTAAAAATAATTCGAAAATTTGATCTAAGACCTAATACCTTTGTGAAAATTGAGTATTATACATATTATACGTGTTTATTGGTTATATTGAAGAAATAAGGTATCATTTTTTGAGTTTTACTGAACGCGCGTCGACCCTTTATGACGTCACTGAGAAATTACATCGAACGTTTATCCATACGCACATCTATGACCTCTTGACCCCGTACCTGTATTTATACAGTTATTAATACGCTTGCTTTCAGTAGTGTTATATAAAGGAAAACATTTGCAAATGTAAATATTGAAATTTGGAATTCAAAATAGATATAAATTTGAATTAAATTAAATAACGTTTTCAAAATATTGTAATCTGACCACGAATAAGATTGTTATTTATACACTGAATTGTTTACGGATTTTCCCGTTATTTCACGATCATGACAAGGAGCATATAGTGGGCGTGACCGGTCGACAGGGGATACGCATTCCTCCACAGCACCTGATCCCACGTCTGATGTTTTGGAGGTCCGTCTTTCTTCTACTCCTATATTGTATTGTTATATGGACTTTTGATCTTGAATACTTTTTATCATCTCTATATGTTTCAATATTAATATAGTTAATATGCATATATGCCTGAATGCATGCATCTTTTTATTTGCGTTATTTGGTTTGTAATAAAGGTGTTGATTTCCCTATGTTTATTTTACTATTAAAACACTTTTTAACGAACTTATGTTTTCCTTTTAAATGTGATTAGTTAAAAATTATAGACGCAGTTTTGATAATTTGCAGCTACGCAAAAGAATTTTTTTAAATCTACATCTACTAATGTTCATCTGTCCTTAAAAATATTTTATCTGTCTTTTAATTTAACAAATAACAATTTAAACTGCACAATAAATGTTTGTAAACAACTGGTACCGTCTTGTAATTTATATACCTGGTGGTACCATTTGTGAAAATATAAAAATATGTGTTTAATAACGTATTCGATCACCAATCGGTGATTTCTCTAAACTTCCAATAAGAAGTCAAAAAATACTTCTTACATGTATATGTTTTAATAAGAACATACAGATATCATTATGATGTTTTTCCTCGACACTTATTTTTAGTGAATTCGTAATCAAGACCTACACGAACAAAAAAATATTTTAAATAAAGAGATCATAATATATGAAAACAAATACTAAAAAAATAAATGAACAGCTCAAAATAAACAATTTATAAAAATTACGAAAAAGTAAGATTTCATAAAACGTTTGTTTAGTAAGCTAAAGATACGTGGATCAAACTGAAAATAAGAGCGGAAAAAGAATTGTAAGAACGATTTCGACAGCACTCATGTCAAGCTGCAATAGCCAAATCTACAAAAAAAAAAACAAAAAAAAAAACAAAAAAAAAAAAACAAACAAAAAAAACAAAACACCGTTAATCTTGACTATAGATATCTTAAAAAGGTAAATATCTTTAATAGCTGAATGAAATTTTAATGCCAAACTATTTATACTTTTTTTTTTTTTTACTTTCAACGACTTTGAAATAAATATGTACATCATCATATTTTTGGGATGATTTTAATTAATGAAATATTTCTACCAAATTTAATAATAATAATATGATGGTTTATTTATATTAATTGATTAAAAATGAAACGTATTTGTGAATGACATCGATACATAGAATCATTGAAAACTCGGTATCCATACGTGAAACAAATGAAAAGAAAGACTAAAGATTTAGCTCTTTAGACCCGTTTCACGTTAAACCTTCTTCCGACCACTTGTCAAGACATACATTTGTACTCAGGTATATGTAGCAGATGCTCAATAAATTCTAATATAGTTGGATTTTGGTCTTTTGTTTGTTGCCTCTTTATTCTTCACCGGATGGTAAAGTTGTTTTTGAACTATTGTCATTTAAGTTTTGAGAGATAAGTACAAAGTGTAGATACACACGGAGTCTCAAAATGTTCATGACTGTGTTACCTTTGTCTCATAAAAATGACATATTTACAGCAGAATTCAGGTGTGGTTCTGTATTCTTTCTAAAAAAAAACAGCGATGGGCAGGGAAATAATTAATATGTTAAATTTATTTTTTTTGTGTGTCAAACAGAAAGAAGATATAAATACCCGGCAAATAACCTAGTGGCATATACTCAGTAAAATTTTCCAAATATTTATTGCTTAACATTAAATGTCTAAATTGATTTAGAGATAGGTTGATGCATTTAAAAATTATTTTTTTATAGTTTAGCTTTTGATTTGTAATAGAATACCCCTTACTGTTTATAGCTAAGAGGAAAAAGTCAAGTTTTGCTGTGATCTTAAGGATTTTTTAATATTAGAGAAAACCGAGAAATGGCGCAGCTATGTATGAACATGATGTAGGTTTTTAAATTGTTTTTATTTATTTCTCAAACGCATGCGTTTCGTGGTTGGTTGTTTACTGCATAAAGTTATTTTCAAGATAAAATTGATTATGCTATTAACCTAAAGTCATTTTATTCCTTGAGGAAAACCAGTAAAATGCACAACTGTTTCACAGGTTTACAGATATGCGACCAATTCAAACAATTATACAGTATTTAAAAGCTGCAACAAGAAAATGAATATACTCAAGAATAGAGTTTTCTCAATTTTCTAAATTTTTTTGACTTTATTTTGATTCAGTATAGTTTCGTCATTTGCATCTTGCATTTTTCTAGTGTAAAAAAAATGCTTGGTATGTTTATCAAAGAAAGATAAAGTATACATGCAGACGATATGTTATTGAGTGGCTCAATACAATCTTTATTAAATGAGTTGAAATGGTATTTGTTATTTTAATTTTTGACATTGAGATAAGCCCCGTTTTTTGTAAATCCTTTTTTTTTTTTATTTATTTCATTTTCGCGTAATAACGCGAGACGATATGCTCGCGAAAAGTTCGCGCGTTTATAGTTATTCAATAAGATTATAGGCTCTATATAGTGTGATATCAACAATTTGTTAAATTTTTGACTCGCTTATGAACAATTGACTATTGAAAATAAGTTGTTGTTACAGTATTTTAATTTAACATATTTCACTATATAATAACTTTAATATAATAATAATTTAAAAAACTGGACGACAGGGCAAGTGCATATATGACCTAACTTCAGATGTGAATCCCTTATCTTTTAAGTTTTAACTGAATCGGGGATGCAGATATAAAAGATGTCGCTCTGTTGCTGTTTACTTTTTTGAAAGTTTTTTGTTGATTTAAAAATTGAAACCAAGGAATAATTTTAAAATATGTGGGAATTTGTTTGAGATTTATTCTGAACAAAATTTTGACAAAAAGTTGTAACAAGTCCTTCGAGAACAAGGCCAAATGAATCATGGGTCCCACACTCTTTTTGTGTTCTAGCAGACTTATAGATTCTAAATGTATTGTAAGTTATATGCTAACAGCATAGTGTTAAAACGCATAATGTGAAATCACAAATGTGCGTTGGGAATAATATTCGTTATTTATGAAGTATGGAGAGATGAAACCATGAAATGTAAAATTTAACACGCATTACTACTCAATACTCATTTCGAAATCAAATACCTACAAATCAAGAATATTTTCTCAAATCTGGAAAACTTTCCCCGTGGAAATATATGATTTTACAATATATAGTTTAATATGGCTAGACCATTATGAATGGTACGTCAATTTAGTAGTGCTAGTCCATGATTCCTTTCGACATGCACAGAGTCTAACCATTTTAAATACTAGTAATACTTTCTTACATTAGACTTCAGCGTACTAGTCTATAACGTTACAGTGACGTTTGACCTTGAACTATCGCTATATCATGTATGATGCATGAATCCCTGTCGGACTTCCACTCAGAAGTTTGTATGACACAAATATACAACAGATTATTATATTACTTCATGGATTCTTATGCAAACTTAGCACAAACGATTTTATATCATTGAAAACAACGAAAGCATTATATATGTAATAAAAATATTTATCAAAATTTACAAAATATGCTTTGATTCCGGATAATTCAGAAAAAAAGTGGACATGGTATGTCTTCACATTCTCCTTACTTTCCAAATGGTTTTACTATTGTTTGTTTTCCTTTCTTTGGTACACTGTAAATAAAATAAATAAATAATGTATTATATGCTTTTATAAATATTGTGTTCGTTAATATCATTCATTTTCAAAGGTGGAAGATATAAATACTAAAATAACCACTTTACGGTAAATAAATATAACTAATGGTATTCTAGTATATACATTTTCTAATTATTTACAAATATAAAGTTGACTTAAGAATTTGAAAAAGTCAACTTTTTATTAAGTGTTCTTGCCCTTTGGGAAATTGTAATTAATAGTACATGAAAATAAAGATACTTATTGTACTGTATCTTCGACCTACCAGCAAAATAAAATTGTGATTCCAAGCATTATCAAGATAAACTCTAATGCAGAGGAAACGGGCACCATCCACAACAATCTTCTGACGTCATTACAGCAGCCATTATCTGTTGTCTTTTCCAGCTTGAAATCTGAGGGTTCGGGTACGTCAATTATTTCTATCAATAATGGGTATACTTTGGAAGGATCATTTCTTTCTTGGAAAAGAATCAGGTAGGACTTGTTGAGACTCTCGAAATTCAGCAAACTCCCATTAATCACAGAAACTTCTTTACCTACAACACTGATACATGTTTTTAATTTTATGTTTTAAAATGTATAAGAAAAATTATTTATAAAGTACATGTACTCGACCTTTTTACATTGCTACATATACATGAATAACTTTTTATACTTTTTTAAAAATTCCGTTTATATGATATATTATATGATTTAAAATGACAGTAAAAATAAATTTGAGGATGAATTAATCCAAAGACTAAGAGAAAAAAACAAGTTTTTTTAGCTGCTTAAACGACAAAAATAGATCATGAACTGGACGAAATAAACACAAAGAAACTTTTTTTACGAATAGAGCGATCAAAAGAACATTTATGATTATAAACAAAAGAATAATGAAATACGTCTAACTTACTTGTTACGTTGTATTGGAAAACAGATTTGGTTGCCGCTGGATAAAATTGAGTTACAGTAAGTATATTGTCTGGGTCTATCGGATTTATATTTTCTTTAACAGTGAATACAGTGTAGCCCTTTTCCATGTTTTCAGGCAGATAAACCTTACTTGGTAAATTAGCGGCCACTAAAATAGAACCGTACTGTTAAGGAAAATTGTTCATAAAGGTATTAAACATTATCTGTATACTGTATGGGTGTAAAACTATCCTGATTAAATAAATTATCAAAATGATGTTTTAGACTTAAGATATGTGTATCTTTACATAAATATGCATTAATGTATAGCAAAGATTTCATACATCTATTGGGATACCTAATCTCAAATGATTGCAGTTGTGTTTTGTGAACGTTTTAATTTTGCTGTTCTAGGATGAACATTTAATATTGGTATATACTAAAATAGCTACGAGAATAATTATTCTCTTTCATTCCAAAATATAAAATATCCAAATTATAACTTAAATATAGCTTACCGTTTTGAACAATAATTTGAGTCTCAACTTTAACAATCAAAGAGTCCAAGGTAATAAAAAGACTGACACACTTCATTACAAAATGCCTTGTACAAGAGATCATTTTGACTGTTACAATGAATCCCTGCAGGCATTGAAAGCATTTGGAGAAAAATGCTAATGTTTGAAATTATATACTATATGAATTTTAAAAGGACACGCTCTAAATAACCAGTTTTTTTTTTAATTTAATTTTATTTTTTTTAAAAAATCATTTCCTTATTGAAGCCTTTTGCTTAGGAAGACATTTAACAAACGATAATTGTTCACTCTAAAAAGTGGATTATTGGTTCCTGCTGCTCCCATAAAAGTTATTTCCTTGTCAAACTACAGCTTTGCAGTATTAAATAATATTACTTTTACACCCCTTGAACGATTTAAAAGAATAAAGTACTTACCATCACTGAGGAATTTAAATTTAAAAGCCCAATATAAAGTATAATTATTTCTTTTATATATATGAAACAGGATATTAACAATACATATACCTGAGGCTGTTCCTTATCTATCAATGTAATCCATGTTAATGTCACCCAAATATATTTCAGTTACTAAATAACCTCGATTTCATTCCATGTTTTCCCAATAAATGAAATATTTTGTTTATTCGTCAACATGGAACAACCAGTTTTGATCCCCAATATATCTTAGATCATTTGCAATCAAAGCAAAAACCAGAACAACTTATTTTTGTAACAAAGATCATTTATTCAACTTCCCCTAAAAATATTGGATCAAATGATGAAAATTTTCTCAAACATTGTTTAACCAAAAAAATGACTAAATAAATGACAAGAAATTTGCAATAGTGGCGTTAAAAAAACCAGGTAATCCATATTTGTGTTCAGTAATATTTTTTCTAAATCTCCTATACAATTTTCTTCAACAGATTAATGCAATTTGAAATTGATACTATTGTTGTACATAGTATTTGTTTGTCACTTTTAATGGACCCATGATACATACACAAGCATTATCAGATTTTGAATATATTTCGTTATGTTATATTGTAAATATCTGTGGCCTATTGAAGATAACAATAGGCTTCATAGTCCTCCAGTTTTCCTGAGTAATACCTCAGTAAGGCGAACGCCTCCCGGAAGTACCCGTAATTAATCTGGACTTCCGGAATCTGTCCAGGTGGTATGTCTGCAACGCCAGTCTTTCCACGAAGACCTATTCTAATGTTGACGTCACCAATACCATCACAGTGAACGATTTTGATGGCCTTTTTATCGTGAGTGGTAATATCATATTCCTCAAACAGACCTATACCATTCAATGGCGGTCGAGGATCCCCTTCCCAGAAATGGTACTCAGATCGCAAAACCATTTTCTTAATCACAGCATCAGATTCTATTTTAATAAAGTAAAACATAAATATTATAAAATTTATGTGAAAATTCAAACGACACTCAAGAACGATAGAACTTGTATTATTTTAAGAGTAATAAAATTGTCCTTTTCTTTCATGTGACTAAATTAGATATGGAACTTTTATTCTGTAATATAGGATAACTGACAGAGGGCTGGTTTTTTAAAGAAAATGATTATGTGAAATTGAGCTGGACAACAAAGATTAACATAGCTTCTGCAAATTAGCTCTGAGAATTTTCTTCCAAATTGTATTATCAAACAAATAAGTACAAAACGACATAGGTTATTGATCAAATAAAGAAGAAGAGGGGCTTCAAATTTCTTTACAGTAGGTTTCTTAGTTTTTAAACATTTTTTTTTCAAAATTTCAAACCGAGAGTACCAACCGAAAGCTATGTTTATTTCTGTTATATCAAGAAAGAGGGCGTTGTCGTTGTATTCCAAGGAATATGTAGTCGGTATATCGTCCTGCACTTTCCTGACGTTGCTTGAAAATTTTACACCAGTCTGACCTGTAATGTTGTCGATTTCCTCCACAATGTATCTGGACCTACAGGTAAGTAACAGTTTATAGTTTACATGTGGACAGCTCAAGAACATTTAAATTTTTAGAATTTTATTCTTTTTTGCAAAAGTTATGATATATGTATATCTACATGTATTTAAAGAAGTTATGTTAAATATGATATACTTGTGTTCAATAGTATTCTGTATTATTAATTATTGAAGACTATTGAAGAAAATTAAATATTAAAAATATATGTTCACTGGGATTTTTTTTAATTATCTATTTTATATGGGCCAATTAAAAATATAAAAGTGAGTTTAATTTAAAAAACAATTTTTTCTTTGTAGCAAACATCTATTTACTTTGTGTGAAACGTAAAGATTCATTTTTTTAGACTATAATTACAATGTACATATACTGGTTTGTTTACTTAAAGACACAACATACAGTATTTGATATTAATAATACCCACTTACAACACTAATTTATCATTTACATTCTTTGAACTCCCTGATACCTCATACGATGCTTCAAACTTAATGTTTGTCGTATCGTTTGTTTGGGTTGAGTTTACCACAGAAATGTCAAACTGAAAAAATACGAAAATTTAAATACCTTCACTTTATATATACATACATATAATTTCCTTTGAAGAAAGGCTTAAATTTCACTGAATAAAAACATTCCTTTTGTTTAATGAGCATTAACATGCGTTGGAAATTCTTTTTGATTACAACAAATATTATTTTATCAGTCATTTCATGCTGTTTCTTGTTTATGTTTTACAAAATGTATAAATGATAAAGATATGATTTACTGAAACATTATTAGGAATTCATAAAACAATAAAAGTACATTCTTTAATTTTTGCCCTTCATTTTGGGATTTCTATTGGATAATGTGCAATAAAATGGTCTATCATATACATAAAACGTAATATCAGGATAGGAAAATGACGGAAAAATCCGTCGATAATTCAGTTTGTATATACCGGTAATGACTAGTTTGAAAAACGCCAGTGAGGGTTGACTTAATGATAAATTCCATTTGCTGTCAAGGTCATTATATCGAACATAGAACTTACGAGGTGACTTAAAAGGAAATTGATGATAGTCTTGTTTCATCTACTTGTTTTGTCAATAACTTATACCTCGTATTAGAAATATATATTCTAAAAGTCTTATGCAAATGCTCAGCCAAAATTAAGGCTTAAGAAAAATCCAAATATACATTAAGTCACAAGATCTAAATCATAGTAAATATGGGGGGAAAAAATCTTCTCACAGATAATGTAAATTTCTAAAAATGAAAATTTGTGAAAAGTAAAAATCTTACAGCCAAGGTAACAGTCTCTGACAAGTACAGTCTTCAGTTCATGAAATTCAATTCAACATATATTCGGAAACGTCTTGCGATATGTAATGATCATAAACCCATGACTTGGGATGATGATTATGCTCATATACATGTATATATGAAATGTGAAAGCGTTGTAACAAAAGTGTAGGTATTTTGTGACAGACATGCATATTGGCGAATTGGTGCAAAGATCTAGACAAACAAACGCACAAATAAAAGATGAAAATGAAGATACCTCAAAATCATCAAAAGTTTGAGTGGTCGTGGCATTTAAATTCTTGAGACCATCAAAAGTAATAGTTACAGTCGACTGGTGATGAGTAACTGCAAATTCTAGGATCGTTTCGGTAAGAGTGCTCATTTCTTTTCTGGACCTTAGTCTGGCAACACGTCGGTTTTTGTAAGGCCATTGATAGGACAAGGAGGAGGAAAATGAGGGATCACCAACTGAAAATAAAAACATTTTATACATGTAGCATACTTGTTTTCATATCATATTAAAGAGACATTCAACACAATTTGGAATCTTTAGTGTTTTGATTACTTTTCTTTTACATTGGTCTTTTGACTGCATCTGAAAGTAATGACTGCAAAATATGTAAGATCTGAACCACCTGTTTAGAGAAAGCACAATACTTTTACAAAGCATACCGGTAGTGTGTCAGACTGGGTACATCCCAAGATGCATAATACACCTAAGTTGTCAGGAAAGACAAGTAATTAATTAGAAATGGACGGACTTCAGATTCTTTACTTGGTCGACGTCCAAAAAATGTAGATACATAATGAAAGCAGGTCTGGTAAATGCACATACCATCTAGCATGCACATTTGTAACAATTAAGGTATACATTTACTCAGATGACAAAAAATTCTACTGATAAGAACAAAAAACAAACCTATTGCACATTGTACGCCTGTGATTCCTTTGTTAAATTTTCATTTCAAATAAGTAGGTCAATGACCTCCTTTTCATCTAGTGGCCCCTCAGTATTTCTGGGGAAATAATTCAATTTTAAACACTATGACGGGTTTTTCCTTTACACACAAAATATTACAAACAACAAAACTCTTTAACTAATGAAATATTATAGGAACGGAACAGCGTTGCTTCATATAAATAAGTGATTAGAGTTTGGGTGATAAACTTATTAATTATTACAGTCCGAATTTCCTCTGTCATAATTTACTTTTCTCCATTTTTGATAGAATATTATAAAAATCTGAATGATAAGAACACTAAATTATTTATAGCATCAAGTTACTTTTTCTAATGGTATTAATATTATATGAGGTCAACGATCAGAAGTATTGAGATATATTGTCTGAAATGGTATTTGTTCATATTTTTGAATTTATTTATTTCATAGCATTCAATTATTTGAAATAATTCATGAGCTTTAATACACATATTATCTGCAAACTGATGTTTTGAAATACATTTAACTTTTACATTGTAATTGATAATGTACGAAATAATTTATTTTGACAAAAATGAAAAATTAGAAATTTAGTCCGAATTTCCTCTGCGCCACCATACATTCGTTGACTTTTGTTCCTGTGTATTTTCTTAAAAAATAAGATATTAAATTCTTAAATTGATTTTGGGTTAAAACTGTTATTTCATCCATTTAGAACAATTTTTGACTTCTGAAACCTTAGTAAACGCGTCATCCTTAACACCAATTATTCAAAAAGGAGCTTTTTTGGAGTAGAATTTTGACCGGAAAAGAAATCATGCATTACAAGCATAAATATAGACAGCTAATTTTAAATAGGCAGCAATCAAGAATAATTATTGTTCTTGTCTCCAATAGGCATTGGTAGAAATTAAGTAAGGATTCAAACTACATTTAAAAAACATACTCACAAACTATCGGAATTTTTTTATCCATATGATGCAAGAACCAGACAACCTTAGTCTTGTGTTCCGTCGTGGTTTCAAATTCCACTTCATACCATGTGTCATCCCACCACGCCTCCGTAGACGCTGATAGGATTCGAATTGGAAACTTTGTTGTTTTCTTATCGACATGAAACTGAAATTAACAAGAAAAATTAATATTCATATTCATGACCTGATTAAATTATATGAGTCTTATTTGCATGAAGACAAAATATTGTCGAATATATACACGTAAGCATAAGATTTTCATAAAATAGAATAATAAATATTCATATCTATTTTGAATTTTATTTTTAAAAATGTACTTAGAAATTAAAGAAATAATTGTATTTATATGATAGGAGGATTGCAAATAAACATTGTATTGATTTTTATTTATATTAATACTGATACATGAATAAAGTTTTTGTGAATATCAGAAGATAACATTATTATAATATTCCTACCGCTGATAATCCTGTTCCAAAAATGAGGTACAAGCAAAATATAAGTTGTCGCAGATACATGTATTGAGACATCATTACTCTCTATTTTGAGACATTCTTATCATCCGAAAAAGTTTCGGTGGATAAAATTTACAAACCTCTAATTTATATACACGATCTTGGTCATGCTCTAAAACTTTGAATGGCCTCACTAAAATGGAAATATTTTTTAGAATAAAATACCCCTGATTGTAAATGCCTATCATATAGATTAAACCTGGTTTGACCATCATTAAATGCTTGATTTAAATACTTTCTTCTTAAAGTTATTAAGATCTTTCTTTGTCTTTTGATTAAATATTTCTGTTTTAACATCAACATTTGTTACTTGGAAATCACTATCTTATCTTACTCTCTTGCTCATTTACACTAGAACTATTGTAAATGATTATTGAAAATAAAAAGACAGTTATTTTAATTTCATGGTTAAAGTCAAATGGAATTTTTGAAGGAATAAAATAAAATATTAGAAACGTACAAATATAACCAGATTTGCCAGTATTTTTCTTTCGTCTATTTGGGAATAAGAAAATTTTTCAAGTACTGTGAGTTTACTGTATTTTCTTGGAGGTTTAATTTTCGTTGTTTTCAAGGTATGAAGTGATCCATGAATTTGTGTTGACCATGAAATGCAATTTTTCACATATGTTATTACTGAACAATTCTTTAATCACGAAATCAAATCCCCATGCATGAACCAATATATTTTCCTTGAACCACGAAAATTTGACCCCTCGAAAATATATGGTTTTACAGTACTCAGCTATCAAATCGGATCGACTCCATGCTTTAAACTTTGCCAAATTTTAGCTAAATCGATTCTAGAAATTATTTAGAATGTCAATCCTTGAAACAAGCCAGGTCAATGGAATTTTATTTTAATAATCATGCCAATTACTACTTGTAAATGTCCTTTTATGATAATTACAGGGAATGGACTATGCGGAACCCGTTTAATTCTACTCAAATTATTGATTCTTGGATGCACACATGAGCAACTTGTTTGTGATGCATTACATTTGATTGATAAAATGTCTTAATGAAACGGAATCGTTGAGCGTGTTTTCTTGTCGTATTTGAAACATTCGAGTGTATGCAAATCATCTCATTGGAGTGATTATCTGAACTGTTGGTTTCTTCCAAGTTCTTAAAGTTGTTTCAAATCTCTACGCATATTTCAACGGTTGTTTTTAACAAATTTAAAACTACCTTTAACTTTTCATTTTAAATGTACATTGACAATCACAAAAAGGTCTAACAGTAGGTTAAACTCAAACTTTACAATGTTTACACTTACTTTATACCATGGCATCAAAAGTCAATATGAGTGAAATACAGTAAAATAATATTAATAATGGAGCACAATTATTCCCATAGGTATTCCAATGGACTGTTGGAAAATTTGGTCTCAAAAGATTGTCACTGGAGATCTTTTAAAAATATAATTATTCTTTTTTAAATTTAAACAGTTGTTTATGATGTAAAAAAAATCCAGTTATTTTTGAATGGTTGTATAAAGTGTTAAAAAAGATCGTTTTGAACATCTGTAGCCATTCCTTTATTATCTTTTGAAGAAATTGTCGTCAAATAATTATTTTTTTCAATCATTTGCAATGTTATTTCAAAATGTCTAAATTAAATTTTTAAAATCAATAATTAGCAAGATTTTTACAGTATAAATTAGTTTCGGAGTTTCAGAAAGGATATTCACATTTTCTTATCCTTCAATCAAATCCGAATATTTTAAAATATTCGCCTTTCTCTGGGTTGTCGTATCAGTGCGTACGTAAACGAGGGAGTAATATTAATTTTATCAAATTTTTTATCAGCATGTTGTGCGTATATTTATTAAAAATGTAATAATAAAGCTTTCGGTATGTGTGAGCAGTAATGTCATGATATTTTTATCTTGTCATTTTTTAAGACGGAAAAAAAAAATTTCGATAGGAATCTTTAATTGATAAATATCATTACTCAACAAACATACCCCATTTACATCGTGGGATAATGACTCGATTAATGGTATGATAAAGTGTCATCCAAAAAGTTCAATAAGTCAAACAGACATGTGCAAAACTCTGATAAACTGTCTTCTTTTGTGTACCTGTCCGCATCCGCTAATGTTTGAAATAAATTACATTTAAGATTTTATACTTCGTCAATTGTTAGCAATGGTACTGTGTTGTACACTTTTTATAGCATTTGAAAGAATTAACATGTATAACATGGATAAACGTTCTCAAGAGAAAAGATGTATGAGAGATACTTACCATCCTGAGCAAAATATCAGACTATTAAAAGTTTCAGGTCAGGCCTCTGGAATTGTAATATTTAAATCTATTATACACTGAAAGAAAAACCTAGTGAATTTAACTAGTGTGTTTCGTAAAGCTTTGGTCGTGATTAGTAAACTTTCAGTTTAGTGAGTTGTGGAGCGGGGGTCGTATAGATACTTAGATACCTAGTGAAAGTTACTCATCAATTCTAAATTTACTAATCTTATCTAGTAAATGTACCAATATCTGGTAAAACTACTATTAAGGTAGTGATTATATGGACAATGAATCTACTAGTTTTCTTCGTAACATTAACTAGTTATTTTTTTTTTACAGTGTATGATTTCAAATTTGAGAGACCATCTATATTAGATTCCTTTTGTACATGAAGTATTGAAACTTCGGACTGGAAAATGTTTCCTGATAAAAATTTGGTTTTACCTAGGGTATGCAGGTTTGAGTAGAATTATCCGTGTGGTTCTTTAATTAAAAGTTGAATTGACGGATGTCAAACAGACAGACTAGGAATATACTAGGTGATCAGCAAAAACTCACCTTAACTTTTGATTGGTGTAGCTAAAATTGTTCAGAGTATTGTCTAATATAATTAAATAATAATATTTTTATTGAATAGTTTAGAATAATGAAAAGTGTTAAATAATTTTTGAAATTCTTTGGAATTAAAAAAATTTGCATCCAAGTTCTGTGAAAGATTGCTCAATATTATTCGGATTGAATTACACCAGTGGGTTAAAAATTTATATACATGTACTTATGATTTTTTAAAACCTCTTTTTAAGGTCCAACATATTAGACCAATACCCGGAATATGTACACGTAGTACATGGCCAATTTCATCCAAAAGGAATGTTCTCGCAACTGGTATGATTCCAACTTCAACAGGCACTCCGACGATTAATATAAGAATATGTGTATAAAGAAAATTTCGCTCATCATATTTTTAAAAAGATTAAAGACGGCTTACTTGATATGCCAGAACTTATAAGCATTTTTTCTCCTTTTTAGGCTAAACGGAAGGAGTTCACAAGAATAAATAAGACAATAGATATTGCAAAATCCCAGCATAAAAATAATTTACCATTATTGACAGCAAATTATTATTATACATATAACAACTTCGAAGGGCTCTAAACACCACTCTGCGTAGGTGTTCTCGTGAGTGATAATGTCGATAATTTATTTATATTTACATAACTACATTATTAACACTATCATCTCATCATTATTTCTATACAATTTTGTAACATTTTCAGAAGATGATGACTTTTGGGTGTTGTAAGACTGGTTTCGAAATATATTGACTTGTTGAACCCCAAGGATGAAGTGTTATCCAATGAGCGATTCATTTCTTTTGTGATGTGGAAATATAAATATGAAAACATATTTCATTTGTTAACAGTTCCATATTTAGCATCATGAACGACTATTAGATATACAATGGATATATGATGTGTTTTATCAAAATTATATCAAAAAGTAAATTCCCATTAGATTTGAATTTTATTTTACGTTTCACATACATACACATTAAGTAAAATATATGTACATATGAAATATTTATAAATGCAAATTTGAAAGATGGGGAATGGGACAATCCCTCCCCTCTTTAATTCACTATATTCAATGTATACATGTTTGATTTTATCTATCATGTCCATGAGGAGGTCAAATCCCTTTCGATCTTTACATCTAACCCACGGCTCATTTACTTTGTAGTCGTTGGACATTAGGACCGTGGTCTTGATCCCCATGTACATGTAGTGTCACTCTCTACCACCGGCTCACTGAGAGAGGAACGAACGACAACTCTGCATAGGAGATTGATGTAGTGTATTCATGTATTAAAAAGAATGTACGGAATAAGATGAGTAAAAATTCTTAATGACACCCGTGCTCATTGCTCATTCTTATATTTTCTTATGTACATGTATATGTTATTCATTTAAGTATTAGGCCTCAGATTGTTCGGGTGTAATTTTTTAGAATTAAATTTTCTATAATTCACCACCAGCGACCTAGCTATTATTACATGTATAGTACGTATCTATATATATCTGTTTAAATCTATTTGATTCCAATACTCGATTTTTAAAAATAAGTACACTAATTTCCATTCATTGTAAAAAGTATGTTTACAACGAATTAATAAAAATTGATCTTTTAGAATATTAAAGATATGATAATAATATAAATGAAAATATCTTACAGTTATTTTTAAATATTCATATTTAATCCAGTATATGGTGTATTTATCCAACTCTACAAACTGTGATTCAAATTCAGTTTGACAAATACACCATTATGCTGGATTAAAGTGAATATAAAACAGGGATAACGGGGGCTGTTCGAAAATTATTGAGACATTTACTTTAACTCCATAAAGGGCAGAGATAAATTCAGGAAAATTCATCAACATTTAATAAAGAACGAATAAAACAATTATGCAAAATTTCTAATTTATAGGATAATTAGATAAGTTCTGGTGAAATTATGAACATGCAGATGTCTATTGACCTGGAGCAGCATCGCTACGTCAATTTACTAGTACGTCACGTCAGCCGATGATTTCCCATGTAAAACGATATGATCGGGAAGCGTTGACTCTGATCTTTCTTTAATTATTACCATACATAACATTACAAAAATCAGACTGTCTCTTATCTTAAACGATTCTTTAAACAATGTGTACTGTTGCTACACCAGTATGACATGTTCTAGTGTCATATATATACCTGATGATTTAACATCATAAAGCGCCAAATTTATGCAGCGCAGGTCAACGTTATTAATTCCGTTACCGTAAAAAAATTGATGGGCGTCCGGAGCGTTTGATTTTACTCTGATTGAATCATTGGTCAGAAAAATATAAATAAATGAAATAACAATCCCGTAAACATGTTTTGTACTTGTTTTTATTGTTTTAGCAGGTTGGTCAGTTTAGTAAAGAGTTCTACATAGCGCTACACAAAATTTTATGTCTCTCGCTGCTCGATCCGCCTTGACTTCATTCAGTCGTCGTTATTAGATTTCTTTACCTCGCCTCATTTCTTTAATGATCTCCATAATTTTGATCAGAATTCAAACAAACTTGCACAACATGAAGTCAAAGTAGAATTGAAATCTGTAATTATATACATAAATTTAATTATTTTCGCTCTTATTATGGGGCCATCGTGCATGGGTTAGAATGTTGGTAATTACATAATTATTTTCAATACCTGAATTCGTGACTGCGCCGGGTACCCCTACCATTGACATATTTTTATACCACTGAAGAGAAGATATTAAATATTTGTAAATCATTGCTTGCTTTAATGAATTCTAAATGTTTGTCAAATGTTATGCAAATTTTCACCGAAAGACGTTCATTAGAAAGCATACATGTAATTGTACATCGTGTCTCAATATACATGTAATTCCCGAACAGCCCTCGTATTTATAGAATATAAAACATACAAAAAATAATATGTATCATATAAATATTACTTGAAAAATCATGGGATATTGTTCATGTTCATCCTGAAGCGCTTGTATAAATTAATATTACGCCCATTTATGATCCGCCACTCCAATCAATAAATGGGGAGGTAACTCTCAGGTGTAAACATAAACTTGTTGCACCATGTGGAATGACTTGGTTGGCAAGAAGGCGAGTGAATTAGCACCTTGTTTTACCGTGTACAAGTCACCATAGAAAGAGACTGCATTGACAGCCATCGACATGGCAAAAACGCAGGTTTATTGCGGTATGATAGTTCATTCTACGAGGAAAGACTACATGAAAATACTTCAAAAGCATGCCATCGGAGTGAAAGAAGGAAAGGTGAGCCATTAAAAATTATCTGATTGTGGGCTTTTACATATGTTTTAAAGTCCATTCGATGTTTTAATATTTTTGTGTGGATTGTTACAATGTGACAGTTGTTCAAAGGATAGGTGAGTTATGTGTACAAATGTAAGACTGGGTCATTCTATTTAAAGTGTTCATGAATGGGGTTGAAAAGATCAAGTGGTTCGTTGACCTTTTCTCATGTAGTAAAATGCAATGTCGGAGTTAAAATTGATATGCGATACATTTAAAGAAGTGGACAATGTCCATTTCTCTACTTGTCTAAAGAGAGTACGATAATGTAGATATATAATTTTGATTAAAAGTACCCCCGCCCCTAAAATCATAGTTAAATTTAATTAAATCTATTAAAAAAAGAGCGTATGTACCATTGAAAATATTTTAATTTAAAAGACTTTATAATATAATTTAAAAATGCATCAAGAAATTGAAGTAAGCTTGTTAGTTATTTACTACATGTATTTGGATTTTTAGTAATAATCTACATATTGTACCAGTACGTAGTCGTCTATTTTCAAGATGTCTTCTTTTTTAAATAAAAAAAAAAATTGGTATAGCCTACCTTACTTTACTAATGATCTGTTGCTTTTGGTAGATTGTGTTTATTGAAGAATTGGAGAAATTTCAACAGAAAGTTAACGAAAAGGAACACGAAGTTATAAAAATTGGTAAAAAGTACGTAATTTTTAACCTTTGCGCCAAAGCCTATGAACCATTATTACATAATTATTGATTACATGTATATAAATGTTTGATTGCACCACAACATACATTTGACACACTCCCTGTTTCTGAAGGCATGCAACACGAAAGGAAAACGACAAATTTTAATTTTGCAGCATACCTTTATCATGTTTGTGATTTTCAACAATCCGAAACATGTTTCATGCATTCATGCATGTTGTAACTTAATTTTGGTACATATATATTAGGGTTTGCTTTGTGTTAAGTATAAAGTTGGCATTTTTTTTTTTTTTTTTTTTTGGATTTCACTGAAATGAAGATTAGATATGTTTATTTAGTAAACATATGTTTGATAATGTTGTATGTTTAGTAAAAAAAAATTATCGGTTGTGTGGAGGGCGGCAACAAGCATATCTTCTGATAAGATAAATTAAAAAAAATGTTTTGAACAAAAAGAAACTACATGTAATAAAATATCTAAGTAAAACGTCTCATAAAAGATTTAAGCCAATGCAAAAGCTAAATCCTCCGTTACTTTTTCACCTTGATCTAAAAAATGACAAATTTATATATTCACACACACCCTCCCGAAAAGGGTTGGTTGGAACCCAACTTTGAAAATTAATTTTCAAAAAATATAATATTCCTTTAAAACAGTGGATTTCTTATGCCCGGGATGATAGACACTCATATACATGCCCCGCAGTACCCAAACGCCGGGAAAGGATTGGACAGGGGACTCCTAGAATGGCTGACTACCTATACCTTCCCCACAGAGGCCAAATTTCAGGAGCCTGAATTTGCAAAAACTGCATACAACAGAGTTGTGGTAAGGATTGTAAATTCTTCGTATGTTGAAGTCTATTAAATATTTTATTTTATTCCCGACTTCTTTGCGTAATATTACCTGAATGTATATGTACATTATAGATATTTGAATTTCTTTGTAGATTTAATCATACTTTTAAACAAAATTAAGCACCTATAATCCTGACATTTCATGCTTTGTGTAGACATCGAGAGCGGGAAATGCCCTACGATATTATAATGCACCAGTTTTGTTCACTTGATAACAAGGACGTCCGGTCATAGATGAAAAATGAATTACATTGGATAAGTCCATGTAGAATTAATAATGGCTTGCATTATTACTGATTAGAATAATTCATTTGTACCAACCTACCCTAACTTTATGATATCAAACAATGTCCATTGGGTTTGTTCGTTAACAATGATGAATTTTACCCTGTCGAAATTTCAGATTTGACCGCATAAACCTCCGCGTCGAGAGTACTGTAGTTTTTGAACGTCACGTTCTCTTTCTCATAAAGATGTTGTTTTGTGCAAATTATAGATTTATACTTTCATTTTAAACGAAAATGTATTGCAAATCACTGTATCCCCCCACACGGGGGTGGGGGATGAGGGGACGTATCTCACATTTCCACAATCCATAAATTAGCGACTTTGAAAAACATTTATTCATTTTTAGGTAGGTTTTATAATTCACAACGGAACCTGGTTCACTAAATTGTAAGCCCACAATCCTTAACATTTTATATGCAATTCATGAAAATTAATTCCCGCGAATAAAAATGATTCCTCATCAGACAGAGATCGAGGGAATAATGATGGATAAGAATGCTATTATTACAGCATTTTGGAGGCATACACGTTTATATATGGAATAACACTACATGTATTTGATGATTGTTCAAAATTTCTAATTTTATTTCTTCAAATGACTTTTTTTGTAACGTTTTTTCATTTAGAAAAAAAAAACACCGACAATGAGACTTGACTGAAATATCTCCAGGTCGTCGTTTTGCTTTTGACAATCAACGAATCAAAATTTTGTTTTGACGATATGAAGGAAATTATACGTACATTCTGTTAGTTCAGGATTTGAAGAATTAACAACGTCTGACACGGCAACACTTTCATATTAATAGCTTTATTGTCTTTCCTACCTGTCATTTGAAATATATGTGTTTAACAGCGTTGTATTGTTATACAAATTATTTTTACATGCACTTCTCCATTTTGTTTTAATACCTTAATAAAATGTTAATTTTTTATATAACACAGTACATACATTATATTTTGACAGAGACGAACCTTGGAGAATGGTACAACAACGGCAAGTTATTACGGAACTATACACTCTGAGGCTTGTCTGACGTTGTGCGACATCATAGGTACAATTCATCATTTATCAATAACGTTTTCAAGTACTAGGGAAAAGAATAAAAATACATGTTTGACTAACATTTTATTTGTACATGCGAAAAATCAAAGATTTTTTTCTAAAAATAATACTTCGATGTATAGTTCTTAATTTTTCTTCTTCAGAGAAGAACGGTCAGCGGGCACTTGTTGGGAAAGTAAACATGAATACTAATTCACCAGACTACTACATTGAAGAATCTGTGGACAAATCTATTTCAGAAACTCGGAAGTATGATTTCATCTGTCTATATGTATATTGTCTCACCCAATCTCTCTCTCTCTCTCTCTTTCTCTCTCTCTCTCTCTGTGATTGACATTAAAATACCGGGGTATTTGAGATTAAAATGCAATTCTTACCCACAATGTCTGGATATATTAATGCGTCTTTTGAACTGATCATATCATGACTGTTTATCAATTTCAGATTTGTTGATAACGTTCTCCAGAAAAAGGTAAACATAGTTGGTATTTATACATACATATTTCCATTTCTAATTTTTTTCTCTGTGATAACTCTTTGAAAGTTAGGGGTAGTTTATTTCTTGATAATTCTGCCGGAATGTAAATTAGGCAGGTCGATAGATCGGGAGCTACATGTAAGGAGGCCTAATACGCATGCAATTCTCGTGCGCATCTGTCTCTGTGTCTGACGCTAAGAGGCCAAATATGCATGTAAATCTCGTGCGGCTGCCTTTGTGTTTGACGTCGGTTGGCGAGGAATATTGAAATTGGCATGGAAGTCATCATGTGATTTAAATCTAATTATCTACATTTTTAAAGTCTAAATCTACAATTTTATTTCACAATGAAGTGGAAATATAAGGAATCACTGTCTAGTTAGGAGAGTATGTCAAGGACATCAACAATAGTGGGAAACATGGGATAATTTAAGCATAACGGGCTTCGCCAGTTATGCAAATTATCCCATGTTTCCCACTACATGTATTGTTGATGCCCTGACACACCCTCCTAACTAGACAGTGATTCCTTAAATGTAGATGTAGATATGTACAACCTTGTCATTTGTATCAGATAAATAACATTGCATATGTTTGAGGCAATTAACCATTGCATTTTATACATAAAGTATAGTGGGGTTGATATTACACAAAGTTTTGTTTTATAAACTACAAAAATAATTGTTCTTTAACAGCTTCTACAATTCTATATAGCAGATATTCTTGTGTAATTACATGGAAATGGATGCATTGCTTAATGAAATTGAGTACTAGAGGTACTGTGAGCAATGAGCGTACTGTGAGCAATGAGCTCACTAAATAATACCCCCCGCCTCCCATATGAATATAATGGCAGTATCCATGGTTTGCTCTGGAAAATTCAAAATATATGTCAGATCAAAAAGTAAAATAGGAGGTGCACAATGGCAATATGTAATAAAGATTCTGTGAAAGTTTCATTAAATTTCCTTCATTGGTATGAGAGGAGTTGCGGATAAGAGAAGGGTACCCCAAAGCGTAACAGACGGACGGACGGACAGACGCACAGACGGACGGAATTAACGATTACTAAATACCCTCCCGCTTTTCAAGCGGGGGGTATAAAAAAATAATGCATCCTTTAAGTTGTAAGTTAACAATGGGGGCATCATTTTACTGATTTAATGATACGTTTTTACCTGCATCAAGAATAAACTTCACGCATATATTTTGCAGTATGCAAGAGTATTGCCAATTATTACACCCAGGTTTGCAATCTGCTGCAGTCCACAGTTAATGGATGCCTTAGGACTTCTGGCCATCGAAAAGGACTTACATGTGCAAGTAAGTAACACAGTGTGTCACTTACAGAAAAGCTGGGAACAAAATCAAGAATTTACAATTAATGTTGTTGTTTTTTTTTAACAGACGCATATATCGGAAACAAAGGATGAGTGTGAATCAGTAGGTAAAATGTTCCCAGACTGTGAGGACTATCTGGATGTGTATGACAAAGCGGGACTCATCCATGGCAAGGTACATGGCATTGCATGTACGATTTTCTCTCTCTCCCTCTCTCTGTATAGGTTCCAGTGCAAGTTGCCTTGAATACTAGCTAATGTTAATTTTTGCAAGCTGAAGATTAAATAACTTTTGTTTTATCCAGACTGTACTAGGTCATGGAATTTACTTGTCTGAAAAAGAGAGGAAGAAGATTAAGGAGAAAGGTGCATCTATATCACACTGTCCCAACTCCAACTTATCGTGAGTGTACAAAAGATTACAATGCCAGATAATTCTAAGTTTTTTTGTTTTGTACAAGTACATGACTGTACATACTTTACCATGTTTATAAGTACAGAGTGTTAATGTCCTTGTTGTAGTATACGAAGTGGAATTTTTAATGCACGCCAATGTCTTTCAGAAGGTATAAAAGTAGGACTGGGCACAGGTAAGATACTAGAACATAATAATCCACTGCAACAAACACATGTGATTTATACAATGTATTTGTTGCAGTTCATTGCATTTATAGGGGCTTTTGCCCAAGTTAAGACTACTAAATAAGAATATTTTTACGTTATTTTGAATCTGAACCTGATTTCTTTTATTATATATCTTAAATATGTTTAATATGTTTGATTGACAAATACAGTTTGATGAGTTTAATTTTTTGGAATTTAAAAAGAACATAGGAAGCGACACTTATGCATTCCATCATATACAAAAATTGAACACTGTTTCAGTAGCCAGAGGATTCACTTAATATATTTTGTTTAACTTGCCAAATATTAAAAAATGCACATTTTGGGAACAGAGTTAACAAGATGTTCCTGTCATCAAAATATTTCTTTCTTTCTTTTAGATGTGTCTGGAGGGTACAGCCCCTCCATGCTTGATGCCATGAGGACAGCGATACATACCTCCAACATGTGGGCAATCAAAGACCCCACCCACAAACCCATCACCCACAGGGAAGCCTTTATGATGGCAACATATGGTGGTAGCCAAGGTATCAGTACATTACACATGTCGCCATTGATTTTACATGTAAACCAGATTTAAATAATGTACATAATGAAGTCAAATACTTAGTTGACTGCTGCAGCCCAAGTTCAAATTCGTGAGCATAAATAATTAAATACACATGAAGCATGGGGTCTGAAGTTAATAAACTTGTTTGACCTTTTAGTACTCATCAATGGAATACAATATAAGCAGATAGGGTCTGTGTACTTTACTATTAAGCTATTTGTAATAAATGTCTTTATGATTTTCAGGGTTAATGTGTACAAGGTTTACAATTATGCTATTTGTAATACTAGTAAATGTCTTAATATGCTCATTTTCAGTGATCATTACTGTGTAATTAGGGTAAATAGGTCACAAGGTTGTGGATTGCCACTGTGCCATTTTTCATCCTCAGGTAGTTTTTCTCATACATGTACTTTTAAAGAAATATATGTTCTTTAAAAATCTTCTTCTCAAGAATAACAAAGCCATAATTGATCATATTTATATGGAAGCATCCTCAGGTAGTGTAGATTCAAATTTGTTCAAATCATGACCCCCAGGGGTAGGGCGGCGCCAAAATGGCTGACCAAAGTTTTACATAGAAATATATAGGAAAATTCTTTAAAAATCTTCTTCTCAAGAATAGCAAACTAATTGATCATATTTATATGGAAGCATCCTACAAATCATGACCCCCAGTAGTGGGTGACATTGTATTTTTTAAAATATTAAATAATTTTTTTTTCATTTAAAACTATATAGATTCTTCTTCTTCTCAAGAATAACAAAGCCATATTTCTTTTATGACAGTGTTGTTTGTTCAAATCATGACTTGGCCGATTTTACAATTTTTATTTCTTCTCCATAGCAAAGCCATAATTGTGAATGTTACATAAACTATGTGGCCGACCAAAGTTTTACATAGAAATATATAGTTCTTTAAAAAACTAAATAACAAAGAATAATTGATCATATTTATATAATTATGGAAGCCTTTTGTAGATTCAATTTGTCAAATCATGAGATAAAATGGCACATTAAAATGTATAGGTTCTTTAAAAATCTTCTTCTCAAGAATAGGTTTCATGGGACTACATTTCAGCTTTTCAAGTATAAACCAATTCTGAGCCACAGTGCTCACGGTCATTCAGTGTTTTCATTCAATTTATATTAATGCATTTCCTTTTGTATGTAAAAATAAATGTAGATGACCTTTCATTGTCAAAGAGATACACATTAAAATTAGATGGTTTCAGTACATGTAGATAAATGAAAATGATCATTCAGTTCATTTGTAAACTGCATTTTCTTTTCAGGTACATTGATACTCTAATAAGTGGGATAACTCTTAATGATACAAATGTCTTTTATTCCTTCATAAATTTGTCAAGTTGAAGTGCCTTTTTTGTCAAATTTTGCCCGGAAAGCCATCCTACAATTGTTTGTATTTTATTTAGCATATACATTTCCTTTGGAAAATCAGAAAAGTTAAAGAAACATTTTATATGAGTGAGCAGAGGGTTTATGAACCTTAATATGCAATGTTTAATGGCAATTATCAAGATTGATAGTTTCTAGTTTCACAAATACATCTGCTTTATATTTTTAGCTTTAGCCGTCGATCACCTGTGTGGAAACTTTGAAGTGGGGAAGGAATTTGATGCCCTGTTGATAAAGCTTGACTGTCCTGGTTCACAGGTTGATATATTTGAGGAGGATTCTCTAGAAGACCTGGTGCAGAAATTCATTTACCTTGGTAATGATTTTTTTATTTTAAAAATGTTAAAGAAAGATTTCATCAAAAGAAGCATTTAGTTACCATTTAGAATAAAAATCCACTCTCAAAAACTAAGCTATGCAATTTTCAAACTTTTTTATTTCAAGTGATTTGTAAAAAAAAAAATGCTCACTGCATTGGATGCAATGTTCTTAATTAACATTTAATCTCAAATGAAATGATTTGACAAAGAATTATTATTTAATTAATAATTAATTAAACTAACGTTTGTATTATTTATAACTTTGTATCAAATTTACACCCATCTTACATATATAACTGTATGTATTTTAGGTGATAGCAGAAATATTCAGAAAGTTTTTGTTAATGGAGAGGATGTTTTACAACGAAGCGTCACAGAAAATGGATCCCAGGAGCAAAATGATATATAATACTAAAGATACCAAGAATTAAAAAAAATTAAATGACCTCAGTAGATTAGAATTATTCAAGATCACAACGTGCCTTTAATAGCGATCATAGGCCACTAGGAAACATTTGTAATTTTGAATATCCTTCATATTGAAGTCAACAGCTTTTTTAAAGCAGTATTTATCTGCAAATATGGAAAAAAACAAAGCATAATTTACATGTTGCGTTTTTGAAAAAAATATTTATGAAGAATGTGTCATAATAATTTAGTAATACGTCATTATTCAATGGATGTTGTGAATTTTTTTCAAGTTCTGATACATGTAAATTATGAGAGCTCTACTGAAGTAAAGAGGGGGACTATGAAAGTTGATTTGGTAGATATGTTGTTAAAGGTTTGTATTTTGATAGAATGTTTGAAAAAAATAGCTTTGTGACAGGTTGCTGAGGTACAAGTTTATTAAAGTCGTTTTGAAGAATGTTACTGTTAGATTTTTATGTTTGTTAGATTGCAGATAACGATATATTTCTATATTTTGATATATATTTTTAAGGAAACAGCATTCTTTACATATTGATATTTTTAGAAAATTATATGTTTAATTTTTACGTGTTTTAATGATTAAATGTAATTGAATAATCTAAAATTTGATTTATATGTATCGATGACATGGCACATTTTAAACTGGTTTCTTTGAAGTTTAAAAAAGATTAAAGTGTATAAAAGATTACGAACTACTTATATTTTTGAAAAGAAGTGCAAAGCCAAAGTTGTTTGACAAGTAGATACCTCATTTACTCATTTTGGAGATATTTTCATGTATTTAGTTAATCGATGCTTTTGGGAATTGCAGAGTGTGTTCCTATATAAGGACATTTAATTTTGAAAAATCTTAAAGCTTTAATCAAAAATGGTTTTAGACATATTGATACTAAATAGAAATAATGATAATAGGTAATGCTACATATGCTGACATTATATTAACACAGCTGGGTCATTTATTACACTTTACATGTTATCTTTGCTAAATAATTATGTGTAACAGTTTATCATTCAGAATAAAATTCTAATTTTAAACCAGAATTTTTTTTCATAACAATGTAACAAGATGAAAAAATTCAAGAAGTATCTTTTTTTTTTTTTTTACACTTTGCTAAAAATTTCGTTTTTTATAAACAACTTTTCTGTTTGATATCCATCAGAGAATGGTGAATATATTAAGTCTTGAAAATGTGTAAAAATAGATTAATTTTTCTCAATATTGCAGATTTATTGAAAACAAAGTATAGGTGTACATTTTTGACATAATTATGGTAATATTCGTAAATTTCATTTATTTTTCTTCATTTATCTGTATATGAAGTAGTTGTTGTTTTAATGGAACTATAGCGAATATATACAGCATAGTTCATTGATTCTCAAGGAAGTAATATAATGGTTTATGGTTAGTATTAATCATGGGAAGCAGATAATTAATAAGTTAACATATTCCACATCACTTGAAACTGAAGGATTATCATCAAATTGAATGTTGTTATAATTATGTATTTGTTGTTTAAAATAAATTTATAATTTAGTTCTTTCTTTTCTTTTCTTTTTTATTTTCCCTTGTACGTACAATGTAATTACTGGCATATAGAGGTAAGTTTAAATGAAAACATTGTATAATACTAAGGGTCATGACAAAGGGCTACTTATCTTAGAAGATTAAAAGTGTGTTATTGATACTTTAAATTTTATAACTAGATAGATATACACAATTACAAGAAAAATAATAAGTGTGTATACGTATAATTATCAGATTTTAAAAAAATCTTGCCAGTATTTTATCTCCTCGTTACATGTATATTTGATCTTTATGGGACATAATATTCCGGAATTATTAAAGCTTATCAAGAAAACTTTTATTGTTATTTTTTCTGTATTTCCGCTGTAAATATTTGTAATCTGGTGCCCCTTCTTCCAAGTTTCGATTTCTGACGCGTATCTATAACCGTCACGAAAATTATTATTTTTCAAACCTACATATATACAGTAATGCATCAATTAATTAGTTCAGTGTATTAAAAAATAAAGAGGGCGTGCAATATTCTGATCCTAATAACATGAACTGAAGCATAAATAAATAAACTGTGTTTAGAATTAAGTTGGTTCTCGTAAATGATTGCTCATCTAAACCTTGAGAGCAAGATCTAGAACTTCTTCTTATCACAGTGGCATTTCAGCGTCTTTCTTCTTTGAGTCGTGGTTTTCATAAAATGGCCTCAAAACCAAGAATAAATGTAGATGTGGTCAGCGATGTTATCTGACCCTGGTGTTGGGTTGGGAAGAGGAAAATGGAACTCGCCATGGACTCCTTGAAAGACAAGTTTGATTTCCATGTGCGATGGGAGCCATTCTTCCTCAAACCCAACACTCCACCAGAGGGAATTCCCAAACCAGCAGCCTACACTGACCCAAATAACCCAAGGTGAGTTTAAATTAACATGTGAAGAAAATAGCATTTATCTTTCTTTTTTCATGTATATAGCTAAAGTTTGTTAAGCCTAGTTCCATTTCGACTTTGTTTTAAAAAAAATTGAATTCCAGAGTTGCCTCTCTGATCCAAAGTGGAGCTGAGATTGGATTACAGTTTACCCATAAATGCCCTGTATTTCCAAACACACTGAAGGCACATGCATTGATGGAATATTCAAAAGAAATTGATAATGGTCAGAAACAAAATGACGTGGCGGAAAAACTATTCAAGGTACGATTTGAAAAAATACTAATATATTTTGAGTAAAAATGATCAGTTAAACTATTCAAGACATGTAATTTATTCAAAAGAAATATGAACATTTAAAACGAACGTAATAAAGTAAATTAAAGTATTTTATACAATTTAGCACAAGAAATACATACTGTTATACAATGTCATGTAAGTGATACTTTAGAAAATAAATGCATCCTTTTAACCGCAAATTAAGTTTAAATGTACATCATAACATTTACATAGTTTACACGTATTTATAATTTTCAGAAATATTTCACGGACGGAGAGAAACTATCTGACGAGACTTTACTTGAAGTAGTACAAGATGCTGGTTTAAGTAAAGATGGATTTTTAAGTTATGTCACTAATCCTGATAATCTGGAGAAAGTAGTCAGCAAGGCCGCCAGTTGGTCATCCAAAGGAATATCAGGTTACTACAATTTCTTTATAAAGCTTAAGAACAAGATCAATTGATTTAATTCAAATAAACATGTTATTTATAATCAGATTTTACGATATTTGTCGGACCAGTTCTGTTATTGAAGTTTTTATTTAATAATGTCACCAGTTCTATTAGTATTTTAATTTAAGTTCTGCATCTAGAGCTTTTACATATAAAACGAATTAAAATAAAAATATTTGTTCATCCTTCAAAATAAGCATTGTTACAAATGTCGTGTGTGAAATTATTAATTTAAGTTTTATTTCATTTATTTATTATATTTTCCTTTTACAAAGAATGATATCTTCTATAAAATCTTTTTTAAAATTATCGAATAATATGTATTGGAAAATTACACTAGTCGTTGTGTTTTAAAGAGAAAAAAAATACTTCATTTTTAAGATACCGAAATTAAAAAAAAATAAATAGATATTGACGATCTGCATTCTGAAAACTAACCATGTTGTCTATGGAATTATTTTTGAACAGGTGTGCCAACGTTTTACATGAACGGTCATAAGATGTTTTCAGGGGCCCAAGATCCTCACACTTTCAGCAGAATGTTTGAAATCGCAGCAACAAAATTCCCTCTTCAGTCTGAGAGCAAAAATTAAAGGACAAAGGCACTGAAATCAAGAACATTCGATATAAATAACACAGTGATTGCTTATATATATCTATGTTTTAATTTGATAAAGACAATATGAATGTATACATGATATAAAGAATCATGACAACTCTATCATAAACAGATCGAAAAAGGAATTTCAAAAATTTCTGTCTATCAACAAACACGTACACTGAAACAAAACTTCAGAACTGGATAAAAAATTATTCAAAATACTTTGTTAAAACATATTTATTACGTAACTCAGGAATGTTGATGAACAGTCAAATGTTTGTTGTGTACTTGTGAATAAATGAAGCTTTTTATGGAAAAAAGTCTCCCATAAAAATTGGATACAAATTTTGTCACAGACAACAAATATTTGACTATTCTGTTCGTTATTGATTATTTTTACTTGCCAGTTGCCTGATTTGTTGAATAACCTTGGATGTTTTGAGATAGTTATTGCTGATATGATATTTCTGGTTTTTCCTATTCTTTTTGTTAATTGTTTAATCGAACATTTTTAAGCCAAAAGGTTACCTTTGTAAACAGACTAATAATTGCTCGTATTATTCCTAACCATATTAATAGCAACATTTATTTTGGTTTTTATTAAAATACTATAATACAGTATGATGTATCTGTATACATAAAAATGAAAAGTATTTATTTTATTCGTATGTATATCAATGTCATATCATTCAACTTAATATGAATAAATATGCCATACACGGTGATACACCTACATGTACGTGTATAATTATATTATTAGTCTCTGTAAAGTGACATATTTATGTTTGAATCATGCACATGTAATATAGAGTTTGGCACTAGTAATTTAAAGTCTTTTCTATAACATATTTGGATTTCTACCAGTGTCCAAAATTCCAAATGGCATTTTTCTTATTTCACTCCCAGATTCCAACGAAACGGTTACATCTAGACGGCTTGGATTGTAAACTCCAATTGCAACTACGTCTTCCTCGGTAATGTTGACATCACTGAATGTTCCCAGAAGTCTATTTTGATTGACGTCAACAAGTTGAATGGTTCTTTTTAGCGCATTTATGCAGAGGCCATACGAGCATATCTGCGAAGTACCTGCTCGATCACTAGAGACCGGCTCGTGAACGAAGGTCGAATTACAATGGGCAAAAAGGCAAACTTTATAACAGTCTATACAGTGACATATCTGGAGAGACCAACCACTATTTCGAAAGAATGTACTTTCAGACATATCAATTTCTCGAAGATTGTTGATAGCAACCTCAACAATAAGATTTGAGGCCTTCATGTCTCTAAATATTCTGTATTCCACATGGAACTGAAAATAAGCAAAAATAGCTTTATTTAGTTTTAAAGTAAGGAGTGATCCAGTGTAATTTTTCAGATGCTTCCCAGCCAGGAGTTGTCTTTTTGTTTCCCACATCTCTTTGTTACTCAATATGCGGTGATCTTTGGACAAGCATCTATCTCTGTGCAAAGTAGTTACATCAAAGTAAATAGGAGGACCTGTAAAAAGAAAGAAAGTTGAATTGTTTCAATAGAAAACAATATAAGCAAGTCAGAAGCCATTCCTATCATGATGCATTCTTGACTATAGAGGGAACAACAAAGGACAGAGTCCATTTTATTGATATAAAGCAATAGAGATACAATGTATATCATGGACCTCGCTGTCCTGAGACTGTATTCATTTTGTTTACGCGTAATTGAATCATTGTAAAACATGTGATAATGCTTCATTGTCTGGAACGAGGAAGAAATATTTCATTATGCACCGCTGCTTCTTGTTGTAGATGGTAATTGAAAGTTAAGACCCAATTTATTATATTGTAAGCTCCCCACGGATGGCCTTTCATAAATGGGGTTAGGTGCCTACACAAGAAAAGATCCTCACAGCTCATAGACATGAGCGCCGAATATAAATCTAAATTTGCAGGTCTAAATTCAATTTAAGTGAAAATAAAGGGACTTTCATAACCAACCAAGAAGCAAACCATGTAATCTCTGATCCATTACTTATGCTATACCACTGACTAGTATTTTATTATTAATTTAAGGGTTTCCGTCGCAAATTAATGAATTTGCCAACAGGACAGGGATATAACATTGAGAGTTCCTCAATATACTTCTATCTTATCAATAACCTTGGTGATAAGTCTCTGAAAATCCAACACTTACGAAAGTTAACAACTCCGCCTCTGACAACTGGCAGCTCAATGGAGTGTTTGTGTTCAAAGGATTCCAAAAATACATCAGTTCTTGAACGTCTTAAGGGAGGTACAAGTCTGTCCTCTGGTACTCGTGGTGGTGGACGTAGACCAATAGCACTAAAGGGTCTGTTGCATCTGACGGTAATGTTGCTCACCTTCGTGGGTCCCGATGAAAGATTCAGCCATTCCAGTGGTGGAAGACATTTCTTTGGACTAAATGCTTCCCAGTCATTTACTTTGTGTTGTCCTGTAAATACTCAAATTGTAAAAATTAATTGATCAAGCTACACTTTTTTAAAATACAGTATGTAGAAAAATTCTTGTGATGGTATCCATTACATATATGTGTATAAAATACATATACATGTAATTATCTAAGTAAACACCTATGTGTCTGATGAGAATCTTTAGATTTTTCGTATATACACATTATGTACAACTGACATATTAGGCATGGTTAATCAAAAAGTTTATGAAATATGGAGATTACGCACAGTAATGAAGCACAAAATTCTTAAATTCATAGAAACAATACAAATTGAGAGAAAAGCAAACATGGACCTAAAAAAATTAGAGCATTTGCTCTATAGACACGGAGTAAGGAGTTGCTCCTTGCGTCGCAGTTTTGAATCTTGGGACGTGGTCTTAATAGGATGAGACTGTTTAAATAGAGTTAGTGCTCGCACATACATGTAATAGATCCCTTCACTGCTCAAAGCCTTAAGTGTACATTTATATATTTGCTGCCCTCCATCGGCAAGAAGTGACGTCTCAATATTAATTAAAATTATCGAAAAGGGAATTTAAACACAAATTGAACAAACTAAAAATATCAGACGGGATAAGGTGCCATTGGGAAGTAAGCATCCCCTGTCGATTGGCATAACCCTCCGTTTGCTAAATGTGTAAATAATGGCAGACTGACATTTTTCATAAAAAACGTTAGTCAGCATTCGACTTATTGATAGATTGTAAGTGCTATCGACCGTAGAATTTGCAAAATGTTGACCTTAATCGAGACATTAATCATGATATTCTTGCTTTATCCACTCATTTTTTCAATTATTTGTCTTTGAAAAGTTGTACGGGCTCGAGCAGCAGCTTAATTTCTCGTGTGTATCGTATCAATTGGAATGTTATCAAATGACTATATCTAATGATACATGTTTATAGAAAGAAAACGTTGCAAGAAAATTTACCTCGAATGTTGGGCAAAGATTTAAGCTGCATATATTTTCCTTGCTGATTTTCCTTGGCAACATTTAAGCCTGTATCCACAATGTGGCTCTCTCTCTCGAGTTTTATGAAATCTGTCTGTTGCTTTGTCACTTGTACCTGGTTTGTTTGTTTGCTTGATTTTTGTCCAGAAGAGTTTTCTGTCAATGCAGCCTTTGGTCTGCATTCAACAATACTCGGCTCTGAAAGGGAGATAATTTTTATAATTCATATCAAATCATCAATTTTTTGCATCCCTTCTTTTAACAGTTGCTTTTTTGTCATTTCTCAGGAGGTAATGCACTACGCGTAGACAATGCAGTTGATGAATGTATAATAAGATTTTTTTCCTTATACAAATACAAAAATAGCGTAAAAATCTATTTTACATATCAATTTTTTCTCTATCTCCCTATAGTACGTGATTTCTTTAGATATAATTCAAGTAAGAACTCTAACATGTACCTGCTTCTTTAACCTGGATTGCTTTCGATTTTGTATCTTTAACATTGTCTGTTTCCTTCTGAGGTTTTAGCTGTGCAACTTGGTCTGTGTTCTCGCAAATGAAAATTTCTGAGGCAACGTTTACGTCATGATTTTGTACCAAAACTCTACAAGTGTATTTTCCTTGAATATCAGGTTTCCATTTCAAAGAATACTTTGCATCCGACCATGTTGCTGTGAATTTTACACCCTTTTCTTCACTCGAATTTATATATAATGAAATGCCATTAATTTGACTTGAGAAAGGCGTTCCAGTGTCGTCTTTTAGATGGATAAATATTTCAATGGTTTGGTGCACAACTGCTTTTTCCGGGAGTTCAATGAATGAATGCTCTGAGGAAACAGACAAATCTTTTACGTTTCCGAGAGTTTTTACAAATGCCTTTACTGAAGTTGTAAATGTGTCAACATCATACTCAAAGTGGGAAAAGTCATCAGGTTTGCATGTCAATGTTTTCTCATTCAAGGAACGCATTCTTTTGATGATCACTGGGAAGATTTCGATCAGAAAACTAGGATCTCCCAACATTTTGAACGTATTCAAAAATTCCTTTAAATGCATACAGGAATTTTGAAATTGCTCACACTCGTCAATACCTTTCTGAAAATCAGTTTTCTTTAATTCAACTGATTCTCTTAAGTTGGCTTTGATAACTTCACGCCTGCCTTGCATTAACTTAATGCATATATTAAATGAATCATCTATCTCCTTGTACAGTCTCGATTCCAAATTGGATAGTCTATCTTCCTCCTCTTGACAAAGCTTTCTATTTTCTTGATACTGTTTGACATTCTTCTGTAATATTTCTAATTGCTCTGCCAGTTTGCTTTGAACCATATTAATATGCTCTTGCAGGCTGATAAAAGCATGGGTCTGGTGTTCAGCGAGACAACACTCAGCACATATAGGCTTTGAACAGTTCTGATTTGTGCAATAAAATTTCTGCTCTTGATGCAGATGATTTGGAACTTGACATTTTGAAATTCCCGCATGCGCAATGTTTTTAAGAACTGACCAGTCACCCTTGAGATTTTCAATGGCAAATACTGTGTGATTTTGGAAGTCACTCCAAATCTTATGAGCTTTGTCGCATTCCCCACAAAGAAAGAAAGAACACTGCTGACAAAATATTACTACAGATTCATTGTTGCGTTTACAATTTCCACATAGAATTTGGTCACGCTCTGAGAAGACTTCAACAAACTTTTGGTAAACTTCCCATCGTTTGTCTACTTGCAAATCGGTAATGGCCCTCCCTCGAAAATCATTGGATTCATTACAATTTGGACAACAAAATGAATTATTTGATAATTTCTTCTGTAGGCAATTTAAACAAAATGAGTGTAGACAGTCCAGCAATCGAGGACTGTGTTCGTTTTCATCAAAAGTATTCTGACATAACGAACACTTAAGAAATTCTTTCAATTTCTCAGTATTTAACTTGTTTAAAGACGTCGCCATTGGTGGTCTGCAAGATTTCTCCTAAATTTCAGGGGAAAAAGGATTATTCTAAAAGAGAAATTTTAAGATGTAAGGTACCATGAATATTCTTAAATTTATACATTTCATTTAAACAGTAAAATTTTTTAAATATAACGTTATACATGTATGTATACAAAAAAGGAAATATTTCATTACCGTATAGCGAAATTTCAGACCATTCTCATTAGAGGTCCTAAGCTTTTGAAGGTATATGAATTAACTTTCACCGGATGATTGGTTTTGAAAAATTATCGATTAAATGAAAAACAAAAAGCCTATTTAAACGATCTTATGCTTTGTCAAAATATGCGTATACCATATATCGTTTGACATTTAGAGGAGACATTTAAAAGAAAGTGAATTAATTTTAAAGCATATATTCTTCTCAAAAGAAGAAGATTTCGGCATTCCAAAATTTTTGAATATTTAAAAAATAAAATAAATGCAAAACGTGATGTGCCATACAATTGTACTTCAAAATTTTTCAATATTTATTTGAAAAAAGTTTTCCTCATACATACGGTAGACATTGTTTCTTTGACGCATTTAAGAGTGAAATGGATGATCCGTTTCCATGTCTCTTGCTTCATATTTAGTTCAATTAAGGCGTTCATTTTTATGATATTCAACGCGTCCATGCTCTCACCGAAAAGATCGTTTTAAAAAAAATTGTATTAACTATTCCCATAATTTTTGATTTTTTGAATAATAAATGAAATAAATTATTTCAATTTGTGTAAAACGTTTTTGGAGACAAAAGAAAAAATTTGAACGCATTAGATTTTATCTATTAATGCATCTATATTTCCGTATACATTCATGTACGAGAGTTGTCCCAAAATTCCGTTGACAAGCGTTGTTTTTTTGGAACCCTATGCCATACATTATTGAAACTCCGTATATAGAAAACAATATCTGATAAATTTGTGTTTAACTACACAAATCATTCCATTTAAAAGACACATTTCATTGTCTGGTGTAGGAAGGCAATGTTGCAATTAAAATTTGGTATATTATGTTTAAAATCATACGGAAAAGTAATTACTATCCTGTATTTTTTGAATGGAAATGAAAATTCTTAAGACCATTTTATTCACTGTATTTCCTCAAATTTTGGTGTTTATGCTTTGATAAATATGAATTTTATAACGTTTTATATACATGGAGTTGAAATCCGAGTTTTTGAAAAATGGCGGCCTAGTTGGCACAGGCTGGATGATCGTGTTTTGATCATTTTTATGTATATATAAATGTTTGGTAGACTAGGAAACATTTTCTCGTCCTTAGTATTTAAAATGACTAAAACGGTTTCTCGTTTAAAAGATCGTTTTTTAAAAAAAATTGTATTTACTATTCCCATAATTTTTGAAAGAAAATTTTTTGAATAAATAATTTGTAAAAAATTTGAATTGACATTTGTATTTTTTGATAATGTCCGGCTGTTAGATATCACTTTAATTTTTATTTCTCGAAAAGTTTTCAAGTAAACATGATAAAACTACTTTATATGTTTAATGAAATTTTATAATTATTTTCAATTTTTGTAAAAATATATAATTTTTGTCTATATACATATCTATGAAAAATTATTGTAAGCGTTAAAGGGAAATCTTGTATTAATATAATTATATACTAGATTTTATCTGCAATAAATGCAATGTAATATATTTCCAGTTTGTCTCTATATAATACATTCATGTATATAATTTTGTTATTTTCTGAATAAAATTTTTCTATGCACTTACTCTATATATACATCGATTACGCCACAGAGACGATCACCGATTAAGGGAATAAATATATAAACTTAATTTATACAATTGACACAAGAAGGAGAAAATAGACAAATATTATTTGAAAACAGTTATTTCTTCTTAGATGTGTACACAATTTCAAATATCATTGTAAACATTCAAAAACGGAAAATCAATTCCAAGTCTGTAAACAAATCAGGCTTACTAAAAAAACAGAAAATAAAGATGAGTATCTTTGGGACTTTGGAATATATATAACTAAGCATGCAACTAATTTTAGCATGAAGTATATACTTCAAAATCAATTTTTGCGGTGTTAATACAATATGTGCAATAACACCTACATCAATGTTATTCACATTAACGTCGTTAAGTAGTGGTTGGTGGGACCTAATGACATCCACTTATTTATAATGATTAATATTTTGTGTCAATGATCCCAGGATTATTAATTTTAGATTCTTCTAGAACATTTTGTGATGCAGAAATGCGTACAAGGATGATCCAATATGATACTTCACTTTGGTATTTGTTTACTAGGACGACTGACAAATGTAATTTCTTTCATAACGTGCATGGGTAACCAGCGGTTAGAGATAATTAGGTAATCTGGAACAACACCGTATTACAGGACAAATGAGACTTTTTCATGTCAATGATCATAAAACAAAATTTCGCTATTCGAATCTACAGCTGTTTTCTACACATTTTTTTTTTTCGCATAGCAATTTTTTTTAAAAATGTGCATTCAAAGTCAAGTTGCTGCACGTGCTTGTACAAAAAATAGACACGTGCGTACATTGTGCGAAAGCGCTGATTGTAACCAGATGTTGAATTACAAGAGTATCAATATTCTCGATTGAATTCTTGAAAAAAAAACTCAGTCTTCATTTTTATAGGGTAAATTATGGTATATTCAGATGATGATTTTTTATATCCATATATTTGATCTCATTTTATATTAATTTAATAAACTGAATTTTCAGAGTCAAAGATATGTGATTATTGTATAATGTTAATGAGCTGATTTTTCTCTTCCCTCCGATTTTTCTATCTGTCAGAAAAAATATTAACTGTCTATTTGTTAATTATTGGCTCTTAATTTGAATGTTCGATACGGAATAATCGACTCTGATAGATTACAGGTTAACATACATGCATCTACACGGTATATGTTCTGGGTAATTAAGATAATTGTATCATCGTTAGGAATGTACGGTGTAGGTTTCATTGATCAGTGTATAATATTGTACGTTGGCTTACAAGTGTGTCTGGTAAATCGTATTGTCTTGACGTATAGCAGGAATCACTATTCAGGAATGACTGCAAACCCGGTATTACACACGCTGTAAATTCTGGCACATGATCACTCTACATTAACTGTGCTTTACGTCACCTAAGAGCCGAATTTGGATAATAAGTCATCGCAAATCCAGTGACGTACAGCGCAAATACACATACAGATGAAGATAACACATGTTAAAGCTAGGAAGATACGAAAAAATAGAATACTGCGAAATGATCTAAAACCTACACGAGTGTGAAATCCGCCATCTTGGGAAGTATAAATTACATAGAAATCTCTCCGTGGAAGTTAATAGAAATCGTTTAAATAGTTTCTTCATTATTGTATCGTCGCCGCTAAAAATGACAAATATTGAGGATAAAAAGGAAACGTTAGAGTCAAAAGAAGAAGTGATTTGTCCAGTCTGCTCCAATTTTGAACCACAAGCATGGCGGAAGAACATGTGTAGAAACTGTTTTCATTCTCTAGATGAACACGGGGCCAATACTGAAGAAAATTTGGACAACAAAACGATGAAGGACAAGAAGCTGGAGAATGACAAGGTTAATGATATGCAGAAAAAGAAATCCGAGACCGACACGTCGAAAAAGAAAGGTGAGCCTCCGAAAACATTAGCCAAATCCAAAAATCCTAATTTATCTGTTGACATTTCCAAGAAAGATACTAATGGTAATCTTAATAAAAGTCCAAGCAGTCCCTTAAAGAAAACTGGATCTCCCTTTATTAAGTCGCCCGAGGTGAAGGATTTCAAATCTAAGTCCCCTCTATCACCTACGAAGTTGACAGAAGATTTAACATCGAAAGAAAAGGTTTCATCTCCAACATCTCAGAAAAATATTTCCCTAAACAAGTTTGAGACCAAGAGAACTGAAAGTTCTAAGGCTAATGAGAAACAGGTAACCTCAGCGCCGAGCGCATTATCGAAATGGAAGCAAAATGAAAATAGATCAGTATCGAAAGATAAAGGGCCATCTGGAGAAGAAAACAAACAAATTGGTAAACAACAACTATCAAAGGTTGATGATAATAAGAATAAAATAGATGAAAAAGCCAGTAAATTTCAAAGCAAAACTATCAGTGCAAAAGATAAGAAAGAACAGGATCTAAAGACACCAAGCGCGTCATTGTTAACGAACAAAGACAACACGCCTAAATCAAAGACAGATGAGTCGAGCAAGGTTCGACAATTCGCCAAAACATTCGGATCGGACTTGGAAGAAAGCCGATTCAATAGCTTGGAGCGCCAGAAGAAGGAGAAATCAGCTACTACATTGCCTGTTAATGATCAATGCAAATCGGGTATAAAAAATCAGTCAACTCCCGAAGCAGTGCAGAAGGGAACGATCTCGACAGAAGGTAAAGAGAGTAAGCCGTCTGCTCTTTACGAGAAGATCAATAAGTTCACTCATTCTGGACTAAAGCAGGTTGATAAAAATGATAAACCCTTCGGATCTTTGGATAGGAGGCGATACTCCGAGGAGAAATCACGTGACAGTGAAACTTCTGCGGAAGCCGGACAGAGGGTTGACGCTGAACTCGAAACAGTGAAAAAGCAGTTAAGTGTAATGGAAATAAAATGTAAGGCTTTAGAACAAGAGAATAATCAACTGAGGACTGGACTGAAGGAAAAAGAAACTGTTGAAAGTAGTCTAAAATCACAAAAATCCGAGGTCGAAAATGCTATTAAAGGTTTGCGCGATACTTTGAAGGTCATGGAGGAAAAATGTAACAAGTTTGAAGGAGACAACACCACTTTAATGGAGAAATTGAAAGCGCAACAAATACAGCAGAAAGAAGCAATGAAAAATGCTACAAAAGCTGAAATGGAAGATATGGAGGTCCAATTATCGGCAAGTGAAAATGACGTGGAAAATCTTAAGACCGAAAACGAAGAACTTAAAAATGAAATACAGGATCTTAAGGTAGAAATGGATGAGATGTATGACAGTTTCCGAGACCAAGAGGCCGAGGAGTTCCGAGACCTTCAGCGAGAACTTGAAATGACGGCCAAAAATTGTCGTGTTTTACAGTTTAAACTACGTAAAGCTGAAAGACGAAGTGAACAGATTGAAATAGACCGCCAGTCATATGAGGAAAAACTTCATTTGTTGCAAAATCAATTTGAAGATGCAGATGCACGTGCACACATTAGGAGCATAGAAGATGAGTTACGAATGGCCAAAGAAGTTTCTGTTCGACTTCATGACGAGCTTGACATTTTAGACGACAAAAGATCAAAAGTAGAAGATGACAACAACCACCTAACCCGACTTCTGGAACAGTCGGACAAGAAACAATTCCGTTTAGAAATGGAGGTTGACAAACTTCGTGACCAGGTATATGATGCATGTTTAACTATAATTTCACACTTAAAATAGCAAAGCATTATCTTTCAAGTTACACATTATAATTGCTCATTAATTTGCTGTATTTGCGGTATACAGGGTTATTCTGAATAGCTTAATAACGATAGAGTTCATAAAGAATAGGTGAATAAAATTATATTCCTGTTTTATTATTACAACCTTGCCAAAACACAGCAAGTCATTGACGTTTTGATGCTCAAACCAAATACCTTTTTGACTACATGCCCAGTAAAAGTGCGTGTTTATTAAGAAAAGTAACGCCTAATGCCAGACTAACGCAAACATACTGCAGATCTCATCCCCCCATCTCGAAAAATAATAAACCTTAAAGTATTAGTTGATCTTATAACAGAGAACCATGCATACAAAATCCACTGTACAGTAAACATTATAAACCATATCTGATCATTCAATGTCTTTTGGGATCAAAGATTTATATAAATTCTTCCCTGCTAGATAGGAAAAAAAAGCCATTTTAACTCATTCGGTCATAAAGATCAATACCCATTATGAAAACCAGTATCCTATTACTTGTATAGAAGAGTAAATAAACTTTTAGCCTGTAACACAATATAGATGTATATTGCACGAAGGAGGGGGGTTCACCCCCTCAAGATACAACTGGGACTAATCTTCATCAATCTTTTGATTCTCTGGCGAGGACAAGCATGAATATACAGATCATTGCAAACGTTAACAGAGCTCACATAATCTAGATATAAAATTGTAAACATTCTGAATCAATTCTCATTTATATAAGTGGTACAATCGATCTTATGTTAATTTACTAGCATTTGACTTATAAATGGATGTGCACAAATGTATACAGATTTTTCGGCATATCCTTAGGTATTTATTCCTCGTAGACAATTGCTTTTAATGCCATGAAAAGTCAAAATTAACTTTTTAATCACACTTGAATATCGTGAATGATTTTGCGATGCTCTTCTAACAAAACGTTAGTTTGAAAGAGCTTTTAACGCGTCTAAAAATACTGGAATGAAGCGCAGTGCATGCACATTGATAATCAAGATGTTCTTAAGAATATAAAAATCATAATGTAACATTCAATTTATATTCTTATTAGATGGCAGATTTGCGAAGACAACTTGCAGAAAAGTCCCAGGCTGGAACCCCATCAACGGAGGAGGCGAGTGATCGCAAGGTAATTATCATAACTGTGTTAATTAGACACACAGTAGAACAGATGTTTCACTGCTTGATCGACTCATGTAGATAATGCACATATAGTTCACTCCAATCAAATCACAATCGTTGCCCAAGATTAACGTACAAGCAACAATGATTTGGGGGTCTATCCATTTAAAGTGGGGGAACCCATTTAAAGTTTTCACGTTTTTTAAATTTCAAAAACTTGAAAGCAGACTTCATATCAGTTCAAATGGTTAAAGAACTGAACGGAATTGATAACTGTAATGTAAAATTTGTAGATCAAAAAATATGTCTACAAGTACCCCCCTCTCCAATAAATTCTAAAATAGCCTAATAATTAAAGGGAGGCGGGGATCTTTACTCTTTAATGATTTAATCTGCTTTAAAAACATACATAAGTCATGTGATTTACATGTTTTATCCGGTTTTGTGTAGAACATTCAAATATATGTATGAAATACATTTTTAGTAAAAAAAAAGGCATTCCTTTCATTCAAACTGTTAACATGGCTAAGGACATATTTTTATTTACTAGTATACTTTTTTGAAGACTTGGGTTTGTATTTACCCTACTTTTTTTTATTCCTCCTTAATTAAAGAGCAAGGGTCTCAAAGCACTACAACTTTTAGTAAGGGGGGGGGGGGGGGTTAGGTGGCGATGTCAAATTTTTTTTAAACATTTAATCGAGGATATAATAATAGAATTATTATCTGTATATATACGTGTTTATCAATTTTCAGTCAATTTATACAGTTTACATTGACGAGTGAGAACTTAAGAATGGAGTAGAATGGGGAGTTCAGGATAAGGATAGAGGAATTCCGCAAATCATTCCATTGTCTTGCATCCAGTCAGTGCACGCCAGGAAGGTAGAGCCAAGAGAGGATCCGAAAGTGCTAATCGTTCCGAACAACGATCTTGAAAGAACATTTTTTCTAAGACATTGTTAAACACATGTAAATCAGTGCTTTTTTTTCTTTTTTCACATCGAAATGTTTCCATAAATTTTTATGAGTTTTCTTTCAAAAGAAATTTTTCCACACTGATTTTTTCTTTAAAGCATGGCACCATTTTATCAGTTTTACGTGTGATTTTCAGCAGCTTTCGCGATATTTTGCAAAATTGGAAAAACAAGCTTTTACTTAATGCCTATTTATTAAAGCTGTTGTTTAATAAACTTGGTTTCTTCCATTTGCTTTCGTTATTGTCTTTATTAGATAACCTTGAAAGTAAGTCAAATGTGGATGCTCGGAACGATTTGCATGTTTCGGGTTCAAAGGGCCTCTTCCTGAGACACAATGTAGTAGGATGATAGTAGAAGCATGCTTCTCACATAACGCTGTTTTGAATTGCATGTGATCGTGCTGGGCAACTTCGTACATTTAGCATCAGTATAATTTATGTAGATACAAGCAAAGCTTGCGTGTGTTTGTTATTTGTGTAATCATTACAGTTACTGTTGTTTTGAAAAATTCCACTTGGTTAATTAATAAAGATGTTGCGTTTGTTTTAATAGCGATTTTTTGATCCATAGAGCTAGCCTCTGTAAGGAAAAGATCACTGCAGGTTAATACTTTCTTCGGAGATCTCATACCCAGGATTAGAATTTTTCAAAACTAGGTCACAAACGGGATAAACCCTACGTTCCAGGTCAAATGTCAAATATATGTTTATGTCAATATGGAAGCTGTAACACCGTATATTCAGAAGTTATGGCCAACGTTCAAAATTTGTATTTTTTAAAGGGGGTCAAACCCGAAGTTCAGGCGGACAAATGTATTGGTACCAAAAGAGAGGCCTTTTCACAAAGTATAAACATTGACATATGAAAACCCTATAGCTCCAACCTACAAGAATGGGGGTGTTGCTAAAACGCGGAACGGAAAACGGAACGGAAAGCGGAACGGAACGGAAAACGGAATATATAAGTTTAGATTAAATCACTTAAAATACACAAAATTTGTCATAAACAATATATTTTAAGCACATTCAATCCCGTATTATCAAAAATAAGTTGATATATTCATGTTCACCTTTCTTTATTGACAAACAGGTTGATAAAAAAAAAAATCAGCAGTCTCGAGTATCATTTCTAAGGTCGATATAATGACCATGTCAGCAAATACAACTTATCATTGAGTCAAATGCTGACTGACGTTTTTCATATTAATCTTAGTTCATTTTTTATACATCGCTGATTTGACGGATTTCCCCGTTATTTCCCGATTATGACAAGGAGCACGCGGCGGGTGTGACCGATCGGCAGGGGATGCTCACTCCTCCATGGCATCTGATCCCACCTCTTATGTTCTGGAGGTCCGTGTTTGCTCTGCTCCTATTTTTGTATTGTTTTATGGACTCTTGATTATTTCCATATCATTCATGAAAATTGCAAAGGTAACAGTGACATAGAATTGTATTTGAAAGATAAGTTTATGTAGGGGGGGGGGGGGTTAAACTTATCTGAAGAGATATTACAAGCGAAAACAAAAACACAAATACATAATTCAGGAGGGGGAATCAGTTCCCACTCCAATGCATGGCTTTTTGTACATTTACTTACTACTTTAATTAAGAAATTGTGGAGGTTTCAATAAACATTTCTTTAGTAAAAAAAAAAAAATCCTCTTTGTGCCTAGAAGGGGGGGGGGGATGCAAATATTTGATATATAGACAAACCATTTTAAAGAGAAAGAATGTGTTTTTAAAAATTCCTAAGATTACGATTAGAGCAGACCTTTCCGGTAAGCTCGGATAAACACCTCTAACACGTAAAGTTCATTTGTTGTTGAACTTTTCTGTTTAAAAAATGTAGCATCTTCACATTTAATGAAGATATATAGTTTGTATGTGCACATGCATGTGTAAGGGGGGATGGCAGGGTGGATATGAATGCTGAAACATTTGAGTTTATTTTTCCTTTTTTTTTTTTGGAAAGTTTGAAAAATTACAAAAGGTCCGCCCTTCCCCTTTTGACATTAGCTCCAAACCTTTTACATGAAATTGAAATGTTCATTGCATTTCATAGTAAATTTGTGTTAAAAAAGAAGTGAAAGATCCTGGACTAAGAACATACCCCACCCCCTTCTTCGAACAAAAATTGTCTGTCTTTTTCGCCTGTCAAACTCTTTTCAAGCATAGACCTAAAAAACTTTAGGTCTGTGTTTCAAGTAAGTTTACCCCCCTCCCCACTTTCAAATTTGATTATATTCTAGTCACTGCTATGTCAGCGATTTTCGTGAATAAAAGACTGAACATGACTTAACAACCTGTTTTTAATAATAGGGGATTTAATATGAATAAAATATATCGTTTATGATAAAAATTGTGTATTTTAAGTGATTGAATATTAAATAATATATTCCGTTTTCCGTTCCGTTCCGCTTTCCGTTCCGTTTTCCGTTCCGCGTTTTAGCAACACCCCAAGAATGGGCAAGATGAAAGTTATTGCTGACAAACAGACAGACAGGCAGACAGGATAAACACTATATACCCCCGAATCTTCGATTATGGGGTTATAAAACAATTTTTATTTTACGATATAGGTCATATACACTTGACCTTTGAGATAGCAGGGAAAATTGTTCACAACTTAGTAAACGCTCACTTTCTTTACAGAGATAGACAAACAGACTAATCGTAGAATCGTCCTGTTTACAACTATTCGAACAATTAATAGATATAACAAGATGTGTTTTTGAAACACTTTGCCCGCGATGGTAACACAATTTCTGGAGTGGGTCTTAGACTGAAGTGGTATACACTCACTTACCCTTGACAGCGCAATAGGTATGGGCTATGTTAAAGTTGACAACAGACAGACAGGCAAACAGACAGGACAAAAACAATATACCTCTGGGAACTTTCGATCCGGGGGCATAAAAATTGTCGGACACATGCTATATGTAATTAAATCGAGAGGGGGGTGGGGTACGTGGTGGTAAGAAAATAAATGTACAGTAGTTTCATGTACATCCTGATGGCAGACAATTGTTTACGTTTGCAAACAAGCTCATGTATATACAACCTCCAGTTTCTGTATTGTTCCGATATCGCCCACTGTTTACTCACATAATTTGCAAACAAAAAGATCCAAAACATATGTGCTGTTGTATCTGATAAACTACACACACGAAGGTTAATTCTTCATTACCATAGCGGTGTACTAAATATAGGAGTTACACGTGGTTGTCCTGGAAACCAAGAGTAATGCCAAGATGTAAACAATTTCTGCTGTTTTAATCAACAAGAATCGCGACTTGTAGACTTGGTGAAATGTTTGGTCAGTGCTTATAGACAGATAGGTCTGGAATGCAGATGAACTTCAGAGATTGGATTAGCAAAGCCTTATTGTTCAGGCTCCATTCATATTTTTTATGTAAGCTGCGACACCCCCCCCCCCCCGTGTATTCTCTGTACAATTTGATTGTTATCTATGTGTATTTGATATTCTAGTATTTACCTTAATATTTCATCTTTGAAACTGTTATAAACATCAGAATCTGAATAATATACCGTAAAACTGGACCGGAAGAAGGTTTTACACAAGGATCATGTAATGATGCTGTAATATTACACAGTTTCTCCAAGTAAAAAGAAATTTCAATATTTGTATTCATAATTTGATTTTCTCACACATATTCTGATCTTAAGCAACCCCTCTTTATTTATTCTTCAACTTTTATGTCATTGCATTCAACCCTGCGTGATTTTGAAGAACTTAGTAATGAAGACCACATGCTGTTTCGTATATACGTAGGAGGGTACTTGTAAGAAAAACATATTTTATTAGAAGTGAAATAAAATCTCATGAATGAAAAAAAAGAATAAGCCTACCAGAGGGTTATTCAGCGAGATAGGTTGCGATCAAAAGTAAACAATCAAGTACAAGCATGCGGAGTACTTTTTTTTTTGCGTTTTACTTTATTTACGCCATGTTAAAAACACTTGTCTATCAACTAGTCAATAAAATTGAGATACTTGTGTTAACCTCAAATGGTACACACATCCTCATTCAGAACCTTTTACCAGTGTCATTTCACTGATTATACTTTGTTCTTTTAGTTTTATCTAAACAATAAAAAATATATACGTAAAGAGCACTCAAATGGCAAACCGTTTTGTCGCGAATTTCATGAAATTAGGGAAATGGGAAGAAATGTCCATGTTCATTTTATTTGTGGACTATTTTCATAGGTTTTACAATATTAATGCTCATAGATGTATATTCTACATTCTTACGTATCGTAAAAGGAAACAAAGGATATCGGTTATGCTTTTTTAAAAACATTTAACACAAACATAGGAAAGAATTCTACTTATTTTATTTTGAATTTTTAAGTATTACTTGTACTTTAAAAAAATCACTTGGCCATGGTATTTTGAAATACCTGTAGAAATTGTAAATAATTACACTAGCATTCTTATCTCATAAAAAGTTGGTTTTATTTTATCAGAATTACATAAATTACATTATCTATAATAAACTATTTCATTCAACCTTTGATAAGGATATTAACGCAGCTCCCAATTTAATGCAATGTGAGCATAATAAAAACATGCGATTGTTTCATCATATTTCACAAGGATATTCTTACAAAATATTATACCAAAAGCAAATAAGTGATAATCCACATATTTCAGTTATGATATTCTGTGTAGATATGCACACATTCTGATAAATAGTAATAGATTTATCTAAAATAACATAAAATACCGGTATTTCTGATTAAGCACTGCGGCCACGAATCAGTAAACCCTAAGGCTGGAATATCCTATCGAAAACCAGGCATCATTGTTTTCAATGTAAATCTACTTTTATTTTAATTTTGAAACATGCTCTTCTTGAATATTTCTAGTGGGATTCTACCCATTTACAATGCACCACTGTAATAATTATTCGCTAGGCCAGTTGCATCATCAGGTATTCCTTTCATTTTCACAAACAAATATGTGTTTTAGCTTTATGCAAAGAGAGATAACTCGGAAAAGTTTCGCAGTCGATATGTACACGTAAAGGTTCAAAGCGTAATCAGTTGGTAAGTAATGCAGGTACGCATCCCTTAAATATATAAACCATATTTAGAAAACTATTGAAGTAAAAAAATAATCACTCAAATAAACAAAATAATGTGTGTGTAATTGAAATTAATTTGGCATGGGGTTTTTCATGAAACACACACATACGAATGTAATTGATATTGTTTACCCCGTTCCTGGAACTTCTGGATCCACCTGCCTGGAATATTAATCTAGTTGAATTTTAGACGAATCAGTAAATGATTGTCTGAGTCCTCTATATACGTTTTTCAATATTTCTATGTAGGAATCCACGCATATGCAACTATGCATATCCATTTACCCTGCATTGGGTATCTTGATTTCTATCACAGGGGCTTGCTCCCGGCCTTTAGTTATTTTTTTTTTAATCATATATGGTAATAATCCTTTAATAATTATTTTATATAAAAAATTATAAACGGTAGTAATAAAACAGGCTACCGTATTATATTTTTGAAAAATAATTTTTACAGGCCGGGAGCAAGCCCCCATGATTCTATAAAATATTTTAGGTCAACTAGTGTAAATATAGGAGACACGAGACACATTATACAATTCTAAATAAAATTTGAAATATTGTTTATCATGTAAACTTTCAAACAGTTACTATCACTCGTAAATAAGGATAGAAGTCGAGACAGTGTTTCATCTTCGACAATATCTGAAAGAGTTACCTCTCATGCATTATTAAAGACCACTTCGTGAATGCTAAATTATGTTTTGAGAATTGAAAATAAAGAGAACAAAATACATATCATCTTAATATCTATTGCAATTAAGTAAATTAAATTCAAATGATGAGATAATAATTATTCTTTTTTTTGAAAATAGAACACGATAGATAAATTTGCTAATAGATATGTTGAAAAAAAAACCCAGACTGTACAAGCACATTCCTAAATCCTTTGTACATTTGTATGTCACGCCAAATTCACAAAAATGAGTTTAACATAGTTTCACAGTTGATAAGCTAGGTTTATCGACTGTAAATATAGTTTACAAACCGTGAACTATAGTTAACAATTCGTTAACTATAGTTTTCATCTGTAGAACTACATTTATAGATTGTTAACTATAATTTACGAATGCTAATCTATGTGTCTGTAATAAAACGTTCACTATAAGTTTTGTTGATATACATAGATTCACGTCTGTAAACTATAATTTACAATCGTGAACTATAGTTAAGAGATGTTAATCACAGTTTCACAAATCGTGACACTATATTTGTCAGATCGTAAACTATAGTTAAGAGTTGTAAACCACAGTTTACAAATCGTGAAACTGTATTTATTACGACAGATAATCTATGTTTTGCAATCGCAAATTATTGTTTTCAGTGTTAAGTATAGTTTACGGTTCTGAAACATAGATTATCGTTTTAACTATGGTTTACAGATGTAAAATATAGATTAACGTTGTTAACTATAATATACAGTCCGTAAACTATAGTTTACAACCGATAAAGCTAGTTTATCGACTGTGAAACTATGTTTAGTTCATTTTTGTGAATTTGGCGTGCATACATTTGTACAACTTTAATTTTAACCTGTATAAAAAATATGTCATTAAAAATAAATACCTCACTTAATTTCTTCACCTTTCCTTTTTAATTCATAGATCCTTCTTGGAAGAATAGGAAAACAGGGAAGCCAGGAACAGGAAGTCTCCCAACTAATGAAGGATTTATACGACAGCATGGAACGGGAGACGGATCTCAAAGACCAGCTAAAGTTCGCCGAGGAGGAAACCAAGTCCATGCGAATGAAACTCGAAGAACTGGAAGAGGAAAACGACACGCTAAGTCAGCAGTTGAAGAAAATGTCGTCTGCTCAAGTCACAAGGCGGGAAGAGCCAAAGATGGGGACAGTTACAGAAACGGAAGTGGAATTAAAGGTTCAGTTGGACTTGAACGAACAAGATTTGCTCTTATCAAAAAAGAAAATTCAGGACTATGGAAACGAAAACGAAAAATTAAAGGAAGAAATAGCAAACTTGAAAAAAGTCGTTGAGGAAAAGGATCATTTACTACATGTAATGCCAGAGCCATCTTCACCAAATGCATATTATGAAGACAAGCTCAAAGAGATGAGTCTAGAAGTAGACGACTTAAGATGGCGGATTATAGAAAAAGAGCGGGAAAATAACTGTTTATATGTACAGTTAAGTAATTATCAAACAAAGAAATCAACAAAATTGAGAAAAAGTAACTCATTTGACAGTGAGTATTCTCAGGTTGTTGACCTTAAGAAGCACGTGGAATTCTTAACTCAAGAGAATGCCGACCTCAAAGACAAAGTAAGCGACCTAGAGGAGCAACAGAGTGAACGATTACGTAAAAATAAAAGTCCTATACGAATCGAAAGTCAGGTTTTTGAGAGCAGCAGGCAATCGCCTACAAAGAACAATGTTGAAATGATTGGGAAAACATCTCTAAGTGATCCTAATGTAATGTTTACAAACTCGAAAGATGGAAATTATTTGCCATCTCCTTCGGATCAAACAAGTACACCAAGTATAATTACAGACACTGCTATGCAAGATTCCAACGTTTTAGAAATCTCTACCAGCGAGATGGCAAAACAAAATGAACATGCAGAAAGTTTGAAAAAACAATTGAAAGCTGTTGAATTAGAAAACCAAAATCTGCAATTGAAAATGTCAGAGCTAATGAAGGAAATTGAAATTCTGCAGAAGAAGAATTTCGGTGGCACTGAAGAAAATGCATCAAGCAAGCAAAATGCAAAGGTTTCTGAAGGAGAGAGTCGTGAGGAGTTGATGGACACCATATTGGACCTGGAAGATGAAGTTGGTGAGTGAGGCTGTCTTATTTATTCTGTTAGTAAGGTTTTCATCACATAATTACCCCGCACGCTCCCTCTGGCAAATTATCGCCACAGGTTGAGGGGAAACGTTCCAAGTAATCATAATTTTTTGAAATACATCTTCTGTAGTAGCATTAGTTTAGGAGATCCTGGCCGAGGCACGCGCCTATAAGATATATTATCTCTGATTTATTGATAGTATGGCGAGGATGCGATTTAAAAGTAACTTAGACGTGAAATAGGTCTCTACTATAAATTAGGTTAAAAGAAGTAACTAGATTTATTGTAGCTCTTAAACGGATAAATAGTTTTAACGATAAAAGAAAAAAAATCATTTTGAGTTAATAAGGTATGTATTTATGGTGATTCAATAAACAGATGCATAGTATACGAATTAAAGAGTCCATTTTCCAAATATATTTGAAATTAGAGGGGAAAAAAATGATGAAATGGAATGCATCACTTTAAAGCACACGTGCAATGCAGATAAGTGGAAGGTGGTGAATGCCGCCCCTGATAACCAACCATTAACTCTTTGAATTTTTTTTTTTCCAAAACAATATAATCGGTTCCATCAGTCATAAAATATCTGATCAAAAATATTAGTGTTAAAGGATTTCTTGGCAGTCAACAGCATCAAGTCTTTTAGAGCATAGAGCGCACATATATATTGCATTCACGGAACAGGTGTGACTTGGGTGTTAAGAAACATCAATTCTATCGCGTTTCTCAAATGAAGTAAACCTTTAGCAATCTATCAAACATGAGTGCATATAGGATAGAATGTAAACTGTGAGCTGCTTTAAATAAAACACTGTTATTTTTATCTTTTAAGAGAATGGGCGAATAATTGGGGGTACTGACTTTGAACCCTATTGCATAAGTTGTGTTCAAACTGTTCTCTGGGTTGAAAGCGGAAGAACACGTGTAAATGAAAGAATCATGCATTAAAACATTTTTGTGTTTCAGCTAAATTATACCTGAAATAAAATTGAAAGGGCATTCGCTGAGACACTTGTTTTTATAAGTTACTTTGTATTTTACATCATAATCAAACATTTAAAGAACTAACTTACGGTTAAGTTCCCTGATCGAATTAAGTCATCATAAATAGTACTTATTTATACTGGACAGAAAATAATAGAATGAAGCATATGGAGATAACGAATAGCATTCAATATCAAAAGTCCATAAATTAATACAGAATAGAAGCAGAGCACACACGGACCTCCAAAACATCATAGGTGGGATCCGGTGCCAGTGAGGAGTGACCATCCCCTGCCGACCAGTCAAACCCGCCGTGTGTTCCTTGTCATGATCGGGAAAAAAGGAAAAATCCATCGTCAATTCAGTGTATACTGTACATTTGACTCAATGATAAATTGTATTTGCTGACAATGTCATTGTATCGACCATAGAATGCGAAATGATGAATTTAAACGAGAATGTTGATATTCTTGTTTCATCAACTTGTTTGTCAAAAATTTACCTCGTTTTAAAAATTGTTCATACATAGATCATGCTCTTGCGTATCGAATCAACTGAGATATATTAACTCCGTATGTAGGTAATGAAGGTATATTGCTACGTTAAAAAAGGAAAGTTGACGATAGAAAAGTTAAAGCCATCACGTTTATCATAAAGCTTGGTTGTTAGATTACCATTTATGTCTTTTTCAAGTAAAAGTTTTAAATATGAAACTGATGTGTTAGACTTTGTGGTATCTTTTATCTCAACCTCACCAGGATATATCGTATTGACTTAAGAATAGAAATTACCATTGTTAATTGAAAATACGTCGTTGATATATCTGATTGTTGAGTTGAAAGCCACAGCATGTGTTTTATTCTTCTCACGCATAAGATTTTGCACAAATTCTGCTTCATATGAATACAAAAATAGGTCAGCTAATAACGGGATGCATTTGGTACCAATGGGAATTCCAATAGATTTTTGGAAGACCTGGCCCCAAGACCATAAACTGAGAACAGACTTAAGTCAAAATTTCAAATCAATATAACTTTTGAAATAATCATGATAAGAAAACAATTTTCTTCATGTGTTTAAATTGGAATATTATATTAACCTGCAAAATTTTAAGCACACAAAAACAAATAAAACCCTAGATATTCAAACTAAAATTTTTGACTTAAGTCTGATTTCAGTTTATGGTCTCCAGGCCTGGTCTCCAAAAACAACATAGATATTGTCATTCACAAACTCAAGCATCTTTAGAATTTATATCTTGTTTTCGTATTAGAATAATTTCAATTAATATTAGTAGTACAGTGAGGATTTCACTGTGTGTCTAAAAAAGGTTTTAAATAAATGAATGTAAAGAAACATTATTTAAATTAATCTACTATAATAATTATTCTCATCATGCTTAAAATATTTTTGAACTTATTTTGGTCCTAAATAGTATTCAAAAATACGATTGAAAATGTGAAACGTAAACCGAAGAGTTTGTTTTTGAACTTGGGGTTAAAGCCATGTATCAAGCAAGTTAGAAGCGTTAATCCTGTTCCAAGATGCAGATTTCTTCAGAAGCGCATGGGCTTCCTAACTGAGAGATCTTTTTAATACTTGAAGATTGATTGATTGATTGATTTTAAATTGTTTAACGTCCCTCTCGATAATTTTTCACTCATATATGGAGACGTAAAACTGGAAGAAGTGAAACTGCTGGTAGGTAACATTTCTCGACACAACAATGCCAGGATAAGAGAGAAAATGGTATGCAAAAATAAAATATAGAAGCAACAATGCAGACAGGTCATCCATACATACATAACCAAGTTCTACATGAAAAAATCACTTTGCTAGCGTATGGCGAAATTTCCACTAAATTACGAACAACGTACCGTGCGTTGACACAGAGTAGTCCCGATATAGTTCCAAATCAGGTGAGAATAATTACAGGATTAATTTGACTTCACAATTCAAAATGCAATATCATTGCTAGCAATGAGCAATATGGAACGCCGTCACTGCCTTATAGCAGAACACTACTATTGCATCGTGTCAACCTTCCATTACATTATGTCAACTCTTTATGACATTAACCCACCCTACTATTGCATTGTGCCAACCTTCCATTACATTATGTCAACTCTTTATGACATTAACCCACACTACTATTGCATTGTGTCAACCTTCCATTACATTATGTCAACTCTTTATGACATTAACCCACCCTACTATTGCATTGTGCCAACCTTCCATTACATTATGTCAACTCTTTATGACATTACCCACACTACTATTGCATCGTGTTAACTTTCCTTTACATTATATCAACTCTTTATGACATTTACACATACTACAATTTTATTTCGTCAACTTGCATTTCGTTATGTTTACTTTTCATGATAATCTTAGTTTTTATTAACTGATGTGAAAAGCTCATGCCATACTGTGCGCACTCATCTACATTATGTCGATTCACTATTACGTTATGCGAACGCGGGTATCCTCGGCCTTTAAATGAGCATAACGTATTTTCCGCGTTCCGCAAGCACTAAAATGGCGGGAGAGAAAACTGTCGTAGAAGAGATTCTCAGCGATTTCGGAATGACATCTTTAAATGAAAACTTTAAGCGACAAATGATTGACAATCTTGAAACATGCAAAGCCTTAACACTGCGACTGTGAATTAAAGTCACGTCGAAATTCAATGGTGTTTACTTTAATCTGATAATTAAATAAATCAAATATTATGAGTCGTGCAGCAATCATTTTTTTCTTTTTATTTTGAATTTTTTTTTTTTTTCTATAAAAGTCTTAAACTTTGTAGGACATTGCATTAGTTTCACATTAAGTTTAGCTGAATTAAGTTGAAAACTTTTTTCTATAAAACTAAAAAGCCTGAGAGCTTCTCCGCTTTCCGCCCTTGGTCTCCAACCATATACCGTCCCCCTTCCTTGTTCAAGATTCCCATATCTGCCACTGATATGTGCCCATGCATGCTTACTAAGGCATATTCAATTGATTTAGATGAGCGACTGGTAGATTTTTGTAATAGAATTCTGGCCCTGGAATGATTAAAAAAATTACTAACTCCAGTGACGTAGCATCATTTTTTTGAAAGAGGAGGTCAGCCAGTAAAAAAAATCATTTATCCGAAAAAACTAGACAAGCCAAGAAAAAAAATGTCCAAGCCCGAAAATCCTATTTCGGGGAGAGTGGTCCAACTTCAATCAATCCTATTTTTTTCCAGATATATTATATTACCCTTAGTGGACTATATTTCAACAAGAAGTGGGGGTGGGGGGGGCTGTACAGTTTCAATGAACATTACATTTTCTATAGTAAAGTTATGTCTGGGAAAAGAGGGGGGTTGATATTATGTGCCTGTAATTTGTCCTAATCAATTACGACCCCCCTCCTTCTTACCAGTCATTAAAACACGGTCGTCAACATTTATTATATACTAGATATACAGCTTTGAGAAAATGTAAATGTATTTTTGCATCAGGTAATGAACTTGGAATCCACATGATAAAGAGTTAACACAATATAAAGATATTTTTAAATCACATAAGAAAGAGTTGGCATAACGTTATAATATATCCACATCACGGTATGGAGTTTCGACATAATGTAATAAAGTGTTGATATAATATAAAGATATGTTCACATTATGTTATACACTTTTTACACCGCGTAATAAAGCACTGACATAAAGGTAAGATGTGTTCACCTCACATCATGATGCCCTCGCCGTAAAATAAAGATAAATCCATATCACGTAATAATACTTTGATATAATAGAAATATACACTCTCAAAAAGGAATGGGCTTTTGACTTCATGTGATGATAAATTTAATTATAAAACACAATTTACTTGACGTAATGCAATTTTGACCTCACATATTAAAGAAATGAAATGATGTAAAGAAACATTCATTTCACGTAAGAAAGTTTTAACACAATGTAAACACATTATCACTTCACATAATGAATTTTTTACTTCAAGTTATGAAG